TCGTCGGACGCCGCCGCCACGAGGTAGCGCCGCCGCGCGAGCGCGAGGCCCGCGGCGTCGTCGGCGGCCGCGGCGTCGCGGCCGCGGCACGCGGCGAAGGCCGCGGCCAGGTCGAGCGCGACGGCGCGGGCGAACGTCGCGCCGAGCGCCGCCGCGCGCACCGCTGGCGACGGCGCCGCGCTCGCGAGCGGCGCGCGCGACCGCGCGAAGCCCCGCGCGGCCGCGGCCGCGAGCGGCGACGCGCCGCCGGCGAGGGGCGCGACCTCGAGCCAGAGCGCGCGGCCCGGGAGCGCCTGTGCCCAGGCCTCCGCCGCGGCCGCGACGGCCGCCGGTGCGTAGCAGAGCGCGACCTCGGAGTAGACCAACGTCCGCCCCGGCCCGCGGCCCGCCGCGGCGTCGAGCGCGGCGGCGCCGCCGCCCGGGGGCACGGACGCGAGCGCGAGCCGCGCGTATTTCACGAAGACGCGGTCGCCGCCGTCGTCGGTCGCCTCGAGCTCGGCGCCGAGGAGCGCCTCGGTGAACGCGCAGGCCCGGAGCAGGTCGCGCTTCCGCCGCACGACGGGCGCCAAATCGACCTCGACGGCCGCGAGGTCCGGGTCCCTCTCGAGCAGCCGCAGCGCCTCGCCGTCGAGGCCCGCGCCGACGCCGACGAAGCGCGCGCCGGGCCCGAGGGCGACGAGCGCGGCGTCGAGCGCGCGCCGCGCGACGGTGACGCGCGCGCGGCAGAGGCCGAGCGCGAGCGGCGCCGGCCGCCGCGCGGTCCCCCGTCGATTCGACGCGGCGTAGAGCGCGGCGTCGAAGGGCGACGCGACGTCGGCGTCGAGGCCCTCGAGGCACGCCTTCGCCCGCAGCGACTCGTCCGCCGTCGCGCCCACGGGGTCCGGCGGCGGTGACGGTTTCGGTGGCGGCGGCGGCCGTGCGGCGCGAGGCTCCAGCGCCGCGAGCCGCTTCCGCTCGACCTTTGCTTCGCGCAAGCGCGCGATCTCGGCGTCGCTCGGCTTGCTCCGCCGCTCCTTGCGCGCCATCGAGGTGCGCCTGCTCAGTTTATATGCGACCTCTCGAGCGCCCCGAGCACCATCTGAGCCGATGCGACATCTCCATTCGAGCCAGAGGCAATTCCAACCCGCTCGCTGAAATGAAGGCAAGCTGCCGAATGAAACGCTTCGAGCAGCCCATGGTTGGCAACATCCCTCCCTAGAGACCGACGCGATGCCGGCCCCGCCGTCGTCTCCCGCCAGGAAGGAGCCGGGCTCCCCCAAGGCGCGCGCGTCGGCGCGGCGCTTCGGCAGCGGCCAGCGGACGCGGGCCCTCGGCAGCTCGCGGCCGCGCGCGTCCGGCGCGAATTGGAAGCGCCAGCCCAAGGACGAGGGCCAGGCGAGCGCCAAGGCCCTGCCGCCCATCGACCTCCACTCGCGGAGCGGCAAGCCCCGCGTGAAGATGCTCGGGCGGCCGAGCAGCCTGCACGTGCCCGGCGCGGTCGGCGCGCGCGCCGCCGTCGACCGCAAAGTCGTCGGCAACCTGAACAGCCGCGGCACGCGGTGGCTCGACGCGGCGACCGTGGGCCGCGTCAACGCCAAGCTCTTCATCCAGGCGCGCTACCAGTCCGAGAAGCAGAAGAAGGCCGTGCTCGACCGCGTCGCGAAGGGCGCGACGTTCCCGGTTTCTCGGCCGCGTTCCGCTCGTTTCGGCTGATTCTTGGACGAGCGATCATCCCCGGGAGCGATCTCGACGCGTGGATGCGTTTCCCGGAACGCGCGCGCGCGCGGAACACTCACGTTGAATCGCCCAGGTGCTCAACCGCGTCGCGAAGATGAACGAGGTCATCAAGACGTACCGCGAGCTCTTCAACGGCGACAGCGACAGCGACGACGACTCCGTCGAGGAGGCGCGCGAGGCGCGGCGCCACGCGAAGCAGGCCGGCGTCCCCGCGGGGCGCCTGGGCTTCGTCATGCCGAAAGGACACGGGCCGGGCGACTACGGCAAGCCGCTCGTCGAGGACCTCGGCGACTACCTGAAGCCGCTCGGCGACGAGGACTACGACACGCTCAAGGACTTCCTGCGGGCCTGGCGCAGTGCGGCCGTGGAGCAGCGCAACTTCGCCGCGTCGAGCCACCGCATGGCGACGCCGGAGAACGAGGGCTTCGCGGCGTACGGGGCCATGTCCGCGGAGGAGGCGGAGTTCTTCGAGCAGCCCGACAGCGTCATCAAGCTCGTCTTCGGCGCCTGGCGCGAGGACACGCTGAAGATCCGCGCGCGGCGGCTCCGGAAGCGCGAGAAGCACGTCGAGGCGCGCAAGGTCCACCGCCGTGCCGGAAACGACCGGCGGAACGGACCGGTCCAGCAAAACTTCAAACCTCTCTACCTCGGTCAAATCGAAGCCGTTTTGGCTGTTTTTTGGACGGATCGTTTTCTCTCGGCGAGTTCTTGACAGACAGCGAAAAAGTTATGTCGAAACCGCGCGAGTACATGCATATTGAAGTCGTTTTGAACATTTTTTTGCCTGCCAAGGTCCACCGGAAGCTCGCGCGCGAGATGCGCGCGGGCAAGCAGCCGGCCCGGGGCGCCTACCACGTCAACAAGGTGCTCGCCGGCGCGTCCGTCAAGGACCTCAAGGCGAGCCGCGTGACGCTCGCGTCCAAGGACGTCAAGGCGCTCTACGACTGGCGCGGCGCGGACGACGATTTGGACGCGCACCGGGGGCCCACGCTGCCGCGCGTGCGGTCGCGGTCCATCGCCCCGCTCAAGGCGCGGGACCACGACGTCGACCGCGCGCTCCGCCTCGCGGCGCCGCGCGCGCCGGGCGGCCGCCCGCTGCTCGAGTCGCCGCCGGCGAGCCGCGGCGCCGCGGCGCCCGCGAGCCCCGTGCGCCACACGCAGCAGCGGGCCCACGAGCGCCTCGCGGCGGCGGCGGAGAGGGAGCTCCGGGACGAGGCCGCGGCGGCGGCGGGGGAGGCGGGGGAGGCGCGGAGGCGCGCGAAGCGCCGGTCCCTGTCGGCGCGCGCGCGCGCGTCGGGCCCGGGCGCGTCGCCGACGCGCCTCGCGAAGATGCCGCCCGCGCCGGCCTTCGACCGCGGCGCCCCGGTCGACCGGCGCGGCGACGAGTACTCGGCGGCCGCGGACAGCGGCTGGTCCGGCGCGGCGGCGTCCGCCGCGCGCGCGATCCTCGAGGCGCCGGACGCGGCGCCGTCCGACGCGATCAGCGAGATCTCCTTCAACAACACGGACGCGGCGTCCGTGCGCACGGCGCAGCCGCCGACGCTGGAGCAGGCGGCGCTGGCGACCTACGCGTCGTCGCGCGTCGCCGTGCCCGCGCCGCCGCCGCGCGCGCGGCCGTTCGCGTGCTACGGGGGCGCGCCGTCGCCGAACGCGCGGCGCCGCAAGCCCCGGCGCTCCGTCGTCGACAACTTCGCCAAGTTCAGCCAGGCCATCGCGACCATGGGCAGCGTGGACGAGGACTGGGCCGCGGGCGCCGCGCGCGTCGGGCCCGGCGGCGACGACTCGCGCGACTCGGCCGCGGAGTACGACTCCACGGCCGGCGCCGCGTCGCTCTTCTCGTCGCTCTACTCGGCGGCGACGGCCCCGTCGACGTCGTCCTTCATCGCCGCCTGCTCGACGAAGGTCGTCGGCGTCGTCACCGCGAATCTGTTCGGGCCCACCATGCTCCAGGCCGCGGCGCTCTTCGGCGCCGCGCCGCCGGCGGCCGCGCCGGCCGCGGACCTCGGCGGCGGCGACCCGCCGTCCGTCGTCGCGCCCGTCGAGCCCGGCGGGAAACCCCGCGGCGGCCTCGCGCTCGCGGACCACCTCGTCCTCCTCTAGCGGGGGGGATCTTACCGGCCGAAGCGGAAGAAGTCCATCGCGTTCGCGATGGCGACGGCCTGGTCCAGGGGCGCGTTCTCGATGCCGTCCTTGCCCGCGGGCCGGCAGTAGAGGAGGCCCGGGTTCTTGCCGACGAGGTCGCCGGCCTGGGCCGCGTCGCCGTCGAAGCGCGCGGTCCACGCGTCGAAGGCCGCGCCGACGCGCGCCGCGTCCCAGCGCATGCTCTGGCCCGAGTTCCGCGCGACGACGAGCGCGGCGGCGTCGCCGCTCTTGGCCGCGAGCGCGCGGAAGTTGGCGCGCACCGTGGCCTCGTCCGCCGGCGACTTGACCTTGCAACACGCGACGGCGGCGTCCTCCTCGGGCGACGCGCGCAGGGCCGTGGGCGCGCGGCCGTGCAGCGGGGTCGGCGCGCGCGTGAACGCGTGCAGCGGGGCTACGCAAACAAAGAGGAGCGCGCACATCGCGCAATTTGTAGGCATCATGCTTGTCTGTAGTGGCAATTTTGTGGCAAAGCCGATGTTGCCGCTCGTGATGCGCTCGAGCTCGTGCTCGATGGCCGCAAGCTCGAACAGCTGAAAGCGCCGACGAGCTGCTGAGAGATGGCGGCGCGCACGAGCTGCTTGGGCCTCTGGCTCGTCGCGTCCTCGACGTCGGCGCTCACGAGGCGCGCCGCGCTCGGCAGCGGCGGCGCCGCGGCCTTGAGCGGCCGCGCGCTCGGCGGCGGCGGCGCCGCGGCGTCGAGCAGCCGCGTGCGGCGCTGCGCGGCGCCCGTGGGCTACTACGAGACGCGGCTCCGCCTCGACTGCGGCGTCGCGGTGCCCGCCGCCGTGTGGCTGCCCGGCGACGCGGCGGCGGACACCGGCGACGCGCCTCTCTACGACTACCGCATCTCCGTGGGCAAGCTCTTCCGCACGTTCCTCGGCGCGCCGCTCCCGGGCGCGCTCGGCTGGTCGTTCCCGCTGGCGCCGAGCGCGGGCGTCTTCGCGGCGGCGCCGTCCCGCGCGGCGGCGGCGCGCCCCGCGGTCGTGCTCGCGCACGGCTTCCTCGGGTCGCGCTCTGTGTGGAATTCAAATCTTCAACCCGACTTCAATGTGATCGTATGCGAAAGTTTCGACGCGAGGTTTTCGGCTGTGCTTCGAGAACTCGACGAGAGCAATCGATTCGTCCAAAAATCAGCCGAATCAACTTCGATTTGATCGAGCTAGAGAATTCTGAAGTTTGGTCAGGACCACCCAAACCAGTGGTTGAATTCCACACAGGTCCCGCTTCGACCTCGCGCTCTACGGCGAGGCGCTGGCGGCGCGGGGCGCCGTCGTCGTGTCGCCCGACTTCGACCAGTCGCTCACGGGCTCCTACGCGCCCGACCCCGGCGGCGGCAGCGACCGGTCGGCGATCGTCGCCGCGGCGCTCCGCCACGCGCGCGAAGACGCCGGCGCGACGGGCGCGGTCGGGTGCCTGGGCCACTCCATGGGCGCGGGCACGGCCATGCGGCTGCCCGGCGCGGCCGCGCGCGTCGCCATCGCGGGCTTCGCGGAGCCCGTCGACGACGCGCCCTGGCTCGCCGTCGCGTCCGCGAACGACGGGCCCGTGCCGCTGTCGCGCGTCGAGCCGCAGGTCGCGCGGTGCCGCGGCGTCGTCCGCGTCGGCGGCGACGTCGACGGGCCGTGGCCGCGGCGCGCGGCGCTCTTCCTCGAGGGCCCGGCCGCGCCGACGCACGTGTCCTACCTCGCGCCGGCGGTCAACGACGCCATGCAGACGTTCCTCGGCCCGCTCCTGCCGCTCGCGCGCGCGCTCAACGTCCCCGTGCTCGACTTCGACCGCTACGGCCTCGTGCGGGACGCGGAGCCGACGGCGGACAGGGTCGTGCCGGCGGCCGTCGGCTTCCTCGGGCACCACCTCGGCTTAACACGGACCTAGAGGTGGGACTTGGCCTCGGCCTGGAGCTTGAGGAGCGCGTCCTCGACGGCGGTCCGGGCCTTGTTGTGGTCCGCGGAGTTGAAGTGGACCATGTTCCGCGCGACGGGCAGCGCGCGCTCCGCGAAGGCCGCCGCCGTGGCCCACGCCTTTGCTTTCTTGTACGTGGCGATCGCGTCCATGAACGCCTTCTTCGCCTCCGCGTTCGCGGAGGCCGCGCGTTTGTAGCCGTAGGCGTCCGTGTTCGAGCCGAAGCGCGAGTTCGGCAGCGCCTTGGCGATGGCCTTGACCTTGCGGTCCAGATCCGCGACCACGGGCGCCACGTCGCCTTGGGACGGCAGGAGCGCCTCGACGGCGGCCCGGTCCTTCGCCGCGAGCTTGAGGACGACGTCGACGAGCTGGGCCTTGTCGAGGGGCGCGAGCCGCGACTCCAAGGCGCGCGTCGCCGGGTCCATGGACTTCTTGCTCGCCGCGCTCGCGGACGCCTTCGACGCCTGCGCGAAGGCGTCGAGGACGTAGCGCTTGATCTCCGCGCCGCTCGCGTAGCCGCCGCGCCAGCTCCGGGTCGTCGCCTGGCCGAGGAGGCCGTGGTAGATCTGCTTTTGAACGGTCTCGACCATGTCGGCCTTCTTGCCCTGCTTGGCGTCGAACTCCTCCTTCGGCAGCGCCGCGATGAACGCCTTGAGCGACGCGACGTCCCACGCGCGGACCGTGGCCATCATCGCCGCCGTCTCCGCGGCGGCGGCCTTGCGCAGGGCCGCGGCCTCGGCCTCCCGCTTCTTCGCCGCGGCCTCGGCCTCCTGCTTCTTCGCCGCGGCCTCGGCCTCGGCCTGCTTCTGCGCCGCGGCCTCGGCCTCGCCGCTGATGGGCAGCTTCTTGACCGGCTCCGCGGCCTCGTCGACGTGCGGCTTCTTGCTCGGCACCGCGTTCTCCAAGTCGAACTTGCGCTTCAGCGCGGCGACGTCGTCCTCGCTGCAGTTCTTCGGGTAGGAGAAGGAGCGCATCATCTCCGCCATCGTTGGGCAGCCCGGAGTCTTCGAATTTGCAAAAGCCAACGAACGTCAACGTCAAGTTCAATGAGTCAACGTCGCAGCGGCACCGCGACTCGATGACGCGTCCGAGGAAGTGTCCGAGGCCGCCGGCGGCGCCACACGGCTCCGGCTTAGGCACCCCCCCCGCTCAGTCGACCTTGCCCGAGGCCATCGCGCCGCGCAGGGGCGCGAGCAGCGCCTTGAGGTGGCGGCGCACGTCCGTGACCGCGGCGTCGCGCGCGGCCTCGAGCATCGCCGCGCGCCGCGCGAGCTTCTCCGCCGCGCCCGCGCCCTCCGGCGGCTCGTCGGCCGTCTCCGGCCCGGTGTCGCCGCCCTTGGCGAGCCGCGCCGCGGCCTCGGCCGTGAGGTTCGCCTGGAGGCCCAGGAGCTGCGCCCGCGCGAACGCCGCGTCCTCGTCCTGAACGTCGTTGAGCCACGCCTTCGTCGCGCGCTCCGTCCGCGCGACGTGGCGCAGGAGCGCCGCGACGCGCGCGAGCCGCACCGTGCAGGGCGCCGCCGCGCCCGCGAGGCCGCCGAGCGCCTTGCGCAGCGCGTCGCCGCCGAGGATGAGCGCGCGCGGGCTCGCGGACCGCTTCCGCGCGTAGCAGACCAGACCCAAACGCCCGCCCCAGAGCGACGCCTCGTCCGGGCACCGCGCGGCGAAGGCGTCGGACACGGCGACGTCGAAGACGACGGCGGCCCGGAGCACGAAGTCGCCGACGCGGTCCGCGTCCTGCGCGCAGAGGCACTGCAACAATCGGTGCAGGCGCCGCTCGATCTCGGCCGTCCTCGCCGTCGCCGGGAAGCGCCGCTCGCTCTCCGGCGCCAGCCGCCCGGCGACGGCGCAGAGCGACGAGAGCAAACCGGACCGGATCAGCCCCTCCGTCGGCGCCTGGCCCGGGTCGAACGTCGTCTCTAAATCCCCGGACTCCGACGCGAGCGCGTTCGTCGCGACGCCCGCGGACGCCTCGACGAGCGCCACGAGAGACCCGAGCAGGGCGTCCGCGTCCTCGGCGTCGCCGCCGTTGCCCGCCACGAGCGCGCGGCCCAGATCCGCGAGCGCGGGTAAGGCCCGCCGCGCCGCGTCCCGCAATATCGTCACCGCGTCCGCGTCCTTGCGCAGCGCCGGGTCCGACGCGAGCGACGCCAAGGCCAGCAGCGCCACGCCGCCGTCGGGCGACGACGCCGCGTGGGAGCCCGGCGGGTTGAGCGCGAGGCCGCCGAGCCCCGCGGCCAACGCTTTTCGCAGATGCGTTTTCGACGTGAAGAGGTCGCGCGCGAGGAAGACGTACTTGCCGTAGGCCTCCGCCGCCAGGGCCCCGAGCGCCTCCGGCGCGTCGGCCCGGGGCCGCAGCAGCCACGACGACGCGTGGCCGTCGCGCGCGAGCTTTGCGGCGGCGAAGACGTCCGCGACGTCGCCGTCGGCCCAGTCCGCGGCGCCGAGCGTGCCGTGGTCCGCGCCGTCGACGAGCACGGCGCAGTAGGCCGCGCACTCGGCGACGTTGGCCACGGGCTTGGCGGCGAAGATGTCCTCCGGGTCCGTCGTCGCGGGCTCGCCGTCGGAGTCGGAGTCGACGATCGCGTCCCACTTGCTGTAGTCGAAGGTGCCCGCGACCTTGGCGACGCCCGCCTCGACGCGCTTCGTCGTCGGCTTCGGCGCCGGCGGCGGCGCGAGGGCGACGGCGGCGGCGAAGCGCACGGCCGCGGGCCGGTCCATCTCGAGGAGCTTCCGGACGCAGTGCACGTTGAGCGCGAGCGCGACGTTCGCGGCGCCCGCGCCGCTCTTCTTGTCGCGCGCGAGGCACGCGATGCCGCGGGCCGCCCGCGCGGACACGCGGTGGTCCCCGCGCCAGGCGGGGGTCCGCAGCGCCGCGGCGAGCGCGCCGCAGTCGTCGGCCGTCGCGTCCGGAAAGTCGTAGCAGAACTGGCGGAGCACGCCCGCGGCGTCCGGCGGCGCCCGCTTCCGGTTCGGCGGCGCCTTCTTCTTCTCCTCGGCGCTCAGGCCCAGCGCCTGCGTGTCGTCGCGGTCGCGCAGGGCCGCGATGCAGGCCTTGACGAAGGCGTCGCGCTCCGCCTGCTCCTCCTTCGTCACCGGCCTCGTGTCCTTGGGCCATGGCTTCGCATCACCGGGCGGCGGCGGCGGCGCGTCGGCCGCGGCCTTGGTCTCGCCTTTCGGCGAATCCGCCATATCGTTCGCCGAGCTTTGCCGCGGGCCCACCTCGTGGAGCCTGCGGCGAGTTTGGTTGGCGACGCAGGTATGATGACGTTTACGGCTGGTGCAGCCCCCGGTAGCCGCTGGTGTTCAGCCGCGCCGCGCGGCGCGCCGGCGGCCGCCATGCCGCTCTGCTGCCCGCGGCGGCGCAGCGGATCTCGCCCCAGCTTCTCCCTCTTTCGCAAGCACAGCGATCCCGCAGAGAAGAAGGAGGAGGACGAGGAGGAGGAGGAGGAGGAGCGCGAGTGCTACGACTGCCCCGTGAACACGCACGAGGTGCGGAACCGCGAGCGCCTGCCGCGGCGATTCCGCCAGTACAAGCCGAAGCGCGTGACGAGCCTGCACCGGACCATCCAGCTCACGCGCTGCCTCGCGCTCTGCGGCATGCTGCTCGCCAAGGTCTCCATCTTCTTCGGCTTCGGCCTCGTGTTCTACTTCGCGGCCGTCGCCGCGTGCTTCGCCGTCGCGCGCTACGGCGCGGTCTACCTCCACCGCGTCCTGCCGTCGTGCCTCGTGGAGAACGGCGCGCCGACGCCGGAGGAGGCCGCGGCGGCCGCGGACGTCGGCTTCTTCGCGTTCGACTTCGCGGCCTCGTCCCTCGAGCACGAGTACGACGCCTTCGTCGAGAGCGTCGGCTTCGTCGCGACGGGCGGCCAGATCGACGCCATCTTCGGCGGTCGAGACGTCGACGCGGAGACGCTCACGCTCGACAAGATCCGCCTCTACAAGTGGGCGGGATTCGCGGACCGGTGGCCGCGGTCCGCGGCGCTCCTCGAGCGCCTCGGCGGCCTCGTCGTCGCGTTCGTGCTGTGGCTGCTGGACATGGACAAGCCCGCGGAGAAGCCCCACATCGTCCTCGACTCGACGCCGTCCGCGGCCGCGGCCGCCGAGGCCACTCGGCGCCTCCACGCCGTGAGCGTAAGATGGCAAAACTAGCGAGGGAGGCCGGCGCGCGACGACGCAAAGAAACGTCTCAAAATTTTCTAAGACCCGGCCTCGAGCGCGGCGACGCGGCCCCGGAGCTCGCCGTTCGCGGCTTCGAGCGCCGCGACGCGGGCCTCGAGCGTCGCCGTCGGCATTCCTTCCGACGGAGGCGCCCAGGCGTCGTCGACGCACGTGTAGCGGAAGAGCGCGAGGAGCGTGCCGTTGAGCGTCGCGCAGAAGCTGGCGAGCCGGTCCCGGGGGATTTGCCGGCGCCAGTCCTCGTCGAGGACGGCCTCGTGCTCCTTTTCCGCGACGGACGCCGCGTCCTTGGCGAAGAAGTAGCCCGTGCGATGGTGGAGCACGGCCTCGAGGTTGCCGCGTACTCCTTCCGTGACCGGCGGCACGTCGCAGCGCGCGGCCTCCGCGACGCGGAGGACGACGGCGACGGGGTCGCGGAGCACGTCCTCGTAGCGCACGAACATTGAGTTCGGCGCATCCAGATAGCTCCCGTAGTAGGCGCTCCAGACGTCGCCGAGGCCGCCGGCCACCGCGGGCTCCGGGTCGTGGACGATCTTCGGCCGCGCGTTTGGCTTCTGTTTCACGGGCCACGCGCAGGGCCCCTCGAGGACGCTGCGCCAGGCCATGGCCTTGACGACGCGGCCCTCATTGTCCTTGACGCCAACCTCGGCGCAGCAGCCCTTCTGCGGGCGCCGCGGGTCCGCGCAGAGGGGCCGGCGCCGCGTGCCGTTGCTCGCCGCCGGGCACGCGCAGCGGAGGTCGTAGCTCCGCGTCATCGTGCTCAGGGCCCAGGCCACGGGGTGGCGCACGACGACGAGATTCGCCTCGTTCCAGTTCGCCGCCACGAAGGCGTCGGTGCGCTCGCTGAAGAGCGGCGCGTGCTTCCACCGTTTTTTCCCGGAGCCGTCGACGAAGCCCGCGCTGTCGACGGTCGCCTCCGGGAAGCCCAGGCGCAGCAGGATCGACGACATGTAATTCGTGCCCGTGTTGAAGAGGCCGCGCACGCGCATGGCCCGCACGCCGGCGCGCATGAGCGCGTCGGCGCTCGCCTGGCCCTGGCCCTTCTTGACGTCGACGCCCGGGACCGGGCAGCGCGGCAGCGTCGCGGCGCTCCCGTTGCGCGGCAGCGTGCGCACGTCGAGCAGCTCGCCGACGTAGTCGCGGTGGGTAGTCGAGACTGTACCGACGAGCAGCAGTACCGCGATACATCGCCTCGTCACCATCACCGATGCCGGGGGCTGCGTTCCTGCAAGTTGCCGTTCAACATTTAGGCGAAGTCGGCCCAGGCCGGCGCGAGCTTCTCGTAGGCGAAGTCGAACGTGTCGGGCTGGCCGAGGTGGCTCGCGGAGAGGTCGAGCCGGAGGCCCGCGCCGTTGAAGGCCTCGGAGTTCGGCGAGCCCGACGCGTTGGACAGGTCGGAGACGACGGTGATGTCGGACCACTTGAACGTGGGCTGGCCCGCGTTCGTCGGCCCGTTGACGACGTAGGCCCCCAGGCCCGCCCGGAAGAGGGACGCGGACGAGACCTTGGAGTCGTAGCAGCCCGCGAGGGACGCCTTGCCCCGGTTGAGGTCGCCGCGGCTGCAGACCGCCATCCAGGGGTCGAGCGCGAACTCGTCGCCGCTCCCGTAGCCGTTGGAGCGCATGAGCGCCATCATGCCGTCGAGGGACAGCGCACTCCGGTGGTCGCGGCGGAGGATCTTCGCGCGCGGCGCCTGCTGGTACTCGTAGCCCGCCGCGTGGCCGCGCCGCGCGTCGAGGCTCGCGTAGCCGCTCCGGTCGTAGATCTCGGCGACGTAGGGCACGTTGTAGCTCGGGAAGTAGCCCCGCTCGAGCTCGGCCGTCGCGTCGACGGCCGCGACGAGGCCCGGCATCTGCTCGACGATTGTCAGCGCGCCGCGCTCGAGCGCCATGCCCGGCGCGAAGCGCTTCAGGTCCAGGACCTGGTACTGGTTGTTGTAGGTGCCCGAGTTGTGCGCGCCGTAGTACGCGGCCCACTCCGCGCCGTCCGTCGCTAAAACGTTCGCCGCGCGGATCCGCGCCCACGCCGGGAGGGAAAACGGCGTCGTCGCGTCGTAGACGCTCGCGTTGTAGATGCCGTTCGTCGTCTGGATGATGACGAGCTCCGTGTCTTGCACGAGGTAGAAGTCGTCGAGCGACGACAGCATGCCCGGGTACGACGAAAAGCTATAGGTCCGCGAGAAGTCGTACCACTCGAGGTCGTAGTGCTTGAAGACGCGGTTCATGTTCGAGTAGTGGAACCAGGACGAGTGGGCGAAGTAGATCTCGCTCAGATCGTCGGCGACGGTGAAGAGCGACGTGCAGCGGCCCTCGCGCTGGAGTTTCGCGCTCGCCTCGTCCGGCGGCGCGGCCGCAAAGTCCTCGCGCTCGCCGTCGTGGACGTAGGGCTTGATGTCGAAGAGGTCCCCGAGGTTGTTGATGAGGCTGACGGCCCAGGCCGGGTCGACGAGGGGCTCGACGCCCGCCATCTCGACGCCGAAGAGCACGCCCTCGTACTGGCGCCGCAGCAAGCGCACGAACCGCCAGAGGCGGTCGCCGTCGTCGGCGGTGGAGAGTCGCTCCTCGATCCACTTCTCCTGCGCCGCGAGGAAGCCGCGGACGCCCGGCGGCACGCTGCCGTCGCAGCGGACCTCGCACGCGAGGTTCTTGCCCGTCTCGACGATTTTTTGTGCCGTGAGGTAGCCCTCGAGCATGCCCGCCGCGAAGGCGCGGTCGCCCTCGGAGAAGTTGCCCGCCCCGCGCAGGGACCGCACGCGCAGCTCGCCGAAGCCCGACGCGTGCGCCGCGGCGGGGGAAAAAGACGCGGTGGCCGCGTAGCGGTCGTCGCCGCCGGCCGCCGGAGCCACGCGCCAGCCGCCGCCGGCGCCGCGCGTCGCGCCCCAGCGCGGCGGGGTCTGCGCGCCCGCGGCGAGAACCGGCGGCGCCGACGCGCCCCAGGCCGACGTCGACGCCACGACGACGGCGCAGACGCCCAGGGACGCCAGCGCGAAGCCGCGGACGAGGGCGCGCAGCTGGGACCGGCGCAGCGCCGCCGTCGCCGCCGCGAGCGCCTCGTCGTCGCCACGCTCGAGCATCGTCCGGTGGCGGGGAGGCGGCGTGGGCGGATGGCGGCCGCCGGATGTGGACTTGCAACGACGCTGGTGGTGGTGCGTCGAGGGCTGCTTCCGAGCGTCCCCAAGGTCAAGTTGAGGAGCGCGCCACAGTCCCGGCTCCCGGCATCAGCCAAATCGATGTCCGCGCGACAGATCGACGAGTGGACGTCGACGGCTCGGCCGCCCGCCCCCCCGACGCGCCCCGACGCGGACGAGGCCGAGGCGGAGGACGCGCCGATGCTCAAGACCTTCGAGGGCCGGGGATCGTCGACGACCCGGGACCTCACGGCGAAGCAGTACCGGGCCCGCACGGCGCTCCTCCGGACCCTGGCCTGCGCCGTCGCGACGCTCGTCGTCGTCGGGAAGGCGGGCGGCGTGCTCGTCGCGCGGGGCCAGGACCTAAAATCCGCGCGCGTCGCGAAAACGAAAGACGTCTGCGGCCCCGCCGACGGCTCGCGACGCTCGTCGAGTGCCGCTACGACGGGTCGAGCTTCCTCGACGTCGACGCCGTGCGCAGCTACTTTGAACGGAACGGCGTCGGCGAGCGCGCGGCCCTGACGACCTACGTGCCGCAGAGCTACGTCGTCACGTACGACCCGGACCTCGTGCGCCACCGCTCGGGAAAAGTCGCGTTCGCGCTCTACCTGCCCATGAACAACAAGATGTACGAGGTGTCGCCCCACGACCAGCTTTATAATGACGACATCAACCTCAACGGCACCTACGCGACCTTCCTCGTCGTCGCGGCGTGGGACGGCGCGATCCTCGCGGCGCGTCCGGTGACGGATCTCGACGGCCGCGGCATGACGCGCTTCGACGCCGTCAAGCTCGCGGACCCGGACACGGTGCTCGCCTGCTCGAACGTCGGCGCGACGGAGGAGGGCTACGTCTACGCGTGGAAGTGGCGCTCGGACGACGCGCCGGCGCGCCTGAACGATTTGCTGAGCGCGTCGTCGCACGACGTCCAGCTCGCCGTCGACGGCGCCTACTACTGGCAGCCCCAGTACGTGTCCGTCGCGAAGCGCCGCGTCGACACCGGCGAGACCGTGGCGGTCTACGACGTGTGCCCGGACCCGGGGGGCATGAACCACGCGCAGTTAGTCGACGACGACGCGAGGGCGCTCGTGAGCTGCCGCTACGACGACAGCGTGGTCCTCTACGACGTCGCGAACGAGGAGACGATCTGGCGCGCCGGCGGCGCCGACGCGACGCTGGCGATCGTCGACGCGCGCGGCGACCCGGAGGCCTGGTCCGGCCAGCACAACGCGGAGCTCTTCGGCGACGCCGTCTACCTGTTCGACAACGCGATCCGCTGCGACGACTGCGACGACGCGGAGGCCGCGGACTGCGACGAGAGCTGCGTCGGCGTGCCGTCGCGGATCCTGCGCTTCCGGGTCGACGGCTCCGACGACGCGGTCGTCGACTGGGTCTGGGAGATCCCCCTGGACTACCCCTACGGCTACTCGAAGATCTTCGGGGATGCGGATGTACTCCCGAGCGGCAACGTGCTCGCGTCCTGGTGGGCCGGGGCGCTGAAGCCGTCCATCGGCGCGACGGCGGACCTCGCGTTCGTCGAAGTCACGCCGGCGAAGGAGGTCGCGTGGTCGATGGCCTTCGCCAACAGCGGCGACACGGTCGGCGGGCCCTGCACCGTCGACGCGGACCCGGGCTGCGAGCGGAGCCAGACGCGGGGCTGGAAGGCCTACAGCGTCGAGCGCTTCTACGACGGGCCGCTCGTCTACGACGCGGCGCTGAAAGACGGCGCCTTACAATTCACGGCCCACGCCGCCCTCAAGCTCCAGCGGGCGAGCGCGGGGACCTGGACGCTCCTCGACGACGACGGCGCGGCGCTCTCCTCGGGGGACTTCTCCTTCGCGAAGCAGCACCTCGCGACGCGCGTGCGCCTCGGCGCGCCCGCGGCGTCGGCCCACTCCCTCGGCGCGACGACGGTCCGCGTCGCCGACGAGTGGGGCCAGGCCACCGACGCGCGCCTCCAGGACAGCGGCGTGTCCTAAGGCGGCGCACGGCGTCTTAACTCGCGCGATCAGAGCTTGGGAACAAATGACCCCACCACGTTGCGGTAGAGGGGGCTCGTCTTGGGCCAGGTGCGGTCCGGCGACTTGGCCGACACCTGCCAGAGGCGGCCCTTGTGGACGCAGAGCGACAACAGCTCGTGCATCTTGTCGTCCGACGTGAATTCGTAGTCGTAGAAGACGATGCCGTCGCTGGTCCGCGCGCGGCTCGCGTTGATGGCGCCGCGCGAGCCGGAGAGCTTGGCGCCGAGCTTGGCGACGTCGGCGAGGCCCTGGATCGTCGGCGCGCCGCCGTAGGAGGACGTCGTGACCGTGATGGCGTCGACGGGCGAGACGACGTCGACCCAGCGGAAGTCGTAGGCGCCGGCCTCGCCCTCGAACTGGTTCCAGATCGACGGCTTCATGATCCGGAAGCCCCGGTTCACGTCCGCGAACTTCTCGAGGAGGCCGCCCATCTTCGTCGTCGCCGGCTTGATGTCGAGCACCTCGTCCTCGGCGAACGCCGGCAAAGCGATCGTCGCCGCGGCGGCGGCGGCGTAGTGGGACGCCTGCTGCATGAGGCCGCGGCGGCTCGTCTGGGACGGCGCGAGGGCCGCGGCGCCCGCGAGGAGCAGCGAGAGGACTCTGACTGCCATCGCGTCCTATTTCAAGGAGCTGACTCCAGATCGCGGCGCGCCGCGCTGCACGGGCGCTCGGACTTGCGCGCGCTCAGCAGGCCTCCTGAAGGCTCCCGGCGCTCGCGACCACTGCCCGGCGCTACTCCCGCCCGCAAAAAGAAAAGATCTCCGCCCTTAGCAACCACCCCCACAAAAAAATACCTCTCAGGGCGCGCCGTCCGGGGGGCCGTCGAGCTGCAGCAGCTCGACGACGTCCTTGAGCCCGCGGTTCTCGACGAGCCACTTCGCGAAGCACGCGCGCGTCGTCGCCTCGAGCGCGTCGCGCTGCGCCGGCCCGAGGTCCGCGTCGGCGATCTTCCGCCGCACCTCCGCCGCGCGCGCGTCGCGCGCGTCGACGGCCGCGGCGTACTCCGCCGGCAGTCCGAAGGGCACGCGAGGGGCTCCGCCGTCGCCCGCGCCGCGCCGCGGGCCCCGGACGACGTCGAACTCCGCCGGCGGCACGGGCAGCGCGTCCGGCGCCGTGTGGGAGGCGAAGGGCGCCTTGGCGACGGCGGAGACGAGCAGCGGGTGGCGCCAGAGGTTCGCGTCGCCGCCGTCCAACCCCGCGGCGGCGACGTCCCTCTCCAGCCCCGGGTAGCACAAACCGAAGGGCCCGACGCGGCAGGACCGCGCGTCGCCCGCGAGCAGGATCGGCGCCGGCGTGTAGGCCAGCACGTCGCAGCCGAGGCAGTTGCGGAGGACCACGCGGCCCGCAGCCGCGACGATTTTTACCCGCTCGCAGGCCACGGCCCGGAGCACCGTCGCGCAGGCCCCCACGACGACGACGCAGTCGACGCAGCCCACGACGGAGCACACCGTCACGTCCGCCAGCACGTAGACCCGCGAGTCGCGGCAGTTGTGGACCGCGCACGTCGTCTGCTCCGAGCCGCCGCCGCCGCGCCGCTCGACGACGCGCGTGCACCGCTTCGCGTCGCAGACGTGGACCGTCGTGGCGCCCGGCGCGATCGTCACGGCCCCGGACCGCGCCGTGCGGCCCGGCGACCCGGCGTGCTCCGACCACTTGTCCCGGGGCGACATCGACGGCGCGTCGCCGTCGGAAGCGACCGTCGCCGCGAGCCACGCGGCGACGTCGTCGATGGACGCGGCCCCTAACCCATCGAAGAGCTCCGCCGGCGCGGCGTCGGCGACGCTCGCGTGGGCGTCGCTCACCAGCAGGAAGTCGAGCGCGGCGAGGTCGCCGCGCGCGAGCGTCCCCGGCGGATGCGTCGCGGCGTCGTCCGCGGACCGCGCGGCGATGCGCGCCAGATCCCGCGCCGCGGCGCGCGCCCAGGCCACGTGGCGCGCCTCGGCGCCCGCGTGGGCGTGGACGCTCAGCTCCAGCGACGGCGCGTCCGCGGCCGCGCGCGGCGAAGCGGGCGGGCTCGTCGGCGGCGGCGACGGCGCGCCGTCGTCGGACGCGTCGGACGACTTGCGCGGCGGGCTCGCGGGGCCGGGGAACCGCTCCTCGAAGGACGACGCCGGCGCGTCGCCGACGGCGTCGTCGTGGCGGCAGTGGACCAGCGTGAAGAGCGCTAAATCCGTCGCGCGCACGGCCGCGGCCAGGCCCCGCGCGCCGCCGCCGCGGCCTCCTAATAACGCCACGAGCTCCCAGACGAGGCGCGCCGACGGCTCGGGCCAGGCGAGCGCGTGCCACGACGCCGAGATCCACGTCCCGTAGCGCGCGAGGCCCGGCTCGCGCAGGGACCGGCCCTCGGCCCGCAGCTGCTGGAGCACGCGGAAGGCGTCGTCGGCGGCCAGGGGCGGCGCGTGGCGCTCCGGCGCGTCCTGCATCGTCAGCGGGAGGCTCGCCGCCACGACCTCGGGCCGCAGCGTGAGCGTCGCCATGCTCCGCTTTGAAAAGAGCTAGCTTGTGGAGATTTGGGTGCGGCCAAAGTTGAGCGAACGCCATTTCTACCGTGCAAACTTCGGTCTTCGATCGGCCTCCAGCGCATCGTGCCCGGAACGCGTTCACCGAAGACCCGCCACCAGCCGCAAACCAGTACACTCGCACGATGCAGATTTTTGTCAAGACTCTCACCGGTCCGTGGCCCGCCCGCGCCCTCCCCCGCGCCCCGCGCCCCGCCCCCCACGGCGCGGGGCGCCCCGCCCCACAGCGGCGCCCCGCGGGGCAGCCCCGCCCCGCGGCCTTTTCAAATTCGGCTGGGGGGGCTCCCCCGGGGCTGCCCCCGCCGCCCGCCCCCGCTGCCCCCCCGCCCCCCGCGGGCAGCCCCCCGCCGCGCGGAGCACGAGCCCCAACATTGACCCCGTCCGTTCTCGTAGGCAAGACCATCACGCTCGACGTCGAGCCCAGCGACACCATCGACAACGTGAAGCAGAAGATCCAGGACAAGGAGGGCATCCCCCCGGACCAGCAGCGCCTCATCTTCGCGGGCAAGCAGCTCGAGGACGGCCGCACGCTCTCGGACTACAACATCCAGAAGGAGAGCACGCTCCACCTCGTCCTCCGCCTCCGCGGCGGCATGCAGATCTTCGTCAAGACCCTCACGGGCAAGACGATCACGCTCGACGTCGAGCCCTCGGACACGATCGACAACGTGAAGCAGAAGATCCAGGACAAGGAGGGCATCCCCCCGGACCAGCAGCGCCTCATCTTCGCGGGCAAGCAGCTCGAGGACGGCCGCACGCTCAGCGACTACAACATCCAGAAGGAGTCGACGCTCCACCTCGTCCTCCGCCTCCGCGGCGGCATGCAGATCTTCGTCAAGACCCTCACGGGCAAGACGATCACGCTCGACGTCGAGCCCTCGGACACGATCGACAACGTGAAGCAGAAGATCCAGGACAAGGAGGGCATCCCCCCGGACCAGCAGCGCCTCATCTTCGCGGGCAAGCAGCTCGAGGACGGCCGCACGCTCAGCGACTACAACATCCAGAAGGAGTCGACGCTCCACCTCGTCCTCCGCCTCCGCGGCGGCATGCAGATCTTCGTCAAGACCCTCACGGGCAAGACGATCACGCTCGACGTCGAGCCCTCGGACACGATCGACAACGTGAAGCAGAAGATCCAGGACAAGGAGGGCATCCCCCCGGACCAGCAGCGCCTCATCTTCGCGGGCAAGCAGCTCGAGGACGGCCGCACGCTCAGCGACTACAACATCCAGAAGGAGTCGACGCTCCACCTCGTCCTCCGCCTCCGCGGCGGCAACTGAGGAGCTCGCGTCCGACGCGGTCTCCCCAGAAGCCTCCGCGCCTCCCGCGTCGCGCGCCGCTGTGCATAGAAAGTAACTGACGTTGCGATCTGAAGTGTACCACCGCATGACTCCGATGATGGCGAATTGGATGAATTTAGGACCGGAGCGTGAGGCGCCAGCGCGCGACGACGCCGCCGACGACGAGGATGGCGAGGGCCTCGGCGGCGAGGATGGCGAGGTTGCGTTTGAGGTGGCCCCGGTGCACGTCGAAGTAGGCGAGGACGTCCGCCGCCGCCGGGTCGGACCGCGGCAGCGCGAGGCACGTCGCGGCCTCGATGCTGTAGCGCGCGGGGATGGCGTCGTAGATGAAGAGGAGGAAGGGCTTGATGCGCGCCCTGGGCACGAGGACGCCCGCGAACATGAGGATCGACGCCGTGACCTGGGCAGGAAAAGGGTGCGACATGCCCAACTTCAAAGGCTCCTATCTCGGTCGGTTTCCGCTCGTTTCGGCTGATTTTTGGACGAGCGATCATCTCTCGGAGCGCTCTCGAAGCGTGGGTGCTGTTTCCGAAACGCGCGCGCGCGGAACACTCACGTTGAAGCGACGTTGAATCACCCTTGTCCTGCCCTGGCCGTGACGGGCTCCGTGCGCTGCGCGGCCGCGACCGGGTCCGGCGACAGCAGCCCGATGAGGCCGCCCATGGTCACGTAGAAGGCCGCCGTCAGCGCGCTCAGCAGCGTCGCGTAGGCCAACCCGCGCCGCGGCAGGCCCATGAGCGTCCACCAGATGGGCGTCTGCGCGACCGCGACCAAACACGCCGCGGCAACTCCCAGCGCCGCGCGCGCGGCCCAGTAGGCCTCGGCGGCGTAGGCGCCGTTCTTGTACTCGCGGAGCACCAGATCCCGCTCCAGGGGGATGTTCAGCACGACGCCGAGCATCGTCAGGATCGACAGCCCGAGCACGCCCATGGCGACGCCCGACACCGCCCAGATCGACACGCCCGCGTCGTAGAAGACCAGCCCCACGAGCACCGCGACGAGGCACGGCGGCACGAGGAACTCCAGGCCTTGATCCTGGTCCACGCAGAACACGTAGGCCGACCGCTCGAAGAGTATGGTGAATTGCTCCCAGAACGACGCGCCGTAGCCGGGCGCGAGAAACGGGAGGCTGTGCTTCTCCTCGCACGCGCCCGCGCGCGCGAGGGGCGTCGTCTTCAGCCCGCGCCGCGCCCGGTCCCAGGCGTCGCCCCAGACGTCGCCGCCCTCCGTCGCGAGCGCGACCATGAAGAAGTCCGCGGGGTTCTCGGCCTCCGGGACGGGACGCCCCGCGGACCTCAGAAACGGCGCGAGGGACGCGGGCGGCCCCTCGAAGGCGACGCGCCCGTCGCAGAGGGCTAACGTTCGCGGGAAGGCGGCGAGCACGGCCCACTGGGGCTGGTGGATCGTGCAGAGCACCGTCCGCCCGCCGTTGAAGCCCAGCGACCGCAGCAGGGAAGCCACGCGACACGCCGCCTCCGCGTCGAGGCCCGTCGTCGGCTCGTCCAGAATCATGACGGGCCGCGACGCCAGCAGGTCCATGCCGATGGACACGCGCTTCCGCTGGCCGCCGGAGACGCCGAGCCTGCCCCGGCCGCCGACGGCGACGTCCGCGCAGGAGCCCAGATCCAGCGCCACGAGGACGTCCTCGGCGCGCTGGAGCCGCTCGTGGCGGCTCGCGCAGGACCCGCAGCGCAGCCGCGCCGTGTAGTGGAGCGTCTGGCGCGGCGTCAGCTCCGGGATGAGCGCGTCCGCCTGCGGCGTCAGCGTCGCCAGCAGCTTGAACCGCTCCGCGTCGAGCGGCCGGCCGTTGACGTCGACGTCGCCGGCGACGTCGCCGTCGACGCGGCCGCAGAGGGTCTCCAGGAGCGTCGTCTTCCCCGCGCCGCTCGGCCCCAAGACCGCCGTCGCCGCGCCCGGGTGGAACGCGCACGACACGCGGCGCAGCGTCGCCGCGCCGTTCCTCCGCGTGCACGTCACGTCGCGCAGCACCACGGACACGGGCGGCACGTCGTCGTCGAGGGCGCCGTAGACCTCGTCGTCGTCCGGGAGCGCCCCGGCGAGGAGCGGCGTCGTCGTCGTCTCCAAAGTTTTTTGGGGCTCGAGCGCCTTCGCGAACGCGAGCGTCTTCGCGAGCTGCGGGTGCGACGTGAGCGCCGCCGGCGCCGCCGGCGCCGCGGGCGCGAGGCTCGACACGGGCGCGTCGGCCATGGCGAGGCGCGCGTGCGTCGCGAAGAAGCCCAGGACGACCAACGCGACCAGGATCGCTCCGAGCGCGAGGAAGCATCTCGCTTGATCCGCCTCCCGCACGTCGAAGAGGTCGGCGTCGAAGACGACGCGCCGGCCCTTGTCCGTCTTCGTCAGGGCCGCGCCGAAGAGGAGCTTGAGCACGTAGGCGAGCGGGTTGGGCACCTGGAGCCACGCGACGCCCGGCCGCAACAGCGTCCGCGGCGGGAGGAACCCCGACGTCAGGAGCATCAACACCATGAGCGCCGGCACGGCCTTGACGGACACGAGCGCCGACGGGAGCACCGTGCCCAGGATCAGGCCCACGACCATGAAGACGACGAGCCCGAGGAACGACGCCGCGAACCACGCGAGCGGCCGCGCGTCGGGCGCGCTCGGCAGCGCGAGGCTCGGGTAGAAGATGGCCATAGACAACGCGGCCAGCACGAGGGCGCTCAACGCCGCCGTCGTCACGCGCGCGAGCCAGTAGGCGCCGCTCCCGAAGACGCCGTTGCGGTACTCGCGAACCGTCGCCGCGCGCTCGAGCGGCATGACGACGACGAGGGGCAGCGTCGCCGCCTGGTAGAGCACCAATGCGAAGAACAGGATCCCGTTGGCCTTGGCCACGGACGGCGGCGCGCCGAAGAGCTGCAGCGCCAGAAAGGCCACGGAGAACGCCGTGAGCGCGAGCGACGTCGGCCCCTGGGACGGGTCCGCGACGTAGCAATGGAGCGACCGCAGCAGCAGGACCTTGTACTGCTCGACGAAGCTCGCGGCGTAGGCCGGCACGCAGAGTCGCGCCGTGCCGTCGCCGCGCTTGCTCGGGAGCGGCGCCGGCGCGGGCTCGTCGCCGTCCGCGGCCCACGCGCGCGCCCAGGCCCGCGAGCCGTCCGCGGCGAGCCGGGCCAGCGCGAAGTCCGCCGGGTTCGCGCCGGCGGGGCAGGGCGCGCCGTGGTCCGCGAGGTAGGGCCCGAGCTGCGCGGGCCGCCCCGCGAAGGCGACGCGGCCCTGGACGCCCAAGACGACGACGCGCCGGCACGTCGACAGCGCCGCGAAGGAGGGCTGGTGGACGACGGCGACGACGTTGCGCCGCTGCGCCTGCGCCACGTCCGCGAAGGTCTTGAGCAGGGCGAGCGCCGCGTGCGCGTCGAGGCCCGACGTCGGCTCGTCCATGAGCAGCACGGGCCGCTCCGCGAGCAATTCGAGCGCCGCGCCCGCGCGGCGCCGCTCGCCGCCGGAGACGCGCGAGAGGGCCGCGTTGGCCACCTTGGCGAGGCCCAGGCTCCTCAGGGCGCTCGACGCCGCGGCGAACTTCTTCGCGCGCGACCACCGCCGCGGGCTCCGGAGGAGCGCGCCGTAGAAGAGCGCGTGGCGCACCTGGGCGGGAAAAGGGTGATTCAACGTCGCTTCAACGTGCGTGTTCCGCGCGCGCGCGTGCCGGAAAAATCATCCACGCTTCGAGACCGTTCCGAGAGATGATCGCTCGTCCAAAAGTCAGCCGAAACGAGTGGAAAACGGCCGAGAGATGAGCCTTTGAAGCTGGGCATGTCGCGCCCTTTTCCCGCCCTGGTGGCGGACCGTCAGCGCGCCGTGCACGAAGTCGTCCTGGGGCAGCGTGCTCGACGCGAAGCGCTGCTCCGCCGCGCTCGGCGCGACGCCGTTGAGGCGCAGCGCGCCGCCGACGTTTCCGCCCGCGTGGCCGCCGAGCACCGACAGGAGCGTCGACTTGCCCGCGCCGGACGGGCCGAGCACGGCCGCGCTCTGGCCGTGGTCGAAGCGCGCCGTGACGCCGTCGAGCAGCCGCGTCCCGTCGACGTCGTAGGTCAGCCCCCAGAGCGCGATCTCCACGGGCTCGAAGGTCGACTGGGGCGCGAGCGCCAGCGGCGCCTCCGTGTCGGCGAAGGAGCGGCGCATCGTCGGGCAGCCCCGCTCGAGGCGCGGGCAGCCCCCGGTGCTGTGGGCCTAGCTGGCGCTGTGTTGGCGTGGGCAGCCCCTGGTGCTGCGGGCCCCGCCCACGGGAATGCGACGGCGCGCCGAGAAAAGTGGGCCGAGAATCGATTGCATCACACAAGGGGCATCGGATTTTGCAGCTGTCGCTGAACAGCACTGGTCGGCAAATGTGCGCGCGCATTGACTGCTAGACGCGCGCTCAGCCTCATCGAATCCCCGCGCGCCGTCGCGAGCTTCGAGCCCCAGCGGACCAGCACCACTTCGCACCGTCGCAAAAAAAGCGGACGGGCGCGAACGCGAAACGACCGCCATGTCCTCGACGCGCCGCGCCGGCGACCGCGGCGACTCCAAGCGCGACAAGGAGGTCCCGAAGCAGGTCGACGACGTCGAGCAATGGACGTCCGTGGCCAACAAGCTCGACATCGACGACGCGACGGCGACGGCGACGGAGAAGGCGCTCCTGAGCGACGCGCTCGCGGCGGTGAAAAAACAAGCGGCCGAGCTCGACGAGACGCGCTGGCTCTACGAGGACATGCCCGCGACGCCCGAGGCCCTCGAGGCATCCGCGGGGCTGTGACGCGACGCCGCGCGTAATAAATAGATCACCCCACACGGCGCCTCGCCGCGGCCCGGCCCGCGCCGCCAGTCTCGGCGGAAACCCCATAGTTACCCCGGCGGCTCCTCGCGCTCGAAGGGGTCATGGTTCGCCAAGTCGCGCCAGATCGTCGATCCGCCGAGGACGTCGTCGAGGGCCGCGGCCGCCGCCGCGTGGCCCCGGAGCGCCGCGGCGCGCCAGCGCGCCGCGGCCTCGTCGTCGTCGCCGCGGTCCTCGGCCAGCGAGCCGAGGCGCGCGAGCGCGTTCGCGTGGCCCAGGCCCGCGGCGGCGGCGTAGAGCGGCTCCGGGTCGCCGCTCGCCGCGGCGCTCGCGAAGAGCACGTCCGGGTCCGTGGCGTCGGCGTCCGCCTCGGCGTGGAACCAGAACACGAGGGACGTCCGCGTCCCGTCGTCGACGTCCGCGACGCCGTGGAGCAGGACCGCGTCGTGGACGAGCGCGTCGCGGCCCGCGAAGACCGCGCGCCGCCGGCTGGACACGTGCGGGCCCGACTGGACGAAGTAGTGCCCGGAATGGGCGTCCGGCGCCAAGTCCACGACGGCCGTCGCCGCCGCGAAGGCGTCGAAGTGGGGCTTGAGCCGCGCGCGGTCCCGCGCGCCGTAGACGCGCAGAAACGCCGAGACCTCCGCGCCCGCGAAGCCCGCGCGCGCCGCGACGCCGCGGCCGGCGGCGAGCGCCCGGGCGCCGAGCGTCGGTTCCAGGACGACGTCGCGGTCGACGAGGAGCGCGTGGCGCTCCGGCAGGCCGTCGACGGAGTCCTCGTCGTCCGAGTAGTCGAGGTCCGGCGCGCGGCGGCGGAAGGCGTCGGCGTCGGCCTCCGAGAGCGCGCCGTTTACGTAGAAGCACCGCCTCGCGTGGCCGCTCGGCGTCGCGAGCGGCCCCGGCGCCAGCGGCCAGGTGCGCCGCAGACCCAGCAGCCGGAGCGCGTCGCGGGCCGGCCGGGAACCGGCCATCGCGAGCTCCGTGAGCCGCGCCGGCGCGACGTGCGCGTCGAGCGCGAGCGCGTCGTCGTCGTCGTCCTCGACGAAGCCCAGCCTTTCGAGCGCGACGCGCGCCGCCGTGTCGCAGCGGGGCCCGTCGCGCAGCGATGTCGCCCTCTGGTGCGGCGGCACGGCGCGCAGCGTCGTCGCCTCGGTCTCCACCTCGAGGTAGGCCACCAGGAGCTCCAGAGCGAGGGGCACGGCGCCCTTCAGCTGCTGGTTCTGTTCCACGCCGGGCTCGCAGGAGTCGCCGAGCCAGAGGTCGAAGCGGCCGTCCCGCTCGACGAGCGCGCCGGCCGCGAGCAGCGCGCCGTCGTCCGTCGCCCAGAGCGACCGCGCGCAGCGCTCGCCGGGCTCGAGGTTCTCGTCGTCGTCGACGAACCAAGCCGGGGCTTCGGCGATCTCCACGGCGGCGCGCCGGAGGGTTGGGCGTCTTTCGTGGTGCCGCCGGAGGCACGGCCGTCCTTGGTGGTGCCCGGGCAGCCAGAGCAGCGCGAGGCCGCGCATGCCGTAATTGCCACTAACCTTGATGGCTTTTGTGGGCTCTCTACCGTGCAGCGCTGGCCCGCCGCTCTGCGAATCGTGTTGCACCAAGTTGGTGCACCGCTGCGAGCGTTCTATAAGCTGTCTGCAGCTCGGCCACGCGAGTTCGACGGCTACCTCATCGCGTCACCATCGGGCCAAAGCACTGCATCATGACGAGACGGTGACGATGTTGACGCTTGCCGAAGCGCAGGTGTGGACGACGTGAGGTCGACTTTTCGGCGCCCACCATGAGCGGCATGGTCAAGCGATCGGCGGGGAAGCAGATGGGCCTCTTCCGCACGCTCGCGCGCGAGGAGCAGAAGAAGCTGCAGGCCCTCAAGGCCGGCGACGGCGACGCCAAGGCCATCGCCGAGAGCGAGAAGCGCCTGCGCCAATTGACCGAGAAGATGGCCAAGCTCGGCAACACGCCCGACGCCACGGCGGAAGAAGAAGCGGAGGCCAGTCAGCAGGCGCGGCGCGAGTCGCACGTCCGCCGCCAGGCCGAGGTCCACCTCAGCGACAACATGACCGAGGAGGAGCTCAAGGCCTGGCGCCAGCGCCGCGAGGACGAGAACGTCGCCGCGGGCGCGCCGAAGAACAGCCGAAAACTCGAGGAGACCATGGGTGCGTGCTCCGTGTGCTACGTGCCCACCTCCAAAAAGACGCTCACGGGCGTGACGACGAGCTACTTCTGCTCGCCCAAGTGCCAGCCTGTGTGCAAATCAAATCTTCAACCCGACTTCAATGTGAGCGTATGCGACCGTTTCGACGCGAGGCTTTCTGTTGTGCCTCGAGAACTCGCTGAGAGCAATCGATTCGTCCAAAAATCAGCCGAATCGACTTCGATTTGACCGAGCTAGAGAATTCTGAAGTTTGGCCCCGACGTCCCAGCTCACTGGTTGATTTCCACACAGGTGCCAGCGCGACGGCTGGAAGGGCCACCTCGAGCGCGTGCGCAAGGACGAGCTCGCCGAGCGGAAGCGGCGGGAGCTGGAGGAGGACATGCGGCGGGAGGACCTGGGCTGGGACAAGCAGACGATGGACAAGCTCGCCGACGAGGACGACCGCACGCCCGACGTCGACTTCTTGGGCACCGCGCGGGGCAAGTGCTACGACACGGGCTGCAGCGGCTACGTGCAGCAGCGCGGCGCGCCGCGGAACATCAAGCCGCGGACGGGCGCCGACGGCAACGTCGAGTGCGGCGTCTGGTCCTGGAACCGCGTCGACCACCTCGCGTGCCGCCGCTGCGGCGCGCCGTCGGGCGCGCACGAGGACTTGACGGAGGAGCTGAAGAAGCGCAACCGCCGCGCGACGGCCGGCGGCGGCGCCGCGACGAAGCGCAACGACGGCGGTAGGGACGCGCGGCTCTCGGGCAAGGCCCGCCACCGCGGCGGCCTCGCGAGCGGCTACTACTACGCGCACAAAACCGGCACGTCCAAGGACGCGCCGGCCTACGCGCCCAACAAGCTCGCGGGCGCGTCCGAGTCGGACACGGACGAGGACGAGGCCGTCACCTACGTCGGCGGGTCCAAGCAGGTCGCGAGCACGCCGGGCAAGGGCACGTCGGACTACTACTACGCGCACAAGCCCGAGAACCACGTCACCAAGGTCGACATGCCGCCCCAGAAGCTCGCGTAGGTTGTTTTTAGATCGACGGGCGGCGAAGAAGGGGCGGCGGGCCGGGGGACTTGGGCCGGCGGCGCCGGAGCTGGCTTCCGGCCTACTCCGGGTCCCAGTCCTCGAGGAAGTCCGCGTCGGGCTTGACGGCGCCGAAGCCGCCGATGGGCCCGCCCTTGGCCGGCAGCGCCTTGCGCGCCGCCGGCGAGTCGAGGGACGCGTCCCAGTCGTCGTCGACGAAGCCGTCGTCGGGCCGGACGCCGCCGAAGAGCGACGGCGCCTTCGGCTTCGAATCCTCCGCCTTGTCCTTCTTCTTCTTCTTGGACTCCTTCTCCTTGTCGGCGACCTTCTTCTTCGCGGCCTTGGCGCTGTCGCGGCGCGCGTCCGCGAGCGCCTTGATGCGGTTGAGCCGCTCGCGCTCCGCGAGCAGGTCGTCCTCGACGTTCTCGTCGTCCGAGTCGTCGACGCGCTTCTCGGGCTTGGCCCGCGACCGCTTCGAGGGCTTGCGGCTCCCGCCCTCCTCGAGGCGCTTCGCGAGCGCCGACTTGGGCTTGGACTTGCGCGGCTTCGAGCCGTCGCCCCACTGGATGTCGAGCTCGTCGCCGCCGGCCGCGCGCCGCGCGATCTTCGCCGCGGGCAGGTCGCGCTTCTTCGGCGCCTCGGCGGGCGGCGCCGACGCCGCCGGCGGCGTCTTGAGGGCGTTCTTCCCCGCCGCGGCGACGAGGGGCGTCTCCGGCTCCGGCTTCTTGCGGCGCCGGGCCGCCGCGTCGTCGTCGAGGAACGACGGGGCCGCGCCGCGCGCGCGGCGCCGCGCGGCCGTGTCGTCGAGGGCCTCGGCCCCGAGGTCGATCTCGTCGTCGAACTGGGGCGAGTCGTCGCCGGAGCGGCGCGCCAGCGGCTCGGGCTTCTTCGGCGACCGCTGCTTGAGCGCGCGGACGTGCGCCGGCGGCACGCCGCGCTCGCCTGGGCAGCAAAAGAGAGATTCAACGTCGCTGCAACGTGAGTGTTCCGCGCGCGCGCGTTCCGGAAAAAGCATCAACGCTTCGAGACCGTTCCGAGAGACGATCGCTCGTCCAAGAATTAGCCGAAACGAGTGGAAAACGGCCGAGATAGGAGCCTTTGAAGTTGGGAATTTCGCTCTCTTTTGCTGCCCTGGCGCTCGCGGTCGCCGTCGTCGTAGTCGACGTCGTAGGTGCCGTCGGCGCCGCCGCAGCGCACGGTCCCCGGGTAGGTCGCGTCGCCGCCGCGGCAGCGCGCGAGCACCTTGTCGCCCGCGCGGTGGCGGTCGCCGTCGCGGAATGCGAGCGCCGACCCGGGCACGCGGCCCTCGCGGTCGCCGCCGCGGTCGTAGTCGACGTCGTAGCGCTCGCCCGGGCGCACGCGCACGACGACGCCCTCGCGGCTCGGCTCGCCGCGGGACCCCTGGACGACGACGGCGTCGCCGCAGCGGAACGCGGACTCGTCCTCGTCCTCCCACCTGGGCAGGAAACGGGCGATGCTCTCACGCGAGCGTTTCGCGCGCGCGCGTTTCATAAAAAAGCATCCAAGAACGCTCCAAGGGATGATCGCTCGTCCAAACATCAGCCGAAACGAGCGGCCGAGCAAGGAGCCTTCGACGTTGGGAAACCCTGTTCCCGCGCCGCCTCCCGCTGGTCGTCGTCGCGGCGCCGCGCGGCGCGCTCCCGCGCGGCCTTCTGGGCGGCCGTCTCGCGCGGGGGTTGGGCCGGCGACGTCGGCGCCGAGGCGTCGCGCGGCGCGGGCTCGGGGTCCGCGTTCTCGCCGTAGTACTCGGGCGCGTGGCGCGCGCCGCGGCCGCGCGGCGCGTCGTCGCGCTCCGGGGGCACGAAGTCGAAGGCGGCGCGCATCGGGGCCGGCTTCTCCGGCGACGGCGACGCGGGGCCGTCGTTGAGGATGTCGTCCATCTCGTCGGCGAGCTGGCTGAAGTCGGGCTCGTCGGCGTCGCGCGGCGGGCTCGCGGGCGGCGGCGGCCGCGACCGGTCGGGCGACCGGGGGTGGTCGCGGCGGTCCCGGTCGTCCGGGCGCGGGTCGCGGCGGTCCCGGTCGTCGCGGCGCGGGTCGCGGTCGTCGCCGCGGCGGTCCCGGTCGTCGCGGCGGCGGCCGTCGCGGCGGTCGGGCGACGGGCCGCGGCGGTCGCCGCGGCGGCTCCCGTCGTAGCCGCGGTCGCGGTCGCGGTCGTCGTCGCGGCGCCGCGCGTCGGCGTCGCCGCGGTAGCGGTCGTGGTCGTCGTCGTAGCGGTCGCGCGGCGGCTCCCCGCGGCCGTCGTCGTAGAGCGAGCCGTACTCGTAGAGCGCGGGATCTTCCAACTTCTTCGGCGGCGCCTTCGCGGGCGCGGGCTTGGCCTTGGTCGCGCCCTGGGCGTCGGCGACGAGCTCCTTGAGGCCCGCGACCCAGTCGGCGTGCTCGCCCGTCGTCGCCGCGTGGAGCACGTAGGACCGCGACGGGTGCTCGACGACGAAGCACTTGGGGCCCGCCTCTCTTATTGCGGTGATGTCGCGGAGGAACATCCAGCCCCGGGGCTCGCGGTCGCGGTCGCTCTTGTAGTAGCAGAGCGCCATCTTCGCCGGCCCGCCGCTGCGCTTCGACCCGGGGTCCGGCGTGATGGCCTTGACCTTGAACCAGCGCCGCGTCTCCGACGACCCGAAGCCGAAGCCCTTGGACTTCTTGTCCTTGGTGAGCCAGCCCTCGAGGGTCGTCGGCGGGCCGGCGGTCATCGTGGGGGGGGGCGGGGGGCAGTCGGGGGACGAGCGGGGTGGGTGTGCACCGCCGCTTTACGGGCTGGGCAACGACTTCTCGGAGGCTGCCCCCGATGATGTGGAAGGTGGAAGGATGCAAGGCCAACACCTTGAGGTTTACGCTCGCTTTAATCGCTGTGGACATTTGTGGCTGTCGAGCGCATCCTACGCAACTGGGATATGGAGGCGCCGGGCGCGCCGACGAGCCCGCCGGCGTCGCCGACGCGCAAGTCGAAGTTCGACCTCGTCCACGAGAACAAGCTCTTCGCGAACAAGCACAAGGACACGCTCGCCTTCGCCGTCTTCGCCCTCAAGTTCAGCGGCTACTCCTTCCTCGCGCTCGGCGTCCTGCAGACATTGGCCAAGGCCGCCCCGGCCTGCCTCGACAGCGTCGCCTACGGCGTGTTCCTCCTCGACGCCGCGCGGCGCGTGAACAAGTTGTGCAAGCAGGAGAGCAAGAAGGCCGCGCAGGACCAGCTCGTCGACGCCGGGGCAGGACAAGAGAGCGAAATTCCAAACGTTTTCCACTCGTTTCGGCTGATTTTTGGACGAGCGATCATCTCTCGGAACGCTCTCGAAGCGTCGATGTTTTTTCCGGAACGCGCGCGCGCGGAACACTCACGTTGAAGCGACGTTGAATCACTCTTGTCCTGCCCAGGTCGACGCGTTGGACAGCGTCGCGCAGTGCCACGCGATCTTCGCCTGGGTGACGATCATGGCCGCGGGCGGCCTCTTCGCGGACGTGTCCGGCCTCAAGGCCTGGGGCCTGCGATGGGCCGAGGAGAATGATGTTGTGAACGCGGTGCTCGGCTACAACGAGTACTACTGGTACTCGTTCAAGGGCGTGGTCGCCGCGGGCGGCGCCGCGGGGCTGAAGTTCGGCGGCTACGACTACATGGTCGGCAAGGTCAAGTACTGGACCAAGGCCTCGAAGATCGGCGCGGAGATGGCGAACCACAAGTACGCGAAGCTCCTCGCGACGAAGCCCAAGGAGGAGTAAATTTTCCTTACGTGCGGTCGCCGAAGACCGCGGCGAACGCGGCTCCGTGCGCGCGCTTGAAGAGCCCGTGGGCGGCGTTGAGCGTCGTCGCGCGGCCCCACCAGCGGTCCTCGTGGACGGCGATGCGCCGGTCGTCGGCGAACGTGAGCACGATCGTGGACTCGAGCGCGAAGGACAGGGGCGCGCGGCGGAAGGCGTAGGTCGCGACCTGGCGGCAGCGCGCCTGCGCGGGCACGACGTCGCCGTCGCCCGCGCCGCCGACGGCGTCCTCGCTCAGCGCCTGGCCGCGGAAGAGCGGCGGGTGGTACGTCCACGGCTCGTGTTTCGCGTCGACGTCGAAGAGCCACCGGATCGCCTCGAAGCCCGCGACGATGCCGGCCCGCGGAATCGTCCCGCAGGGATCGTCGAAGACGGCGCCCTCGCCGTAGAGCGCGCGCAGCGCCGCGCCGTCGAAGCGGCCGCAGTGCGCGCGCTGGATGGTCGCGCAGATGGGCGCGGCCCAGGCCTCCATGTCCTGCGCGGAGGTCGTCGCGAAGCGCCGCAGCATGGATCGCATCGATGCGGTGTGGCCGGCTCCCACGACTGCGACTGGCACCACTACTGCAGCACGTACGACGGAACCGACTGGGTCTTCTACTTCGACGGGAGTGCTAGTTCAGACGCGCTGCGCAGGGCAGGACGCGGCCATGACGCAGACATGCGATTTGCCACGGCAGCATCCAGTCATGTTGACGCAAAGTTGCCCTTTTAATGCCGCGCCAGACGGCGCTGTCACGCGCGAAGAGGACCCCCAGATGCGCCCTAAGCACATGAGCCGAGCTTAGTGGCCGCCCGGCGGGGACCAGAAGGAGAAGACGACGACGAGGGCGTCGTGCGGGAGCGCGAGGTTCGACAGGATGCTCATGAGCGGGCGGCGGTGGCGCTCGACGTGTGCGTTCCAGCCGCCGTCGTGGATGATGTCGGCCATGTAGTCGTGGAGGGCTCCGTTCTCTGGCGTAATCTCGGCTCTACGCAAGACCGTGATGGCCGCGCCAGCGCGGAGCAGCATCAGGGCGACCTCGCGCTGACCTTTGAAGATGGCAAAACGCAGCGGGGTGAAGCCGTGTTGATTCCTCGCTTCCAGATTCGCGCCGGCGGCGATGAGGAGTCTGATGGCATCAACACGTCCACATTCAGACGCGGTGTGAAGAGCAGTTGTGCGATCGATCGCTTGATGGTTTGGGTCGGCGCCCGCATCCAAAAGAAGACGCACGCAGGCAGTGAAGCCTGGGCAAGCGGCGCGCTGGAGCGCGCTAACGCCGGTTGTTGTGGCAGGGAGGTTCGCATCTGCTCCTTCGGCCAAGAGTATTTCGCACATCCCCGCAAGCCCTTCGGACGTGGCGAGAAACAGCAAGGGGAAATGCCCGCGCGCTCCTGTGAGTTTGTTGCGGCAAGGCACCATCCTGTTCACGTCGGCGCCGCGGCGTATTGCATCGCGCAGCGCGGCTGCATCGTTTCCCTTTATCGCGCGCTTAGCTAAGTAAGCAAGTAGCCCTTCCCAATCCTCCATTCCCTGACCACGCGCTCTATCGACCGTGACTCAGAGCAGAGGCGCGGCTTCGCTGCGCAGCGGAAGGTCGCGGGCGGAGGCGCAGAGCGAGGCTCAGTACTGGACAAGAAGCTCTCCGCTCAAACCCATGCCGCGCTTCACCATTGGTTGCAGCCCCCGATGCATCGCGAAGCTTGAAATCTTCAATCTTGCGCCCCCAACATCCCCAACGTGCCGCCGCTTCAAGAGTCCTGAGCACCGAGCGCGCCGCGACGATGGCTGCGCTCCACGCGCTCCTCCTCGCGTTGGTTGCGCCCGTCGCCCGCGGCTGGACCGCGTCGCCGCGGCTCGCGCCGCGGCGCCTCTCGTTCCGGCTGCGCGCCGAGCCGCAGCTCCCCGGCGCGGCCGACATGCGCGAGATTAGCGACGAAGAGAAGACCGAAGGCATCCCGAACTACATGATCCGCACGTCCGGCACCGTCGTCCGCCTCGCGGAGGGCTCGGCGACGGCGGTGGCCGAGGACGGATTGCTCTTCGACGCGGACCGCGAGGTGAGCATCGTGACGTCGGACGTGATCGAGATGGTGCAGCAGCAGGGCGGCTCGGCCGAGAAGATCGACTACCTGGGCGAGAACATGCTCGTCGAGGGCATGCTCTTCGACGATTTCATGGCCAAGGACGTCTTCGAGGTCGCTCCCGCGGGCGCCGCGGACGAGGACGTCGTGACGCTCGAGATCGTCGAAGCCCGGTCGTCGCTGACGCTCGATCTCGGCCAACTCGGCCAAGACGAGGACAAGAAGCGAAGCATCGAGAGCATCACCTCGATCGCCCCCGGGTTCTCCGGCTGGACGGCGCGCGTCGTCGCGGCCGGGCGCGTGCGCGCGGGCTTCACCATCGCCAAGCGCGACCCTTCCCCGGCTTAATCGCACTGATTATGATGCCTCCGGATCCGGCGGCGGCTCCGGCGGCGAGGCGGCGCCGTCCTCCGCCGGCGGCGCCGGGAGCGCCGCGGCCGGCGCCGGGAGCGCCGCGGCCGGCGCCGGGAGCGCCGCGGCCTCCTCCTCCTCCGCCTCCTCCTCCTCGCCGTCCGTCTCCGCCTCGTCGTCCGACGGCGGCAGGTCCACGCCGTCGAGGTAGCCGCCGTCGTCGCCGCCGTCCGAGTCCGACGGCGGCAGGTCCATGCCGTCCATGTAACCCGCGTCCGGATCCGCCTTGCGCGCGCGAGCGTCCGCCTTGTCCGCCGCGCACTCCTCGAGGAACGCCGCCTCGGCGGCGGCGACGCCCGCGGCGTCGGCCGCGGCGCAATAGCGCTCGAGCGCCTCCGCGTTCAGGCGGAAGAACTCGTCGCCGTAGGAGAAGGGCTCGAGGAGCGCCTCCGCGTCCTCCCGGAGCCCCGCGATGGCGAGCGTCGCCGCGAGCGCCTCGGCCGTGTTCATCTTGAAGGGCCGCCCGTAGTTGACCGTGTTCGCCGCGACGAGGAACGGCAGCTTCCGCTGGTGCCGCGGTTTGCCGAGCGCGGCAAACGGGATCTCGTCCAAGCGGTTCCACGAGCAGTTGATGCCCGCGACGCCGCCGGCCTCGATGGTACCGCGGTCCGCCGGCGACACGACCGACGCCGCCTCGCTCGACAGCACGATGCCGTTGAAGGCCTTCTTCATGGGCTGCGTCCGCGCGAGGCCCAGCCGCACGAGCTTCGAGCCGCTGTCGCGCTTCGCGTCGTTCTGCCCGAACTCCCACATGCAGACGCGCGTCGCCAGCTTCGTCGCCGGCGCCGCGTCGTCGTCGCGGCGCGGGTCGCGGTGGTGGCGGCCGCGGCCCATGGCTGCTGCGGCGGCGTTCGGCACCAGCTCTCGCCCGATTGCTGCAACCAAGCCTCAACCACTGCAAGTTGTACAGCAAGTTGCCGCATATACCAAGTTCGCGGAACAATGCAGGCCCGCGCACTGGACCAGCATGCTTCAAAACACGCTGCTCTGCGATGCGTGCAAAACAGTGCTCAAACAAGCACGCATTGCCGCGGCTAAGCGCGCGCGTTCGTGCCTTCGCGGCGCGCGCGCGGCGCCGCACGGCGCGAGCATTTTAGCGACCAACTACACCGTACACCCCGTACCGAGCGGACTCGAAATAGGAGAATCTAGCGGCGTCGAGGCGTCTTTCTCTCTAACTTCAAGAATCGCTCACCTTGAAGCAATTACCATCCGCCGGTTCGACCTCTTCAAAATTCGCCTTTGCCGACCCGTAAGCCGGCGCCGTCGTCGACCCCGCCGCGCCGTCGACCCCGTGCCGCGGCCCGCGCGCTCGCCGTCCCGTGCACCGTCGCACAGCGGCAGCGCACAGCGGCGTCGCCGCGGCTTCACCCGCCGACGCGACCGCAACCGCACAGCGCAAACAGACCCTCGATGGCCGGCTTCAGCGGCCGCGGCGCGCGCCAGGCCCGCGGCTACAAGACGTCGTCCGACGACGGCTACAGCGGCCTCTTCCGGGACCGCGGCGCGCCGCGCGCGTCGGCGGCGAGCGGCCGCGCGTCCGTCGGGTCGCCCGACCGGGGCTCGCAGAGCGACGGCGGCTGGCGCCTGAGCGACCGGCTCTACGAGCTCAGCCTCGAGGCCGAGGAGGAGGAGAAGCGCGTGCGCGCCGAGCGCGCCGAGCGCCACGACGCCGTCCTCGAGGCGGAGCGCGCGCGCGACCGCTACAAGGCGCAGCTCGAGGAGGCGAGGGCGGAGGCGCGCGCGGCGTACGACGAGGTCGTCGCGGCCCGGGGCGCGGCGCGGGACCGCGAGGACGACTACGTCAAGGAGATCGTCGTGTTACGGCACGAGCTCGCCCTGGCGAAGGGCGACGGCGCACCGTCGCTCGTCGACTTCGCGAAGCGCGGCGACGAGTGCCGTTTGCGGGGCGCGCTGTCGCCCGGGACGACGGACGCCGACGGGCGCTACGACGCGCTACTCGGCGACTTGTTGCGCCACGCGGCGTCGTCGGGCGAAAAGGGGGCCTGCTCCCTGCTCCTGCGGCGCGGCGCGCTCCGCGGCGAGCTCGCGGCGAGCGGCGAAGACGGACGGACCGCGCTGCACCGCGCGGCGGGCGGCGGCTCCGCGGAGGTCGTCGAATTACTTTTGACGGCCGACGCCTGCGCGCCGGCGGGCGGCGACCAGGACCCGTTGGATGTGGCGGACGCGCGGGGCTTGACGGCGTTGATGGTCGCGGCGGTGTCGAAGGCGCCGGATTGCTGCCGCGCGCTGATGCGCGCGGGCGCGGACGCGGAACTCTACTGCGACGCGTCGTCCTCGGACTTTGGCGGCAAGCGCGCCGCGGACCTCTGCGGGGACGACGCTCCTACGTTAGATGCGCTGCGGTCGTCGGGCGAGCGCTTCTGGAACGCGTCGGCGGCCGGAAACCGCGCGTGGCGCCGCAAGGACTTCGAAGGCGCGCTGGCCCACTTCAGCCACGCCCTCGAATTATCGTCGCAGCTCAGCGGCGAGAACCCGGAGGACTCGGCGCCGTCGGGCGTCGACCTGGCGCGGCTCGAGTTGAACTGCGCCAAGGCCGCGTTAAGACTGGGCCGCGCGTCGGACGCGTTGGGCCGCGCGGACAGCGCGCTCTCGAAGCACCGCGCGGCGACGCGGGGCGGCGTCTACGCGAACGCCCTGGCCGTGCGGGCCGAGTGCCGCGAGAGCCTCTATGACTTCGAGGGCGCGGCGGCGGACTTCTCCGAACTCGAAAAGGGCGGCGCGGCGAAGCCGTCCGCGGACGACGCGCGCCAGTGGCGAGACCGCGCGCGGCGCGCGCGCGACCTCCAGCACGCGACGCACTACGGCGTGTTGGGCGTGTCGCCGCGGTCCGACGACGCGGACGTGCGGCGGGCCTACCGCAAGGCCTCCATGCGGTGGCACCCGGACCGCCAGAAGGACGGCGACGTCACGCGCGACGACCGCGCGCGCGCGGAGCGCCACTTCCGCCGCATCAACGAGGCCAAGGAGGTGCTGCTGGACTCCTACAAGCGCGCGGTCTACGACGTCGAGGCGCGGCGGCGCCTCATGGACGAGGACGACCGGCGCGCGGCCGACGACGCGTGGGCGCCCTGGCACGCGCCCAAGGTCGCCGCGCCGGAGAAGCCCGCGGACCCGAAACACCCCGGCCGGCGCTTCTCCACGGCCTTCGCGGTCGCGAACCCGCCGGCCGTCGCGGAGCCGCCGGACGGCGCGCGCGCGGCGTCGCCGCGGCCCGAGAGCCGCAAGAGCGGCTACGCGTCCGGCGGCGTCCGCGACGTCGAGAACGCGGCGAGCCCGCCGGCCAAAAGCCCTCCGGACGCGCCCGTGGAGCGCGAGTGGTCCGCGCGGCTCCAAAAGTACGAGGACGAGCTCCAGCGCCAGCGCGACGAGCTCGACCGCGCGCGCGCGGCGCGCGTGTCCGCGTCCGAGGAGCGCGACCGCCGCGACAAGCTCGCGGACCGCCTCGAGGCGGAAGTCGCCGCGGCCAAGGCGCGCGCGGAGAAGCGCGCGTCCGACGCGCGCCGCGCCGCGCCCGCGCCCGCGCCGCGGGGCGACGACGACGACCGCCGCTTCGGCCGCGAGACCAACGGCGACGAGGAGCTCCGGGGCGACGGCGACGGCCTCTTCGGCAAGGGACCCCGCGACGCCGACCCCGCGACGTCCGACGACGACGACGACGACGACGACCTGCCGTCCACCGCGGGCGCGGCGGGATTCTTCGCGCGCGACGCCGGCGGCGACCACCTCTTCGACGACGTTTTGGACGACGACGACGACGACATGGACGACGACGACGGCGACGACGACAACGGCGACGGCGGCGACGGCGGCGGCGCGCGGAAGGACTCCGAGGACCTCGTGGCCCAGCTGCGCGACGCGGCGGAGTGGTTCGACCAGCTCGACGCCGGCGGCGCGGGCGAGCTGAGCATGGCCCACTTCGACGCGCTGTGCGAGAAGCTCGGGCTCAAGGAGGTCCTGGGCGACGCGGAGATGAAGCGGCAGCGGTTCTTCGCGGACCCCGTGGGCGCGGGCGTGCTCCGCCGCGGCACGTTCCTCGGCTGGTTCGCGGCGCTCCTCGAGGGCAGCGACGCCGTCGCGCCGCCGCCGCCGCCCCGGGCCAAGGCCGCGGACGCGCCGCCGCCGCCGCCGCCGCCGACCTTCGCGTGAGCCTCGTTTCGTGATTTTTTCCGCTCTCGACTAAACCAAGGAGATCTACACAGCCTAGGCCGCGTCCTCGCGGCGCTTCGCCTTCCGTCGTTTCCGCGCGAGCTGGGACGGGTACTGCGCCGCGCCGCGCGTCGTGTGCGTCTCGAGGCGACTGGGGTCGCGCGCCTTGAGCGCGTTGTAGAGCTCGAGCGTCGCCCAGGCGTCGGCGGCGGAGTAGAGCCGGACCTCCTTGGAGAGCCAGGAGAAGCCGCGGGGCCGCCGCTTGTAGAAGCGGAAGCTCTTCTGGATCCGCGTGTTCTTGACGACGTGGCGCGGGTCGCGGTTGAAGCTCAGGGACGCCGCCGCCGCCGTGAGCGACGGCAGGTGGCCCGGCCGCCGGTCCGGCGCCGCGAGGTGCGCGACTTTTTGCACGTCGACGACGTTCGCCATCTTCACGCCCAGGTTCTCGCTCGACGGCGGGCCGAAGAAGACCTTGGTGATGGACTCGTCGGCGAGGAGGCGCCGCAGCTCGCGCCCGACGACGACGTGGCCCGGCACGTCGAGGAGCACGCGGTCGCCGTACGCGACCTGCACGAGGAGCGGCGGCGAGAAGTGCGTGCCCTCGGCGTCGAGCGCGACGACGCGCGGCTTCGCGTTCCAGAGCGCGCGCCACGACGCGTCGGACGCCAGGTCCACGGAGCCGCCGGCCTCGAGGAACGCGCTCTCGAGCTTCACGGGCTTGAGCCGCCGCCGCGGCGGCACGAGCGGCCGCCAGGCGTTGAAGACGCGCCGCGCCCAGGCCCGGCACACGGCGACGGCGCTCATGGGCGTTTCCGGATTGCGGGAATTTGCGGCACGGGGAAACTAAACGCGCATCAGCTGCGGCCGCTCAGTGCCTCGTACGACACCATCTCTCGCCACAAGATCAAGGGCTCTCTTGATGTTGTCTCGAACCGCGCACCTCGTACCTAGTTAGGCTAGTTCAAGTTGTGTCAAGCCTGCAAATCTTTCACCGCCGAAGAAGATTGCCTCGCTGCACCACTGGATGTTGCGCGGCCATGGCCATTCTCTTGGTTTGCGACAACATGCGTATCCTCGGGAGATATGACCGTGCGAAAAACGCCGGCACTCCTCCGAAACACTAGTCGTTTGTGCTTGGCCAATCGGTTGATTTTTTTTGGTTGCCAGTGGCCGAGCCCCAAAAGAGCGACACGGGCGTGAGCCGCTGCTTCGCAAAGACGCACCTATGCTTCAGCGGCACGGGCTCGAGCTTCACGTGCGTCGCGAAGACGCACCTCAGGCCTATGCCTCTTCTTCTCCGAGTCACTGTCGGTCCTTCACCCCGCCTTCACGTGCCACGCGAACACGCACAGGCAGTTGATGCTGTCGGGGAGCGAGTTGTTTTGCGCAGCACTTGGCGCCGCCGGCTGCACTGCCTTTTGAGACGCGACCAGCGGCATATTTGCCAGCGTGCTCATGAGCAGCGGTTCGCCACGCTTGAATACTAGCGTGGACATGTTTGGCAATGGGATGGCGCTGCGAAACACGGCTTAAGTTCGAGCCATCCGAAGCTTGCAATCAGACAGTCAATCACGGGCAAAGCCAGCATTGAGGGCAATTTGAAGTCAGAGGACCCAAAAGCAACACTGATCCTACTCGTCCACCTCGCGCCAGAAGATAAGCCTGACACATGACCGTACTTACTTGCGCGCGAAGAACTCGGAGACCTTGCGCTGCTGGGGCGGCGGCTTCGCGCTGACCGCGCCGCCGGACCCGGTGGACCGGGCCTGGCGCAGCGCGAAGACGGCGACGTGCAACGCGCGCGGCTCGCTCTCGATCGCGAGCGGGCGCTTGAACGCGTCGCGGGCGCGGTACACCGTCGGGGCGCCGCCGCGCTCGGCGACGATCCTCAGGACGCGCGCGGTGCGCGCGCTCTCGGACTCCTTGTCCGCGGCCGAGAGGGCGGCGGTCTCCGGCGAGGCGTGGACGAAGTCGTCGGCGAAGATGATGAGCGCGTCGTGGGAGCGCAGCGGTTCGGGCAGGGCCTCGGCGAAGGCGCGGAGGAGCCCGAGGAGGTTGCGGAGCCGGTGCGCGGGCCAGTGGTGGGGGATCGCGCGGGCCCACTCGGGCCGCTCCGCGCAGAAGAGCTTCTGGCCCCAGTGCATGGGGTCCAGGGCGCGGTCCCGCGTCAGCTTCTTGAGCAGCGTCGCGAAGGTCGCGTCGCGGTAGCATCTCCCGCGTTTCACGCGGCCGCGCCACGTCTCCAACGGCTCCGCGCGCGACAGGAGCGAATCGATGTAGTGGAGCGGCCGGCGCGCGCTCCGGTTGTCCGTGTCCTTGGGCAGCGCGTCGTTGTCGCTGACGGTCTTGTGCGACCAGACGTTCGCGAAATCCACCTTCGCGACGCGGCCGTCGGCGACGCGGGCGACGGTCTCCCGGGCGCCGCGGCAGGTGCAGGCGACGACGCCGAGCGCGCGGACCGGCGCGCCGCCGGCGACGACGAGCTCCAGCACGAGGGGCAGCGCCTGCCGGAAGTCCCGCCGCGCCGTCTTCTCGGAGACGTTCTCGCAGGTCTCGCGCGTGATCGCCTTGTCGGCGGCCGCGTTGCGCGCCTTCTTGGCGCGCGCCGCGAGCTTCGCGTTCGTCTTGCGCCGGAGGGCCACGACGTCGATGGCCTCGAGGACCGCGCGGGCCGAGACGTCGACGACGAGGACCTTGAAGACGGACGTCTCGTCCGCGCTCGCGAGTTCCCACTTGAGGGCTCCGGCGCGCCGGCGCGCGTCGACGAGCGCGGCAAAGGCGAAGCCGTCGCCAGCGCGCGGCGCCACGCAGGGCGACGCGTTGTGCGCCGCGAGCTCGTCGTCCCGATAGTACCCTCCGCTCCAGATCTGCCGTTTCGCGTTGTACCGCCACGAATCCGACGCGCGCCAGGCGACGACGCGGTAGCGCTCGTGGGGCGCCGGCCGCCAGCCCAGCGCGGCGTCCAACGCGTCCGCGGCGGCCGTCGCGTCGACGAGGTCGCCGGAGAGCGCCCGCGGCGGGACCACGAGCAGCCGGTCCCGGACGACGGCCAAATCGCCGCCGCAGCAGCCCTCCGGCAGGCGCCACTTCGCGTCGTCGCAGAGCGGCGCCCCACGCACCAGCTCGACCTGGCCGACGCGCACCGTGGCGCGCTGGCCGACGACGCCGTCGCGCGCCGGCCAGAGCACGAATTTATTGTTCTCCACGCCGTCGCACCCGACGCGCTGCTTGTCGACGGTGCGCTCCCAAGCTGCTACTTGCCGGGACACTGTCCAGTGGCCATTATGACCAAAGCAATTCTCCTTGCCGAGGACCAATTTGTTCAGCCGATAACCTCGCGTCTTTGGCGCGGACCCAAGCGCTAGCAGAGCGGCGTCGGCTTCGCTGCGTCCGAGGACGCTATGGTGCACGAGAATCTCCGAGCGCCGATAGAGCCGAATCGTCTTTTGATCTCCTGGATAGAGACCCAGGTTTTCTATGACGCGCGAGTCCAAGTAGCAGCACGATGCCGCCGGATCGTCTCGTTCATAGGTCGCTGGGAAGGCGTGGGCAAATTGAAACTCTAGGTGGACGAAGTCATCGCCGTCGTTTTCAAGTTGCAGCTCGATATGATGGCTGTGGTTGTAGGCCATAATGTTTAAAACATCGGAGACATGCTCTCAGCACGGTTTTGCCGCGCTTCAAGGTGTCTGTTTGAACTAAAGTTGCAGTGCAAATTCACGCCTAGTCCACGCGCCGCTTCGCGAGCGCGTTCTGGAGGAGGTTGGCCATGGCGCGGCGCGGCGACGTGAAGTCCGCCGATGCCGACTTGCGCTCGATGGCCGCGAGGAGCGACGCCTTGCCCTTGTTCTCGTCGCCGCGCTTCGCGCGGATCGCCGCGAAGACGTCCGGCTTCTGGCGGCGCGGCGGCGGCGCGGCGCGCGGCGGGGGCGCGGGCCGCGGCGCGGCGACGGCGGCCTCCTTCGCCGGCGGCTCCGGGAGCGCGTCGTCGTCGGCGCCGAACGGCAGGAGCGCGTCGTCGAGGTCCTCGGCGGGACCCGCGCCGCCAATTTCGAAGCCGTCGGCCCAGGCGCCCGCGGCGCCGTAGACCGCCGGCGCGCGCTTCGCCGGCGGCAGGGTCTCCTTGGCCATGCGCTCGAGCTTCCGCTCGAGGTCCGCGCGCCAGGACGCCTTTTCTGCGTCGTCGAAGGCCTCCGGCAGCGCCGCGTAGACCGCCCGCAGCTCCAGGAGCGACAGGCTCTGGACGTGGTAGCGGCTCCGCAGGTCCGCGATGTGGACCTTGGCGATGGCGCCCTTGGACGCGCGCGTGAGCCAGAGCGCGGGGTTGGCGAAGACGCGCTTCGCCGCGGCCTTGGGCAGCCGGCCCTCGAGCTGCGCGAGCGACGCGCCCGTCGAGGTCATGGCCGGCGGCACGAAGCCGCGCACGACGCGCAGCGCCGCCGCGTTCGCCGGGGCGTGGTCGCGCCGCCACGCGGCCGCGGCGCGCGCCTCCTCGGCCGCCTTCTCCGGGTGCACGCGCAGGAACGCGTCCCAGCGCTCCATCTCGCGCTCGTCCTCTAGGGACCCGTCGCCGCCCAGCAGCCGCGCCGCCGCCGCGCGCAGCTTCACCTTGGCCTCCTCGAAGCTCACGACCTCGTCGATCGCCGTCACGCCCGCGCGTTTGAGCTGGCTCTTGAGCAGGTCGTTGTGCGTCTTCAGCTTCTCGAGGGCCGCGACGTCGCGCGCCTCCGCGGGCTCGCACTCGTCGGCGGACGACGCGCGCGCGAGCGTCGCGATCTGCTTCTTCTGCTCCTCGATGAGCGTCGCCTGCTCGCGCCGCGCCTGCTCGATGAGCGACTGGACCTGCTTGCGCGTGACGCGCCGGGCCACGGGGTGCATCCAGCCGCCCTCGGGCGACGGCGGCGCGGCGAAGGCCGGCGCCGCGGCCGGCGGCGCTTCGGCCGGCGGCGGCGAGGCCGGCGCCGGCGCGGCCGGCGGCGGCGCGGCCGCCTCCGCCGGAAGCTCGTCCGCGGACGACGACCGCTTGGCTCGGCGCCTCTTCTTCCGGGGCGCCTGGCCCGACGCCGCGTCCTCCGGCGCGGGCGGGAGCTCCTCCGCCGGCGCCGCGACGCGCGGGGCGGCGTCCTCCGCCGGCGTTGCAGCGACGGGCGCCGCCTCGCCCGCCGTCCGGCGCGTCCAGGCGACGACGACGACGACGGCGGCGAGCGCCGCGGCAAGCTCCCGCGGGTGCCGGAGCATGAAGCCGAGGCAGAGATCCACGTAGAGCTCGAGGCCGCTGCGCCGCGGGACGCCCTCCATAACGCTCTCGATGATAGCAGCCCCAAAGGCGGCGACGACTTCAAGAATCGCGATGTTTAATTCCCCGGCGGCGTCGGCGCGCCCTCAGCACTCGAGGACCTCGACGGAGTCCTCCTTGGACATGGCCTTCTTCGTCGCCGCGGGCGTCGGCGGCGCGGAGTCGTTCTTGATGTCGCGCGCGCTCATGTTCTTCGTGATGAGGAGCTGGCGCTTGCGCTCGATCTCCTCCTGGGCCTGGGCCTCCTCCGGCAGGCGGATCGCGGCGATGGCCTCGGGCGCGAGCACGTAGTACAACCCCCCCTCGGCGTCCGTGTGGCGCTCCATGACCATGAGCTGCGCGTTGCCCGGGTTGTACGTCTCCTCGAAGGCCTCGACGGACCAGTGGTACCACCGCATGAGAATCAGCCGCGCGGTCAACCCGTGGGTCACCAACAGCAGCGTCGTGTCCGGCGTGATCAGGCCGAACTCCATCTCGCGGTAGAGTGTCTCGAGCCACGTGGACACGCGGTCGTAGACGTCCGCGCCGCTCTCGCCGTTCGGGAACCGGTAGAAGAAGCGGCCGAACTCGTTGCGGCTGACCTTGCACTCGCGCATCTTCTGCGGGTCCTGGAAGTTGCCAAAGTCCTGCTCGCGGATGCGCGGCTCCTGGCGCCGCCCGACGATGCGCGACTCGGGGACGCCCGCGGCGGTGATGAGATGCTCGACCGTCTCCTGGCACCGCGCGTAGGGCGACGAGTAGATGAAGACGGGCCCCGCCGCGGCGTCGCCGTCCAAGATTTTTTTGAAGGACCGGCCGGCGGCCTGGGCCTGGTCGCGGCCCTTGTCCGTGAGCGACACCTTCCAGTCGGGCGTGTGCGTGTAGACCGTCTCGTCGACGTTGCCCGCGGACTGGCCATGTCTCACGAGGATGATGCGCCGCGGCCGCCGCGGCTGGCGCCGCGCGGGGGCCGGCGGCGGGCTTTCGGCGATGGGGGCCGCCGGCTGGACCTTGCCGAGGCCGCCGTTCTGGTGCTCCATGTGCGCGCCGCCGGGCGCGTGCTCCCGGGGCGACGGGCGGCCCATGAGCGTCTGCCGCATGGCCCGGATCATCGTGCGCTCGGCGTCGAGAGCTCCCGGTGCTCCGCGACCGGGTCGCGACGGCACGCGCCGGCGTCCGCGGCGGTGGTGGTCTTGTCGACGACGCTGCCGCTGCCGCTGGCGCGGAGGTTACAAGCTCAGGTCGGAGTTTCCCATATAGAAGTCCAGCTTTGAGCTTTGCCCGCACCATCATCGTCGGCGGAGAGACACCTCGTCGAGGAACGGGACCGATGGAGCGGCCCGCGGCGGAGCGCGTGCGGCCGCGGCCCCGGCCGCTGGAGCCCATGGCGAAGACGGCCATGACGCGGCGCAAATCCATGCGCATGCACAGTCCGCGCGCGGCGTCTGCCCCGCGCTGGCGAAGCGTTCCATGTGTCCGTTCCGTAGGCCGGTTCACGAAGGGCGTCGTCGAGCCGAGCGACCTGAAGATGGTCTTCGACGCCTTCGCCGCGGCGCCCGGGGGCCAGATGGACCTGGCGACGTTCCGGGGGCTGCTCGGCGACCTGGGGCTGGGCATGACGGACCACGAGGTCAACAACCTCTTCACGCAGCTCGGCGAGGACCTGGCGCTGGCGACGGGCGCGCGGTCCCTCGTCTCCGTCGACGACAGCGCGCTGCCGCGCGCGGCGTCGTCGTCGTCCCTCGGGATGCTGTCGCCGCCTACGAGCCCGAAGACGCCACCGAGCGGCGGATCCGCGGGGCCGGACTCGCCGCGGCGGCGCCGGAGCTTCGCCGACGCCCAGAAGGGCCTGCGGCGCGGCGCCGACGGCGACGCGCGCGTCAACGTCGACATGTTCATGGCGGGCATCCGGCGCCACCACTTCCTCCGGCGCATCGTCTCGCACTACACGTTCACGGAGCCGACGACGTGGGCCGTGCCCCGGGGCTACGACTACAACCGGTCGACGACGGAGAACTACGCCGCGCCCCTCGACGCGGGCTTCGTCGGCGAGCTCGTGGACATCCGCGCGCGGCTCGACGCGGACTACCACGGCAACTACGGCCACGCGCGGCAGCTCTGGCAGGACGCGGCCGCGCACGCGGTGGGCCTGCCCGCGGGCCTCGACCTCAATGCGCGCTGCGCGCCGAAGATCGACCGGTCGTCGCCCAAGTCGGCGAGCAGCTCGCCGAAGCACGGCGAGTGCGCGGCGCCGAACCAGCACCCGTGGCTCGTCTTCACGTGCGGCGCGATGGGCGCGGGCAAGGGCTGGGTCATGAACTGGATGTCGACGCTCGACATCTTACCGTTGCGGTCCATCGTCCACATCGACCCGGACCGCTTCAAGCAGATGATGCCCGAGTGGGCCGGCCACGTGCGCCGCGACGCCGCGTCCGCGGGGACCCGGTGCCACAAGGAGAGCGGCCTCCTCGCGGAGCTCGCCCAGGAGCTGGCCATGCGCCACCGCCTCCACGTCTGGGTCGACGGGTCCCTGCGGGACCACGGCTGGTACGAGCGCGAGTTCGACGAGCTCCGCGCGAAGCACCCGACGTACAAGATCGCGCTCTTCTACGTCCACGCGAAGGAGGCGACGGTCCGCGCGCGCGTCAAGACGCGCGCGGCGCGCGTCGGCGAGCGGCACGTGCCCGAGCAGTCCCTCGCCGACTCCATCGCCGCGCCGCCCCACGTGCTGCGGGCGCTGACGCCCAAGGTCGACTTCAGGGCAGCAAAAGAGTGCGAAATTCCCAACTTCAAAGGCTCCTATCTCGGCCGGTTTCCACTCGTTTCGGCTGATTTTTGGACGAGCGATCGTCTCTCGGAACGGCCTCGAAGCGTGGATGCTTTTTCCGGAACGCGCGCGCGCGGAAAACTCACGTTGAAGCGACGTTGAATCACCCTCTTGCCGCCCAAGGTCGACTTCGTCGCGCGCATCGACAACGACGGCGACGCGCCGATTTTGGAGGCCTTCGAGTCCGTGGACACGACGGGCTCCTGGAAGGTCGTCGCCCACATGTTCGGCGGCACCTACGGCATCCCCGCGCCGTCCGTGCCGCCGTCGCCGCGCGCGGCGGGCCGCACGCCGCCGGGCTCGCCGGGGAGCCCGCGGACGTCGCCAGGCGACCGCCGGCCCGCGCGGCCCCGGCCCGTCTTCAACAACCCCTTCGCGTCGTCCACGGGCGCCGACAGGTCGCCCCTCCACCGCGTCGCCTGCCCCGAGCCGCCGCCGTCGCCGGACCTCCGGCGGAAGACGGAGGACGCGGAGCGCCGCGGCACGCCGAAAGTGAAGGGCAGCGTCGCCATGGACGTCTACGCCAACGGCAGCCGCACGTCGACGGCCCTCGTCCTCGACGGGTCCCGCGAGGAGAAGCCGCCCCAGAACTACGTCGCGTCCGTCGCCGAGGCCGAGCGCTTGAAGGGCCGCGTGGCCGAGCTCCAGACGGCCGTCGCCGCGCGCGACGCGAAGATCGCCGACCTCGAGGCCGAGGTCGCGGGACTGCGGCGCCGCGAGGCCGAGGCGATGAAGGACGCCCCCGCGGGCCGCTGCGCCCAGCAGTAATTACGTCGCGAAGGTGAGCGCGACCGCGCGGCACTCGCCCGTGCCGAACCAGCCCCGCGCGTCGTCCGGCAGGTCCAGCACCGCGTTGAAGAGGGCGAGGAGGAAGCCCGAGTGGGCGGCGACGGCGACGCGCGTCTCCGGCCGCTGCCCGAGCCAGGCCACGAAGCGCGCGGCGCGCTTGCAGATCGCGCGCTTGCCCTCGCGCTTCTCCGGGTGCCAGAGCGGGTCCTCCTCGCTCTCGAGCTGCGCGTAGTCGACGCGGCTCTTGTAGGGCTCGCCCTCGAGGTTGTCGTAGGGCGGGAAGTACTTCTCCAGCGCCGTCCTCGAGAGCCGCTTGTCGCACGTGTGCCTGCCGCCGGTCTCGTGGCAGTCCTCGTGCGCCACGACGGGGATCTTCGCGATCCAGATGTGGTCCAGCGCGTACAAGGCCGTCTGCGTCGCCCGGCGCATGGGCGACGTGACGATCAAGTCCAGGGGCTCCTCGAGCCGCGCGAAGCGCGGCCGGAGCGCTTCCGCCTGCTTCCGACCCACCTCCGTGAGCTCCGCGTCGACGTAGCCAAAGTCCGGGTCGTTGTCCACCGTGTAGGGCTCGCCGGCCTTCTTCGCGGCGCGCCAGTCGCGCTGCGCGACGTTGTGGCGGCCCTCGCCGTGGCGGATGAAGAACACGAGCTTCTCCGCCGGCGCCGGCGCGTAGTCGTCGGCGACCAGGCGACCCCGCGCGGTCGCTCCGAGCGTTCCCAGCAGCTTTTGCAGGTCGCGCTGCGCCGACGACACCTCCGCGGCCTCGTGCGCCTCGACCTTCGGCGGCGGCGGCGCGTCGCGGTCCATGACGTCGAACATGCTCAGCGCCTCCTGCTTCCCGATGCCAAGGTCCTCCTCGTGCTCGCCGTTCAAGAGCTGGCGGCTGAACATGTCTGCTTGGGGCTGCAGCGCTTCGCGGCGGCGCGCGCACACGATGAGCGGCGCGACGACGCCCTTGGCGCGCCCTTGGCGCACAGGAGAGTCGATGCACTGCTCGATGCACCGCTCGCCGATCCGCCACAACGGAGCCGGCGCGACCCGTCGTGCTCGGCCTCGTGCGCGGCGTCCTCCTCGGCGCCGTCGTCGGGCTCTCGCTCCGGCCCGGTACCGGCGCGGGGCCTGGCTCTTCACGTACCCGGAGGACGCGCCGCGGAGCGACGTGTAATCGTCCGGAGATGGTCCTGTCCTCGCCGGCGCTCGCGAATGCTTTGAGGGACGGGGATTTACGAGGCGTAGAAGTCGCCCTCGCGACCGGCGACGACGTCAATGACCGATTTCTCGTCCCGGGCATGACCTCGGGCATGACGATGCTACTGTTTGTGTTGACGGGTACGGGTCCGCCGGATTACGGCTGGACGAAAGGGCATGAGGACATCATTAAATTGCTTCTAGCGCGCGGTGCGGACCCGAGTTTGAGCTGCGCAATCTCAGAGGAACAGAGTGGGATAACAGTGTTACACGGGGTCGTCCGTCAGAGTAACGCGACGCATCTGTTGGAGCTTCTCGTCGCCCATGGCGTAGTGAAGGTCAGGCATCAGAGACCCAGAGACTAGAGACCTGGGCATCGAGCATCAGACCTGGGTTTCAGACTAAGAGAGACCTGGGATTGAAACCCAGGCCCTCGAATTACGAAAAAAACCTAGAAGTCGCCCAGGGCGTGGTCCAGGTCGCCGGCGGTGGGCCACAGGTGGACCACAATCACCTCCATCACCTTCAGCAGCAGCAGCAGCAGCAGCAGCGTCGTCGTCGTCGTCGCCGCCGCCGCCGCCGCCGCCGCCGCCGCCGCCGCCGCCGCCGCCGCCGCGCGCGCGCGCGCGCGGGCATTCGAACCTACAATCAGACACAGAACGGCATAGGGAAGGCCATTTTAGCTCAGTGGGTGAAACTGTGACGGTAATAGACGGGATCCCGAAATCGAGTGGGCGCGCGCGCAGCCCGCAGCCGCAGTGATCGACCGAATGTACTCCGCCAAAAGGATGGGGCAGCGCCGGCGCAACTCACTGGCGTGCTCCAGTGCACTTCCTTGGCCCGGGATGGGCCCCGATAGCGGTTCTGGCGGCGTCGGGGCAGCCCAGACGTCGCATGCGCACTCCTGCGGACAAACGGGTTGGGGCATCCTGTCGTCAAGCGGCAAACATATCTGTAATTTATATAGGGGGGATAATAAAAAAAATGGACCTCTAAAAGACCTGGGTTTCATACTCAAAAAGACCTGGAAAAGCATCAAACCTGGGAATCAGACCAAAAGACCTGGGTTTAAAACCTGAGCATCGGACTTCACTACCATGGCGCGCAAGTGGACGCTCAGAATTCAGGTGGGCGTACGCCGCTCATGATGGCGGTAACGCTAAAGAATCACGGAGCTATTCGCGGCCTTTTACGTGTCGGGGCGAATATTGACCTTGTCGACGTCGGAGGCGGCGATGCATTGATGATGGCACGCGGGGACCCGGGATTCTCACGTTTTCAGGATTATAACGGGGACATCATCCACGAATACATCCCCGACCCGAAGATCGTCGCGCTGCTCTCGGCCGTGCGCGCGGCGGGGTCCTGGAAGCGATACTGCCGCGAGCCCGCCGTCAAGCTCCTCGCGCTGCGCTACCTCTCGCTCGCGGGCCGCGCGACGCCGCCGGCGCACTTCGCGCGCCTCTTCGGGACGCCGCCGGTCCAGGTCGAGGCCCAGCGGCGGCCGCGGCGCGGCGCGAGCCGCACGCTGCCCGACGACGTCTTCAAGAACATCCTCGCGTTCTGGAACGAGCCCGAACCCTAAGTTCCCATTAGATCGGAGTCGCGGCCGCGTCCGCGCGCGCGACGTCGCTGTGCTTCGGCGTCGCCCGCGGCGAGGCCCCGGGGAGCGACCTGAAGCTCTCCATGGCCTTGAACGACGCCGCGCGCGCGTTCCTGCCCGTCTCGCGGAGGATGTCGCGGAGCAGCTCGAGCGCGGACAGCTCGCGGCGGATGTCCGTCACCGTCACGTAGACCAAAATCACGAGCCCGCCCAGGATCGTCGTCATGAGCAGGCCATCGGCGCCCGGCCCCTGCGACGTCCGCGCGACGAGCGCGCCCAGGTAGAGGATCGTGAGCATCGAGTTCAGGCACTCCGCGAGCACGTCGTCCGCGTCCTCCTTGAAGGGCCCGAAGTACCCGTAGAGCTTCGTCCAACTCATGACCACCAAAATCAGGAACGCCAGCTGCGTCGGGCTGCCCGGGAAGATGAAGAGCGACGCGCACGTGAGCAGGAGCCGCTTCGTCGCGTCGACGCACTCAAAGTACCAGAACTGGGGCTCGTAGGGCATCCAGAGCATGCGCGTCGCGAAGCACGCCGGGTCCAGGTCGCGCTTCTCGCAGGCCGCGTCGACCATGGCGACCTGCTCGCTCGCGGTGATCTCCGCGCCCTTCTTGAAGTTCAGCGGGTCGACGCGCGACCGCACGGACCACACGGAGAGGTAAAAAAACAGCGGCGCGCCCAGGGGCCAGACGAAGAGCATGCACGCCGCGTAGGCGCGCCAGAAGTCGTAGGTCCGCCCGCCGCAGCGCAGGTCCAGGTCCGCGCGCAGGTACGCGTCGCCGTCGTCGAACTCGCAGCAGAGGAACGTCCGGCAGATCGTCACCGACACCATGGGGAACGTGAAGAAGAGCACGAGGATCGTCGCCGCCGTCGGCGAGTGGCGGCGCCCGCAGCAGAGGTAGGACAGCGGCGCCCAGAGCAGGAACACGGACAGCAGGAAGGCCCAGGGCCCCAAGGTCGACATCGCCAGGGTCCCGTAGAACGACACGCGCCGGTGGCAGCCGAGCCCCGCGATCTCCAGGAAGTCGACCTCGAAGAAGCCCAGGCTCCCCAGGAAGCCGTTGTAGACCGGGGGCAGCTCCATCGTGCCCATCGTCGACACCATGAGCTGGATCGCGACGAACGCGAGCTTCCACTTCGTCGTCAGCTTCGCGTACATGCGGATCACGTGGACGCGGATCGCCTCCGCGGGCCTGCGCGCCTCGTCGGCCGCCGGGTCGTCGACGGCCTCGCTGAGCTCGGCGGTCGCCGCGGCGTCCATGCTCGCGGCGTCGGCGCCCATGCTCGCGCGCTCCTCGCGCTCGTGCTCCGCGTCCTCGAATTCCCGCTCCTCCGCCGCCGACGGCCTCTGGGACGTGTAGAGCACGAGGAGGCTCAGGGCGCCGTAGGCGAGGAGCCCCATGGCGATGGCGAGTTTCTCACCTCCCCGGCCCTCGCAGGACTCGCACTTTTTGCTGGCGAGGTAGAAGTCGTCGTCGCAGAGCGAGCAGAGCCGCCCCCGGTAGCCCCGCTCGCACGCGTCCGCCGGCGAGTCGTCGGCGCCCGTGACGCCGACGCCGCCGGCGCACGTGTCCGGCGCGCACTCCAAGATGTCCGTCGACGTCTCGTCGAGGCGCCACCAGCCCTCCTCGACGTCGAGCGTCGCCGTCGTCGTGCCGGCGGCGCACGTCGCGCGCCCGGGGCAGGGCTCGCAGGCCGCGCCCGTCCAGTAGAACTCGGGGTAGCACGAGTCGCAGACCTCCGAGCCCTCGGCGCTTGTGAAGCCCAGCGAAAAGTCGCAGAGCGCGCAGAAGCTCGCGCCGGCGACGCTCCGCGTCCCCGCGGGGCACAAGGCGCACGTCGTCGCGCCGGACGTGAGGCCGATGCCCGGGGTCTCGCCCGCGGACGTCGCGTACTCGCCCGCGACGCAGCCGTCGCAGGACGCGCGCCCGGTCGTCGGCGCGGCCGTGCCCTGGGGGCAGGGGTCGCAGGCCGCGGCGCCGGCGTCCGCCGCGAAGGAGCCCGGCGCGCAGGGCTCGCAGGCGTCGGCCCCGAAGGCCGCGTAACTGCCCGCGGCGCAGGCCTCGCAGTCGCCCGTGCCGTTGCCGACGACGGACCCCGGCGCGCAGGTCGTCGCCGTGACCCAGGCGCGCCAGGCCGGCTCGTTCGCCCGGACCCAGGCGCACGCCGCGTCCTCGACCCCCAGGTCGCCGCCGCCGCGCGTCTCCAGGGCCATCATGGCCTTTTGCCGGTCGTTGTCCGCGCCGTAGCCCGCGAAGAAGGTCGCCAGGCTCGCGTCGGCCTGGAGCGTCGCCGCGTGGGCCACGGCCTTGAGCATGTCGACGTTCATGAGGCAGTTCGCGCCGGAGAGCGCCGGGTCGCCGGCGTGGCGGTCCTCGCACGCGGACGAGAAGGGCGTCGCGGCCAAGGGCAGCACGGGCACGCGCGCGACGAGCGGGTCCGGGTCCCACCAGTAGAAGAGCACGGGCCGCGACGCGTTGTGGGCCGCCTCGACGACGTCGGCCATGCCCGACACGCCCACGTACGTCGCGGTCACGTTCAGGCCTGGGCAGCACGAGAGTGATTCAACGTCGCTTCAACGTGAGTGTTCCGCGCGCGCGCGTTCCAAAAAAAGCATCCACGCTTCGAGGCCGTTCCGAGAGATGATCGCTCGTCCAAGAATCAGCCGAAACGAGTGGAAAACGGCCGAGATATGAGCCTTTGAAGTTGGGAATGTCGCACTCTTGTGCTGCCCTGGTTCAGGCCCTCGGCCGTGAGGAAGCCCTCGTACCACGACTCGGACCAGGACGGCAGGACGAAGTAGGCCTCGGCGCAGGTCCCGTGGTCGCAGTTCGGCGGCGCGTAGGTGCCGTTGACGCAGGACGCGTTCGTCCAGCCCGCGCCGCCGCACGCGGCGGCGTCCGGCGCGCCCCAACTCCCGGCCGCCGGGAGCGCGGCGACGACGGCCGGGTTCAGCTTGATGGAGCGGTAGTGGTCCATGATGAGCTTGTCGTAGGGCGGGTCCGCGGCCGACGCCGTGACGAAGAGGCGCGTCTGCCCCAGCGCGCCCTGGTTCTTCGCGACCGCGCCGCTTTTTGTTGCTTCTTCGAACTCGGGCTTGCGGATGCCCTCGGAGTACCAGAACTCGGGGACCAGCGTCGCGCAGGCCGCGGCGACGCGGGCCGTGCTGCCGCTGCCCGCGGACGCGAGGGAGATGTGCACGGCGTAGCCCAGGACCTCCTCGAGGAGGATCCGCATCGCCGACGCCTGCAACTGGCCGCTGAGCCAGTAGGGCATCTCGACCACCACGGGGGCCGCGGTCGCCGCCGCGCGCCGCGACGCCGCGCGCGCGTCGCGGAACTCGTCCCAGTAGGACCCGTTGAGGCAGGGCTGGCAGTAGCTCCGGTTCGCGAGCTCGACGCCGTCCCACTGGAAGCAGGTCCCGTCGTCGGGCAGGTCGGCCTCGGCGACGCGCGCCGCGCCGCCCGCCGCCGCGCAGGCCGCCGACTCCTCGGCGTAGGAGCTCGCGGCCGCGGCGCCGAGCGTCGCGAGGGCGAGCATTGAGCGCATCCTTCCACGCAACATACTATCTATTGTAAAAAAGCAATAAGGCTGCTCTTTGCCGGTGTTACCGGCGTTGAACCATCTAGTCTGGGATTCGGCCGAGGTCGGAGTCTCACCCCTCTGGTAGTGGCGCCGACTAAGAGGGGTGCGTTTACGACTCACCACGCGTCGTCGGCTACCGAGTCCCGCCGGGGCGGCGCGGGCGGCGGGAAGAAGCCGTCGCCGTTGAGGCTCATGGGCGCGGGCATCTGGAGGCTGCCCTTGTCGAGGCTCATGGGCATGTGGCTCGGCGAGAGCGAGTGGGGCGAGTCGCCGAAGGACCGCGCGCGCTTCCGGAAGTCGGCGCCGCCCGCGTCGCTCTCGGAGTCGGAGTCGCCGTCGCTCGAGGAGTCGTCGCCGTCGTCGTCGTCGTCGTCGTCGTCGTCGCGCGCCCAGTCGCGGTAGACGGGCGCGACGTGCCTCGCGGACTTGGGGAGCACGTAGGGGTCGAAGGGGAAGAAGAAGGACTCGTCGCCGGGCCGCGTCGACCGGGGCCGCCGCGGCGCGCGCGCGGCTTCCGCGACCTTGGCGCGGAACGCCGCCGAGAACTTCGCCGTCGCCTTCAACGTCGCGCGGAACTCGTCGCGCACCCGGGCATCCGCGCGGTCCAGGGGCTTCAGCGCGTTGCCGAAGAGCAGGCGGTCCCAGCGGCCTTCGTCGGCGAGCGCGTCGTAGCGCGCGCCCCAGCCCGCCCGCCCGAAGAGGTCCGACCCGCGGAAGCAGACGACGTAGACCAAGGCCTGCACGAGCGCGAAGAGCAGCGTCGCCGTCGCCTGCTGGTCCGCCTCGTCGACGAGGGAGCGCCCCGCGCGCGTCCGCAGCTTCTCGAGGCGCTCCTCGGCGGCGGAGAAGAGGGCCTCGGCCGAGAGCGCGACGAGCGGCGCGTCGACGGCGGCGCAGCGGCAGACGAGCGAGGCCAGGTACGCGACCGCGGGCACCTTCGTCACGAGGGGCGTCGCCTCGTCGGCGACGACGAGCGTCAGGCGCCGCGCGAACTTGGCGCAGCGCGCGGGCGACGACGCCGCGGCGGAGAAGACGGCGAACTGGACGAACTTGGACTGCTTCGTTTTGAGGATCGCGCTCTCGAAGACGTCCAATAAAACGTCGAAGAAGGCGTCGCCCGAGTCGGACGCGAGCCGCTTCTGGGCATAGGTAAACAGCCCGTCCATGACGTCGTCGAGCTTCGCGCCCGCGCCGTCCGGGTCCGCCTCGCGGGCCTTCCGCGGCGTGTGCCGCTCGGACGCGTCGACGTCGTCCAATTCGAAGACCTCGCCCTCCGGCGGCGCGAGCGTCTCCGGCTCCACGAGGCAGTCGATCTCCAGGGCCCGCTCCGCGACGAGCTGCAGCCCCGCGGGCTCGAGGACACCGTGGACCTCGCAGAGCGCGAGGACCAATTTCGCGTAGGCCTCGTGCTTGAGGCCGTCGGCGCGGCAGTAGGGGTAGTTCGCCGCCATCGCCGCCGGCACCTCGGCGACGCCCTGGGGGCAGAGCTCGAGGAGCCGCAGGAGCGTCGCGTACTGGGGCAGTTTCGTCGCGTCGACGGAGCCCGGCGCGACGACGGTCTCGCCGTCGAAGCCGAGGAAGCCGCGGCTCGCGGACTTGAAGACCGCGTCGAGCGCGCCGGCCACGTGCGTCGCGTTGTTGCTCACGACGCCGCAGAAGAGGTCGCCCAGCGCGCCGAGCGTGGCCCGCGACGCGCACCGCGACTGGAAGACGGCCCGAAGCAACGGCCGGTGCTCCGGCCTCGACGCCAGCCGCGGCGCGTGCGCGCCGAGCGCGACGAGCACCTTGCGCTTCGTCTCGACCTCGTCGGCCGCCGCGCCCTCGTCGGAGTCCTTGATCGTCGCCACGAGCGCGTCGTGCTGCGCCTGCTTCTTCGCCGCGCTCTTGGCGTCGCCGGCGGCGGCGGCCATGACCTTTTCCACGAAGGCCTGCTCCATGCTCGCCGTCATCGGCGGCGCGCGCGGCGGCTGCGACGAAGGCGGTCGAGCGCCTCACGAGGACCTCGGGGCGGAGAGACCTCGCGCGCGTCTGCCAGCGTCGACGGCGGCCGTCGCCTCTCTCGTCGCCGGCCCGAAGCGGCGGCACCTTGCGGCGGATGAAATGTTGAACTCGATTGTTGCAGGTTGCAATGAGCCTGGAATGATGATCCGTGCTTGCGTCGTCTTCCTGGCCGTCGCCGCCGCGAATGAGTGCGCGGTGGAGTACGCGAAGCAGGGCCCCTGCGACATCGACGCCCACGAGCTCGGGCTGCCCTGCGCCTGGCGCGACGGGAAATGCAAGGACCTCAAGTGGCAGCACGCGACGAGCCGCGCGCCCATCCGCTGCGGCATCCGCGCGGGCAACATGAAGTTCATCGCGCTGCACTGGAGGACCCAGCGGCGCAACGCGTCGAGCCCCTGCGGCGCCGCGGGCGGCGAGTGCGTCGTCCGCCTCGGGCGGCTGCCACCGGCCGCGGTGCCCGCCAAGGGCCTCGACGACGACGCGAGCATGGCGGCCGTCGCGACGGCGACGGCGGCGCTGCCGGCGGACGCGCCGCGGGACGCGCGCGCGCGCGCGCTCCTCGCGGCGCTCGAGGCCGCGCGCGACCGCGGCTTCCCCGCGGCCACGAAGGACGCGCTCAAGCTCCTGAAGCTGCGGCACCGCGTGCTCCGGGTGCGCGGCTCTCCCCGCGATGGATTCTGGGTCCGCGCGCTCGACGTCATCTCCCAGGCGACGTGGGCGCGGCTCGCGGGCAAGGCCGTCGTGGCGCAGTTCACGTGGAAGGTCGACAGCTACGTGAGCCCCGGCAACGGCAGCGGCTGGGAGGCGTTCTTCGAGCCGCTCGACGAGCCCTACGCGCCCGACGACGCGCGCCTCGAGCTCGACTGCGACCTCATCCGGCGGGTCTACCCGACGCGCGCGTCGGCGTACCCGGCGACGCGCGACCGCGCCCGGCGCGTCCGGGCGCTCCGGGCCGCGCAGGTCGCGGCCTTCGTGCGGCCGAACGCGCACGTCCTGGGGCGCGTCGACGCGGAGTGGAGAAGGCTGACGCGCGGCGAAGCGCTCGACGTGCTCGGCGTCCACGTCAGAGGCACGGACAAGCGGTCAAAGCACCGCGCGATCGTCCCGCCGGAGCGCTACTTCCCGCTCGTCGACGCGTACCTCGCGCGGCCGCGCGCCAAGGTCTTCCTCGCGACGGACGACGCCAAGTTCCGGCGGCGCTTCGCGGACCGCTACGGCGCCGCGCTCCTGGAGCAGGCCGGCGTGGCGCGGGTCAAGGGGGCCGCCTTCGCCGGCGGCGCGGACGCGGACGGCTTCTCGCGCGGCCTCGCGGTGCTCGCGGACACGCTCCTCCTGGCGAAGTGCGCCTTCCTGCTCAAGTCGGCGTCGGCCGTGAGCGAGTTCGCGCTCTACTTCCGACCGGACCTGCCGTCCTTCGACTTCGACGTCGCCGACGACGCGGTCCCCGCGTGGGCCCCGGCCGCCTTCAACGCGACGACCCCGGGCTAATCGTGTATGTTAGGGCGCCTGGTCGCGCGTCGCCTGCGTCGCGAGCGCGCGCTCGTCGGCCGCGAAGATGAGCACGGCGCGGCGGAGCGCCGCGCGCCGCTTGCGCTCGAGGAGCAGCAGCGCCGCGTTGACGTCGACCTGTGTGCAAATCAACCAGTGAGCTGGGACGTCGGGGCCAAACTTCAGAATTCTCTAGCTCGGTCAAATCGAAGTCGATTCGGCTGATTTTTGGACGAATCGATTGCTCTCAGCGAGTTCTCGAAGCACGGCGGAAGTGCTCGTGTCAAAACATTCGAATACGCGCACATTGAAGTCGGGTTGAAGATTTGATTTCCACACAGACGTCGACCCAGGACACGTCGGCGATGTCGCCGTCGACGTCGTTCTGCGTCGTCAGCTTCGGCGGGCTCCGCGGCGCTTCCGATAAGCCGCAGACGAAGTAGCGCGCGCGCTTGCCCGACCGGCCCGTGACCTCGCGGACGTCGACGGACGCGTAGCGCCGGTCGTCCGCGGCGTCCCGATCCAGATCCGCGGCGTCGACGTCGTCGTCGAGGTCCGGGAAGTCCTCGGCCGGCGCCGGCGACTCGTCGCTGACGATGACGTCCGACGTCTCGTCCAACATGACCTCCTCGTCGTCCGCGAACATGCGCGAGTCGTCCGCGTCCAGACACACCGACGCGTTCGCCGCGGCCTCCGCGGACGCGGGCAGCACCCGGAGCTGGTCGGCCTTCAACCCCGCCTCCTCCCAGGTCTCCCGCAGCGCGGCCCCCAAGATGGACCCGTCGACGGGCTCGATTTTGCCTTTCGGGAAGCCCGGCTTCTGCTTGCCCTCGTTGCCGCGGACGATGACGCACTCGTAGGGGCTCACGTCGCCCTTGCCCAGCAGCAGACCCCGGGGGCTCTTGCGGAAGGCGATCAAGCGCGGCTCCGACGCCATATCCGGCTTGACGCGCAGCACGATGCACCCGGCCAAGAGCAAATCGCCGTAGCGCCGCCGGAGCCGCCGCTCGACGGCCTTGATGGGATTCTCCAGGGGCATGCCGTGGCTCAAAGCGATCTTCCGGCAGTCGTTGAGCTCGCGCAGGTGGCGGAAGAGCTTCGAGCGACTGACGAACATCTCGCCGCAGTAGCCGCAGACGCAGCGCCGCGTCGCCGACTGCTGCGGCTGCTGCTCCGTCTTCGTGCGATTCCCGCCGCGGCGCCGCCGCCGCCTCGGGTTCGGGTTCGCGCCCCGCGGGGGCGCGCCGGGCATGCGCTGCGCGCGCCCGCCGCCGGCGGCGGCGGCCTGGCCCGCGCGCCCGCCGCCGGCGACGGCGGCCTGGCCCGCGCGCGCGCCGCCGGCGACGGCGGCCTTGCCGTCGTCGCGGGGGCCGCCGGGCCGCCGCTTCCGCGACTTGGCCCAGGGCGCGACGGCGCCGGCGGCGGCGGGGCCGCCGATGACCGTCTCCTTCTTCGTCTCCACCTCGGCCTCCTCGGCCTGCTTCGGCCGGGGCTTCTGCGGCTGCCGCCGCCGCGCGGGCCGCGGCCGGCCGTCGCCGCGGCCGCGGCCGCCGTCGCCGCGCCCGCCGCCGCGCCCGCGCCCGCGCCGCGGCCGCCGCGCCCGCCGTTGCCCTCGGGCCGCCGCCGCGGCGGCTGGTCGCCGCTCTCGTTGGGCGCGCGGGCGCGCGGCGCGTCGCCGTCGTCGCTCGTCGCCGCGAGCGCCAGGCGGTCCAGCGACGGGAGCCGGTGCGCGACGCGCGCCGGCGCGATGCCGGGGACGCGGCGAGGCGCATAGCCCGCGGTCCGCAGCAGCAGCGTCGCCCACAGCAGGACGAGCCTGTTGCCGCCCCACATCGCTTGCCGCCTTCAAGCGGACGGACGAGGTGCCCGCCGAGGCAAAGGAAAATGCCGCGCTGCCGCGCGAGGAAACGGTGCCGTGGCTGCCCGGCTGCGTCACGCGCTGGTCGCTGGGGCTTGGTGGAAGGCAGCGCACCACTCGCAGCGCGGCAACCGCTTCCAGCAGCGCAAACCCTCCAAAAAAGGATGCGCGAGTGGTCGGCCATCGCCGCCGCCGCGGGCGCGCCGGCGCCGCGCCTCGCCGAGGAGAAGGAGCGGCTCTTCGGCGCGGCGAAGCCCAAGGTCGTCTTCTGGCGCGACAACTCCATGTGGTGCCCCTACTGCGCGCGGCTCTGGCTGCTCCTCGAGGCGCTCCGCGTGCCCTACACCACCAAAACGATCCCGCTGAGCCGCTACCTCAAACCGGGCGAGAAGAAGCCGGCGGAGTACACGTCGCAGGTGCCCTCCGGCGTCGTGCCCGCGCTGCAGTTCGAGCAGGCCGACGGCACCTACGGCCCGGCCGTCGACGGCGTCGCGCGGCTCTTCGACGCGCTCCTGAGCGACGCGGCGACGGCCGCGCCGCCGTGCGAGGCGCTCGAGGCCGCGCTGCCGCGCTTCGAGATGGCGCGGCGCGGCTACGAGGCCTGCGCGGGCGCGCCGACGCGGCTCGCGCCCGACGCGTGCTTCGACATGGGCGTCGGCGAGGCCTGCGCGACATTGGACGCGGCGCTCGCGGGCTACGATTTTACGTTCCCGCGGGGGCTGTCGCCGTCGGACTGCAAGCTGTTGCCCTTGCTCGAGCGGCTCGAGGCCGTGCTGCCCTACTTCTTCGGGGACGGCGCGTTCGAGCGCTTGCCCTTCGGCCGGGCGCGGGCCTACCTCGAGGGCGCGCGGGCGCGCACGTTCTTCGGCGCCATCGCGTCCGACCGGACGACCTTGGCGCGGACGAACCTGCGCTACGCGAACCCGCACTTCGCCCCGGACGCCGGCGCGGCGCGCCTGATCGACCACGAGGGGGTTGCGTGCACCGCCGAGGACCGCCGCGACGCCGCCGCGCGCCTCGCGAAGAACCACGCGGCCGTGGCGAAGTTCGCGCTCCGCGCGGCGTCCGCGGACAACCGCCCGGACGAAACGCTCGTCGCCGCCGTCGACGACGCGCTGCGGGCCACGGCGGACTCGCTCCTCGGCGGCGACGCCAGCCTGCCGCCGGGGCCGCCGCGCGTCGCCGACGCGCTCCTCGCGCTGTCCTACAACGTCGGCGTGCCGCGCGACATGGCCCGGGGGCCCGCGGCCGCGTTCCGCGGCGCGCTGCGCGACCTCGCGGCCCAGCAGGCGACGCCGCCGCGCGCGCCCGACGGCAAGTGGGAGACGGCGGGGAACGGGGACTGCTGGCTTAAGTTTACCTGGTGTTTGGGGGCGGCGGTGGGCGTCGGCTCCAGCGCTCGGCTGTGTGGTTGGTAAAATCGGCGAGCGTGGATATTTTGAGTCATCTCGACCTCGATGCTGCCTCGCCCGCGCGTTCGTTATCAGTGCGCTTGAAGAGATGGTGAAGCGGCAAAAGACTCGGCAGAGTCGGGCGCGGATATTCAGTCTACCCTCGACTAACATGTCTCTGCACGACGTCATCTCGCTGTGGTGGCCCCTGGCGGTCTTTATGTTGCTCTATCTCCAGTACAAGCACAAGAAGGAGCGCGACGCGAAAGTCGCGCTCGCGCGGCGGCTCGACTCGCTGCAGCGGGAGCACGCGATGGTCACGGCGTCCAACGCCGCTCGCGGCACGGAGCTCGAGGAGACGCGCCGGCAACGCGACGCCGTCGACGAGGCGCTCGGTCGCGCGCGGGCCGAGCGCGACGCGTTCGAGGCCGACGCGCGCGAGCTCGGAGCCGCCGCGGCGCTCTCGCGCGCGGCGGCCTTCGACGCCGCCGTCGACAAGGTCGTCGCGGAGGTCGCGGAGCCCGCGCTTTCGAAGATCCTCGTGGCGGCCCGCGGCGTCGCCCGGAACGCGCGCGACGACGCGCCCAAGGCCTGGCGGCTCAACGGCCGGAGCGACGCGTTCCGGCGGAACTTCGCGACGCCGGCGGCCGTGGACCTGCTCGCGGCGCTCGGCTTCGCGCAGGGCGCCGACGGCCACTACCGCGTCGTCGCCGCCGCGGCCGCCGCGGGCGTCGCGAGCGGCTTCTACGCGACGGCGACGCGGCGGCTCGAGGCGGCGCGCGCCGCGCGGCTCCCGCCGCTCGCGGCCGCGCTCGGCCTCGCGTACCTCGAGCTCGACGCGGGCCCGAAGGACGGCACCTGCCGCCCGCGCTGGGAGCCCTTCGAGCCCGCGGCGGCCCAGCGCGTCTACGCGTGGCTCGCGCACTGTGTGGAAATCAACCACTGGTTTGGGGGGTCCCCACCAAACTTCAGAACTCTCTATCTCAATCAAATCGAAGTCGATTCGGCTGATTTTTGGACGAATCGATCGCTCTCGTCGAGTTCTCGAAGCACAGCGAAAGAGTCTGGTCCAAATCGTTCGGTTACGCGCACATTGAAGTCGAGTTGAAGATTTGAATTCCACACAGGCTCGCGCAAAAGGCCGAGCCGCGCGAGTCGCCCGCGGCGTGCGCGGAGCGCCTCGTCCGGGGCCGGGGCAAGTCGGCCGTGTCCTTCGAGTCCGGCGGCGCCCGGTACGACCTCTACCTCGGCCCGCGCGGCGAGCTCAAGCAGGTCAAGGCGCAGCCCGCGTCCGCGGCCGGCGGCGCGGCGTCGGGCTACGAGCGGTCCGTGTCGTTCATGACCGCGGCCGGCCGCGCGTACGAGCCGCCCGTGCTCTGCTGCGGCGGCCTCGAGTGCCGGCGCGGCGACGGCACGCGCGACGTCGACCGCGACGCGCTGACGTCCCGCGGCGCGACGCTCGAGGCGGCCCTGCCCGCGCCGCGCTTCGAGCGCCTCGCCGCGGACTCGCACGCCTTCCTCGACGCCGCGGCCCTCGTGCGCACGTCGCTCGCGCCGGCGCTCGACGGCGTCCGCGGCGTCGCCCGCGGCGTCGCGCGCATGATCGCGGGAGCCCCCCGGGGCGTCTCGCGCAAGATCGCGTCGACGGAGCCGCCGGTCGTGATCCTGGCCGTCCACGCGGTGCGCAACGCGGAGCGCGGCGCGTTCTTCGACCTCGCCGTCGACCAGTTCGCCGCGCGGGGCGAGCCGCCCAACGTCACGAAGGCCTTCCACGGGACGACGCTCGGCGCGTGCGCGCCCATCGCGGGCCACGGCTTCGTGCTCCGCGACCGCAACGCGTCCGTCTACGGCGTCGGCGCCTACTTCTCGCCCGCGGGCCGGCGCCGGGGGCTCATGGCCCTGGACCCGACCTACGCGTCGCCGGACGCGGCCGGGCGCCAGCACCTGCTCCTCTGCTCCGTCGCGCGCGGCGAGTCCGAGCGCCTCAAGGCCGGCGGCGCCCGCGGCCACGCGCAGATGCAGCCGTCGCCGCCCGAGGACGGCGTCCGCTTCACGACGGGCGTCGACGCCGAGACCATCGACGACGCGTCGCGGCTCGTCGTCTGGGGCGGCATCCTCAACACGCACGTGCGCGTCGACGCCGTCGTCACGCTACGCTGCCTCGACCGCGACGAGCTCACCGGCGACCTCCGCGACGGCGTCGACCCCCTCGAGTCGGACCCCGCCGAAGAGACCACGCCCGAGAAAGCGCGCGACGACTAAGCTCTACTTGTTGAAGTCGGTTATTGCAGTGCATCGCCATGATTTGCAGGTAACACGGACCCCACAGACAGCATTATGGAACCTCTAGGCAGTGCCATAATGCCCACCCGCCCCGCGGCGAAGAAATGAACCCTGGAAGCCGCTCACGTCTTGAAACGTGCTGATGCGCTGGTGCGGCCTGCTAGCGGCAGCCGTAGCCGGGCAGCCCGTAGAAGTGGACCCGGGCGGCAGCACGCATAGTGCACGTGGTCCGCGGCTCGAGTTCGACGTCGACGGAGCTCTACGAGCCCTGGCCCTCGCGGACCCGGCCCGCGTGTTGACGGAGGCGGCGGCGTTCCTGGACGCGCTGCCCGCGGACGCACGCATCAAATGCGCGTGGCCGACCGCGGCCTGCGAATCAAACGGAGGTGATGCGGCGGCCGTAGTTCTGGGAGCGGCGGCCGCCGCGGCGTGGCCGGCGGTCGCGTCGGTCGGGAATTTGACGGACGTCCGGCGGCCGCTTCAGCACGGAACGCTCCAGGTGCACGGGACGCGACTCCTCGTCGTCTCCGCGTCGGACCGGCCGGAGGTGGCCCGCGCGTCGTGGACGTCGTGGGAAGCCTACGCGCGAACGCACGAGTACGGGTTCCTCCCGCTCGACGCGTCCGGGACGGGACTCGTGGCCGAGGGCGCCGAGCTCGTCGGACGGCTGACGCCTCTCCGGAGCGCGCACCACCTCAAGCTCTGGCTGCTCCACGATTTGCTCGAGAGCGGCGCCGGCGCCTACCGAACTCTCGTCTGGGTCGATGACGACATCGTCGCCACCTCGATGGCAACGCCGCACCCGGCGCTGGCACTCGCGGAAGATACGCTCGCCGTCGACGCGCTCCCGACCTTCGTGGCACAAGAACCGTTCAACACCGGCGTCGTCGTCGCGACGCGCGGCGGCGACCGCGCGCCGTCCCTTTTACGCCGCGCGTGGCTCGCGCCGTTCGTGACCGAGCAATACTCGTGCCTCCTCCGGGACTGTGCCTATTGGGACAACACGGTGCTCGGCCTCGCGGTGGACGCGGATGCGGCCGGCTTGGTATTATTGCCGTACGGCTCGCTGCAGGCGTTCTGGTCGCCGTCGACGTTTTGCGGTACCGAGTGGACGCACTGCGAGACCACGCAGACTTTGGCATTGGCCTGGGCACCGGGGGACTTCGCGGCGCACGCGGGCGGCGGGTCTCCCCACGATCGCGCTGCGCGAATGACACACCTGCTGCGCGACCGCTTTGGGGAGCGTCATGTCGAGCCGCGTCGGTTGCTGGGCGGAACGCCGGCCGCGTTCGGCCAGTACCGCGAAGCATTGGTGCTGGCGCTGCGGGCGGTGAATAGAAGCGCCGCTGCGCCGGGCGCAGCGGCGGCGCCGACGGCGAAGCTCGAGGCGGCGGTCGTTGATGCGCTCGGCCCGGACGCTTCACGTGCCGTCGCGGAGCGATTGCCCCTTGTCACTGGCTTCTCGTGTAGGGTGTACTTCCAAGCCGTCGACGGCACGCAGTGGGCCAGGGTCGTGTTTGGTCTCGACGCGGACGACTTCGACATGAAACTCGCACGGGAGCTCCAGGCGGCGGGCATCAGGGCCCCGCTCGAACGAACCGACGGCGGCCCGGCCTGCGCCACGCTGGCGTGCGTCGCGGCCGCGATGCAGGCAGCCGCCGGAGCGGACGGAAACTGCGTGCCCGGGTTCCGCATAGAGCATCGCGACGCGGACCTGGTGCCACCGCCGCCGGCCCCGCGCTCGCCGCGCTCGGCCCCGCCCGCGCCGCCACGCTTCAACGACCTCGAGGTCGCGAGAGACGGCGCGCGGTCGGTGCGCGACGCGGACGACGCGGTCCTCCGCCTCCAGAGCGACCTCGACGACGCGCTGCGGGACCTCGACGAGAAGTTCGCTTCGCCAGAATGGGCGGAGAGGCGGTCGGAGGGCATCACCGACCGTCTCGAGGCGTTTGCCCGCGAGACATTCAAGTTTAGTTAATCAGCCCCCTGGCGGTATCTCTCGCAGAATAACCGTGGCGACGAAGCGAGCCGCAAACTTCGAGTTGGCCGAGCCGCGGTGCCAGACGATCGGCCGCGCGAGGTAGGCGAGGCCCGCCTTAGTTACGAGCGTCGCAGATGGGACGCTCCGAAAGTACGCCTCAGCTTCATCGTCCACCGGCCACGCCTGCAGGGGCCCGCCCCCGCGGCGCCACGCGGCAGCGACCGGCATCCCCGCCAGCTCGGCGAGCGCGTCGCCGCGTCTATCGGAGGTCGCCGGCCACGCCTCCAGCGGGCCGTTCACCTCATCCACGTCGTCGAGGGGCACAAACACATAATGCACGCTCTTTTCATCCCACTGCGCGGGAACGGGGTCCCAGTGCGGGTGCTGTGCTCTGCTCAAACCCCCGGCGACGTCCACGCTGACCGATAGCAGCTCGCACGGCGCGCCGACCGCGGCGATCGCCGCCGGCAGGATGCTTTCCCTCATCGCGTCGACGAGCTTGGTGGAGAGGGCGCTTCGACCCAACGCAGCACAGGGCCGCCGCGTGCCTTCCCAGCGCGAGCAGAGCGACGTCTTGAGCCGCGGCCGTTGCGCGTCGTCGTAGACGACGGATCGCGGTCGCGATACCAACGCCGCGCCCAGGCCGAGCCGGAGCTCCGCGAGGAGTCCGGGCGACAAGTGAGGCGCGTCGAGCGCCGCGACGCCCGCGTGCAGGTACTCCGCCGCGCGCGGGACGGCCGCGCTCGGACCGCGGCGGTCGGCGCCTCCGTCGTAAGTCGCGGCGGAGCGCGCGCACGCGTCGACGAGGGCCTGGGCTCGCTCTGCTCTCCTCGCGGCGCCGCGCGCCGCGGCCGACGAACGGTCGCCTATCGACAGCTTGGACAGCGCTTCCACGAGTTTCGCCGCGGCCCCGTGGCGCGGCTGGGTACGCTCGAAGACGGCGTCCGACGTCGTACCGTCGGCGAAGCGGTGGCGCAGGACGTTCAGACGATCGCCCCCGCCGACGACGCCGCTCGCGACCACGCCGCCGGCCTCAAAGAGGACCTCGAGCTCGTCGCGCGGCGTCGCCGCCGCGTAGGAGACCGAGAACGTGGCGTTCGCCCCGAGCCTTCCGGATACGTCGACGGCGGCGCCCGTCTCGGCGTCGAAGCGGTGCGCGCGGCACTCGACGGTGTCCGGCATGTCCTCCCCGAGCGCCGCCCCGAGCCCGAGGAACGCGTAGTACGCCAGGTCGCCGAAGATGCCCGACGGCTCCCGCGCCGGGTCGAGGCGGCCCGGCGCGCCCCGGTAGTCGACCGCGTCGGCCGGCGGCCGGCGGCGCGTCGCGTCGCGTTCCGGCCACAGGTCGAGGTGGAACGCGTAGGAGGCGCGGCGCGGGCGCCCGCCCAGTTCCTCGGACAGCGCCGCCGAGTACGGGAAGGCCGCGCCGTCCGCGACGTGGGCGCCGCGCCGCGCGCACGCTCGCCTCAGCTCCGCGACGGCCGCGAGCGACGGAAACGGCTTGTCGACGAGCACGACCCTCGCGCTCCCGTTGACGCACGCTTCGAGCGCCCACGCCATCTTCAAGGCCGTGGGCACGTGCACCGAGACGACGTCCACGAGAGCGGTCGCGGCTTCCTCGTAGCCGACGCAGTGCGACGTCGGCACGCCCCACTTCGCGGCGCAGTGTGCGGAAGAGCGCGTACCGACGAGCGCGAGCTCCGCCGAGGCATGAGCCGAGACCGTCGACGCCACGATGAAGCCGCCGATGCCCCCCCCGAGGACCGCCCACGTCGAGGTGCGGGGCGTCGGGGGCGGCCGCCGCAAGCCGAGCTCGTGGATGCGAGTCAAATCCTCGTCCAGGAGCGTCGCGTCGTACGAATTTACCGCGTGGGCGAAGAGGTCGAGGGGCAGCGCCTCGAGCAGCGGGAGGGCCTCGATCGCCTTCAGCGAAGACACCGAAGCGTTGTCCCGGATCTCGTCCCAAAAATGCGCCTCGAGGAGCAGCTGGCCGATTCTACGGACGGAGCCGTGGAGCATCTCGGCGAGCACGGGCCACTCCGCGCCCTCGATGTCCATCCGCACCACGTCCACGAAGGGGTGGGCATGTCGCGCCATGATGTCGGCGAGCGTCTCGACGGGGTACCCCGTCGCGGCGCCGCCGAACAGCGACGTCGAGTCGGACCCGTCGTAAAATTCCAGCGTCTCGTTGCCGACGCCCACGGGCTCAAAGCGAATGGACGCGCCCCTCCGAAACGAGCCTTGCCGGGCCATGGCGGGGTCGAAGCTAAAAACCTCGCAGCCCCGCGCGGCGGCGAAGTCGTCGAAGGTCCAGCTGTCGGCCACCCCGAAGCTGTAGACGACGCAGGGCGGCTCGAGGTCGTCCAGGCACACCGTCGGCGCGGCGTCGTCCGGGAGGCGCGGGTCCGTCGACGGCGCGCCCGCCAGTCGTACGAGGTGCGCGCAGCGCGCCGGGTCCGCGCTTCCGAAAAACTGCTTGAGCTTCGTCAGCGGGCCGCGCCGCGCGTCGACCTGGGCAGGACAAGAGAGATTCAACGTCGCTTCAACGTGAGTGTTCCGCGCGCGCGCGTTCCGGAAAAAGCATTCACGCTTCGAGACCGTTCCGAGAGATGATCGCTCGTCCAAAAGTCAGCCGAAACGAGTGGAAAACGGCCGAGAAAGGAGCCTTTGAAGTTGGGAATTTCGCTCTCTTGTCCTGCCCTGGCGTTGACCCGCGCGCCGCCCGCCTTCGGGAACGGCGGGCCCGGCCGCACGGCGGCGTACGTCTCGCGTCGAGGTGCGTCGCCGGAAAAATGCGGGGGCGCCGCGGTGCCGCCCGCAAACGCGTACGCACCGCCGCCCGCGTCTCCTCCGCCGAACGGCGCGACGCACTCCGCGCCGTCGTCCAGCAGGACGCCGCCCAGCTCCCGCCACCGGTCCGCGTCCTCCCACGCCCGAAACTCCCACGCCGGGTTCAGCTGGATGCACGTCGCGAACGCGCCGGCGGCCTCCTGTGACGCGTTGCGCAGGTCCGCGAACACGCGGTGCGCCACGCGGGGCACCTCGGCGTTGACGCGGTCGCACTCCGCCCGTCTCCGCACCATCGCTTCCGCTACGATGTCCACCGTGCACGCCCGCTCCGTACAGCCCTCGCCCGCGATGGCCGGCAGCGCCGCTACCATCGTCCGCGCCGCGAAGAGGTCCCACCGCACGCTCCGCCACTGGTCGTCGAGGTCGTAGGTGTACGCCGTGTCGTCCACCGTCACGCTCATGGGGCAGTCCGTCGCCACCCTTGTCGCCGCAAGGGCGAGGATGCTCGCCCGCATGGTACGTCGTGATCTGGCGCGGGGCGCACTGGCGGCGGCTGATGCGGCGACGCGAGCGGATGCGGCGGCGCGAGGCGGTGCCCAGAGGCGCTCGGGCGGTGCCCAGAGTCGCTCGGGCGGCGCGCGTGTCGCTGCGCGCGCGAGTCGCTGAGTCGCCTTGATTCGAATCACCAGCCCAGCCTGAACCCAGCCCAGCCCAGCCCAGCCCAGCCTGCCCACCAGACTGTCGGCCGAGCTCAGCTAGATAGCTCCGGGTACTTCACCATGTTGTGTGTTGCATCTCTTCCATCGATGCGGCCCGTCGCCCTGTGATGCGCCTCGTCGCCCTGTGCATGAGCCTGCTGATCCGCCGGGCGCTCTCGATGGCCAGGGCCGCCGGCCCGCGGCAGCTGCGCATCGAGCAGGCGCTCGCGGCGACGTTTTCGCCGACGGTGTTGGAGGTGCTCAACGAAAGCCACGGCCGCCACGAGGACGAGAGCCACTTCAAGGTCATCGTCGTCAGCGACCAGTTCGAGGGCGTCAAGCCGCTCATCAAGCGCCATCGCATGGTCACCGCGGCCATCACCAAGGACACGGGCGGTCCGCCGCGGCGTCCGCCGCCGCGATCGCGCGCCCGAGGCCGCGCGCGCCGCCCTTCCCCGATCGCGATCTCCCGCAGGCGCGCTCGACTTCCACTCGCTCTCCGTCGGCGCCGCGAAGACGCCCGAGGAGTGGGCCAAGGCCGACGGCGTCGCCGCGTCGCCCAAGTGCGCCGGCGGCGACGGCCTGCCGAAGCGGCGGTGATGGATCCTCTGTTCATAAAACACCGCCTCTGGACCGCGTCCTAGAACGGCCGCCTCGAGGCACAGGGCTGCTTTCTCGGAGCTTAGGGGGCCGCGGGGCGCGGCTAGGGCGCCGCGGCGGCGGCGCGCCGCCGGGCGCGGGCGGGCGCCTCCACGGGCGCGGGCGCGGGCGCCTTGGGCGCCGCCGGCGCCTTCTTCGCCGGCGCGCCCGTGAGCCCCGGGGGCAGCGGGCGCCGCGCGACGCCCGAGAAGCGGTCCTCCTCGTCCATGTCGGTCGAGATCTCCTGGCCGCGCTCCTCGGCGAGGTGGATGTTCGACGTCGTCGCGTTCTCGATCTCCGCGGCGATGCGCGCGGCCTCGGCCTTCTGGGCCGGCGTGAACGCGGAATCGTCGAGCTTCGTCGTGTACACGTTCTCGTCGTAGCCCGTCGACGCGCCGAAGAGGCGCTCGTTGGCCTCGAACTGGTCCCACTTCTTGCCCCCCTTGGGCTGGGCGGGGCCCTTGACCTTGGGCGCGGAGAGCCAGGCGCTGTCGAGCTGCTCGAGCGCGCGGCCCTCGAGGCCACGGTCCGGCCGCGCGATGTCGCCGTCGGTCCGGAACCCGGAGCTCCGCGGGTCGCCGAGCATGCGCGGCGCGGAGAACGTGAGGCACGCGATCTTGTCGAAGCCGAGGACGACGGTAGACGCGGGCGACGCGACCGTGCCCTTCTCCGCCGCGCCCTTGAGCACCATGCGGTGCGGCATGTCGCTAAAGGGCGTCGCCGTGTGGAGCACGCCGGTCATCGTCTTCTTCTCCAGGAGCTCCGCCTCGGCCTTCTGGCCCACGAGGAGGCTCAGGACGTAGAGGTAGCGGTCTCGCTGCGCCTTGACGATGTCTTGCGGCGCCATCGTGGAGCTGGTCCGCGCTCGCTAGCACAACTCAGGCGACCTCAGCTCGAGCTCGAGTTTGTGTTGCCCCGGGTCTCGGCGGGGGTCGGGCCGCGGCCCCGGGCCGCCCCGGAGCCGACGCAAGCCCCCGAGAAAATAGGAGTCGGTCCTGGCGGGGGTGGGGCCGCCTGGCAGCGGCCCCGGGCCGACTTCCGGGCCGTCCCGGAGCCGACGCCATCCCCCGAGAAAATAGGAGTACAGGGAAGGCGCAGCGTGCGCTATAAATAGCCAGGCCGCGAGTTGGTCGGCGGTTCAAGCCGCGACTGCGTCGGCGGTGGACAGGGGGCTGGGTGTGGATTTTGAATTTCAGGGGACGTCCGAGGCGACCTCCGCCTTCGCCGACGACGCGCGCTTCTTCTTCCGGGAGCTGCCGCGGCGCTTCGGCGGCGCCGACGGCGGCGCGCCGAGCCTGAGCTCGTTGGGGGCGTCGTGGGAGTCGTCGCAGATGTAGGTGTCGCAGCCGAAGACCGTCGGCGGCGACGCGCGCGCGGCGACACGCGCGCGGCCCCTGAGGTCGTCGCCGAGGGAGCCGTCGCGGCAGAAAAAGAAGGCCGACAGCTCTGATAAATCCGATTCCGGCGGCGGGTCCCGGCGGCTCTTGCGGGAGGAGGACGACGAGCGCCGCTTCTGGAACTGCGGCGGGTTTTTGGCCTCGTCTTTCTCCTCGTCCAAACCCGGCGACGACGGCCGGCGCTTGGAGGCGTGCGGCTTTTCGGACTTGTTGCCCGGGGCCGCCTGCGCGCCCCGTAGCGGCAGCTCCAGGCTCATCGGGGGCCCCGCGTCGCAGTCCGGGTCCGGCGCGAAGTGCTCCAGGACGTTCTCGCCGCCGTCGAGCGGGTCCATGGACTGGCCGAGCCGCACGTTCGACAGGAGCCGGAAGAAGCGCTCGCGCACGGCCTTGTCGACGGAGCAGAGCGCGAAGACGATGGTCGCGCGGTCCTCCTTGTGGATGAGGCGCATGAAGGGCTTGTCCTGCGGCGCGTCGGATTGGAACTTGCCCGTCGTCGCGAGCGACCGCGCCTGGCGGCCGTAGTGCTTCCGGAAGGTCCAGTCCGGGTCGACGGACGTCGTGGAGCCCATGCCGTAGTGGCGCCGCAGTCTCGCGAGCTTCTCGATGAGCGCGTTGAAGTCCGCGATCTGCGCCTCGGAGGGGTCCGTCACGAGCCACTCGAACAAATTGGGAAACGCGGCGATGAGCTTCTGCCAGACCTCGGCCTCCGCGGACACGGCGTAGGTGCCGAACTCCGCGTCGTCGCGGCAGTAGGCCTCGAGCAGGTGCTCGTTGACGTAGAGGATGTCCTCGAGGAGCTCCTTGGTCTTCGGGTCCTTCGGATCCGCCTGGTCGACCCATTTCAGGAAACATTCGGAGCAGAAGGTCTGGTAGAACTCGGAATCGGGGTCCGCGAAGTAGTTGCCCGTGTTGTCGTCGCCCTTGACGACCGCCTCCAGCGAGTTCCGCACGTCCGCGAGGGTCTTGATGGACGGGCGCTTCAGGTCGTTCATCTTGTCGAGCAGGCTCGCGCGCTTCGGCTTGGGCTTGTCCGCGAGGACCTCGTCGTAGAGGGCCGTGAGCTTGGCGACGAGCTTGTCCTTGGAGTTCCGCGCGCGGATGTTCGTCTTCACCACCGAGTAGGTGATGTAGAGGCACACGATGAGGCAGCCGTCGACGATGTAGGACACCGTGAGCATGTGCTGCTCCTCGTGGCGGCTCGGCTCGTCGCCGTAGTACGCGAAGAGGCTCGCCGACGCGATGACGACGACCGCCGTCGACAGCAGCGCGCTCTCGAGGCCCTTCTCGCCCGCGTGGAGGAAGGGGTCGTAGGCGGCCATGGACACGACGTGGATGAACTGGATGAGCACGTAGGCCCAGAGCGTGATGCCCGGGCCCAGGGGGCGCAGGATCTGGTTCAGCGCCTCGAGCGTGAGCTGCTTCGCGATCTCGACGGCGCTCCACCACGCGATGTGGGGCTTGAAGCCGCTGTACATGGGCCCGTAGCGCTCGAGGCTGTCCGTCGACATGAGCTCGTTGCGCTTGATCTTCGTCACGAGCACGGCGTAGATCCACAGCGGGAAGCCGATGAGGAACGGCGTCATGACGAAGCCGAGCGACGCGACGACGCGGTGCTGCCGCCTGGGCAGGAAAAGGGTGATTCAAGTTCTCTTCAACGTGAGTGTTCCGCGCGCGCGCGTTCCGGAAAACGCATCCAGGCTTCGAGACCCTTCCGAGAGATGATCGCTCGTCCAAAAATCAGCCGAAACGAGTGGAAAACGGCCGAGATCGGAGCCTTTGAAGTCGGGAATTTCGCTCTCTTGTCCTGCCCTGGCTGCCGCGTGTGCTCCGTCTCCGTCCAGCACCGCATCTCGAGGTCCTGCGCGAGGTACGCGCCGCCGTCGTCGAACTCCTTGCAGATCATCGACGCGATGGACACCTCGCACAAGCTCGGGTAGGTCATGACGAGCGACGCGATGCAGAACTTGAGGAGGTGGTTCCACGCCGTGCGCACGAGCTCCGGGCCGGACCCGCGGTGCCGGTACCACGTCGGCAGGTAGGAGAAAAAAAAGTAGAAGCCGAACATGAACAACAGCAGCAACAGCTGGACCAAGATGCGCTCCATGAAGCCCCACTTGGCGAAGAAGCAGCGCGGCGGCGCGATGTCGACGTCGAACTGCGTCGCGGCCATGAAGTTGAAGAAGAGCGCGAGGAGCGGGTCCTTGGGCCAGTTCACGTCGACCTGGGCGATGATGGAGATGGACCGCGCGTGCGTCAAAAAAATGCCCACGGCCTCGTACTTGTCGGAGAAGTGCGTCACGACGAAGAACGCGGCGACGAGGCCGCCCGAGAGCAGGAGCTGGAAGACGACGCCCGTCGCGCCCGCGGGGCACTCGATGACCATGTCGCCCACGGTCGTGAAGCCCGCGCGCGTCGCCTGGCAGAGCAGCGATCCCTGGGCCTTGGAGCCGGGGCAGTTGTAGTTGCCCTGGCAGTCGCCCTCGTACGACGCGCACCGGTCCATGCGCAGCGGGTGCTCCCAGGTCAACAACTTCTTCCGGGACACGTCGACCGTGCTCACGCCGGAGAAGCCCTTGACGGGGATGGGGAGGTCGAAGGCCCCGCGGCAGTAGGCGTTCTTCGGGCACTCGTAGCACGTCATCGCGCCGTCGAAGACGGCCGCCGCGGGCGAGTACGCGCCCGTGCCCGCGATGGGCTCGGCGCACTCCGTGAAGTCGCACTTGGAGGCGACGCCATCCTCGCCCAGGGGCTGGAAGCAGTGCTTGCCCTCGCAGGTGCCCATCTCGCAGATGCAGTGGGACGCGGACGTCGCGTGCGAGATGAGGAACTCGAAGATGGCGTCGCCGTCGAAGGACGCGAGCGCGGCCAAGTCGATGGCCGACGGCGGGTAGCGCTTCGAGTTCGCCGGGCAGCTCAGGCAGGACGACGCGCCCGCGTCCGGCGCGTACGAGTAGAGGTCGCAGATCCGGCACTTGTCGGAGCCGTAGGCGTCCGTGAACGTGCCCGGCTCGCAGGTCTCGCAGACGGGCGGGTCCGTCGGGGTCTTACCGGACGGGGCCGTGTAGTAGGAGCCCGGCGCGCAGTTCTTGACGGCGCACTCGTCGCCGCTGAAGCCGTCGCGGCAGGCGCAGGTGCCGTCGCCCTGGCAGTCGCCCGCGTTGCTGCAGTTGTGGCTGTAGACGCACTCGGCCTGGTCCCACGTGAGGTACGCGCTTTCGGCCGCGCCGTAGTACCAGACGAGCTTCTTCTCCGCCTCGGCCGTGTACTGGCTCACGGGCGCGCGGGCGACGGACGCCTGGCCCGAGGCGTCGAAGGTGAGGTTGCCCAGCGCCGTCGCGACGGCCGGCTGGTCCGCGAGCCACGCGAGGAGCCGCGCGTTCAGATCGTCGGCGTCCACGCTCGCGAGGGACCCCTCGAGCGCCTGGAGCGTCGCGGACAAGGCCGCGAGCGCGTAGACCGCCGTCTCGCTGGAGAGCGGGTCCCAGTCGAGGTCGTAGGACGTGCCCAGCCGATCCAGGAGCGTGCCCGCGGACTCGCCCGTGAGGCCGTCGACGGCCTCGACGCGGTCGTGCCACGCGTCGACCTCGTAGGACCTGGGCAGGAAAAGAGTGATTCAAGTTCGCTTCAACATGAGTGTTCCGCGCGCGCGAGTTCCAAAAAAAGCATCCACGCTTCGAGACCGTTCCGAGAGATGATCGCTCGTCCAAAAATCAGCCGAAACGAGTGGAAAACGGCCGAGATAGGAGCCTTTGAAGTTGGGAATTTCGCACTCTTTTCCTGCCCCGCGTAGGACCGCTCCGTCTGGCCCGCGAAGCCGCGGACGATCTCCTTCGCGAAGAGGCCGTCGAGGCAGCTCACGAAGAGCTGGGCCTGGGGCGCGAGCCTGCCGGCGTCGAGCGCGTCCATCTCGGCCTCGCACGAGTCCGGGTCGTACGACGCGACGACGAGCAGGTGGGACGCGTCCACGACGGTGACGTCCGCGACGAGCTCCTCCGTCGTCAGCTTCGTCGCGACGACGCCCCAGCTGTCGAGCAGGTACGCGTCGACGTCGTCCCAGCCCCCGCCCCAGTCCTCCTGGCTCTCGTCGAACACGAACGTCACGTTCGACAGCTCGAGCTCCGTCAGGATCTGCCCCAGCGCGGAGATGATGAGGGAGTTGTTCGTCGGGACGACCTTGACGAGCCCCGAAACGTCGAGGTCCGGGTCCACGTGGAACGGCGTCGCGAACGCGCGGTCCGCGCCGTCGACCGTGAGGTCCCGCGGCGCGAGCCGCAGCGGCGCGTCGCCGTAGTAGGCGCCCTTGCCGTCGACGGCGTCGTAGACGTGGGCCGCGACGGCGTAGCGGCCGAGACCCGCGCTGCCGTTGACGTAGACGCCGCACCGCGGGGGCCGGTTCGCCTCGTCCGCGAGCCGCCGGTAGGCTTCCGCCGCGAGCGCGCCGTGGTTCAAAGCGTCGGAGACGACGTCCATGTCCATGGTCGCCCCGAGGTTGACCTCGCCGACGAAGGCGCAGCCGCTCAGGTTGGCGCCGACGGCCACGGCGGACGTCCGCACGCGGCCGGGCACGCTCGGGTCCGCGACGGACGTCTCCCGCAGCCGCCGCGCGTCGCCGCGCGGCGAGACCTCCACGGTCGCGGGCCGGCCGGCCGCCGCCCAGGCCAGGGCGAGCGCCGCGGCGCCCGCCCGCATGGTCCCCCGAAGGATCTACGAGCAGGGCGGGGCGAGGAGTGGGGCTGCCAGTCACGAGTCTCTCTCGCGTTTTTGGGAGAGGAATGCATCAAACACGGTCTCGTGACGGTGAAGTTCACGCGCAAACTTCAATACATTTACCCGGGCGAGCGCTCGTCGTGGCCGCGCCGGCGCCGCTTCTTCTCCTTCCTGCGCCGCCGGCGCCGGGAGCCCGACGACGACGACGACGGCGACGGCGACCGGCGCCGTTTGGGCGCCTCGAACTCGAGCGTGAGCGGCTTCTCGAGCGCGCGGACGAGCTCGAGGCTCCGCGCGTAGTCGATGGCCTTGCACCGGACGCCGGCGATCTTGGCCAGCACCATGCCCGGCCGGAGCGCGTCGACGACGGCCGCGCGGCACGACGCCGCGAAGCCCAGGACCACGGGCCGGCCCGACGCCGCGTCGCGCTCGAAGAGGATGCCCGTGGCCCGGTCGTCGGGGAGCACGACCTCGACGCGCCGCGGGCCCCGGCCCTCGTCGCGCCGCGGCGCCGGCGGCGGCGGCGGCGGCGGCGACGGGCTCCGGCGGCGGCGGTCCGCGCCGAAGGGCGCGTTCCTGAGCCGCGCGTTGTGCGCCGCCGTGTCCGCGAGCGTCCGCCGCAGGAACCGCCCGTTGTGGAGCGCGACCTTGCCGCCGGACCGCTCCGCCATCGCCGTCGGGAACTCGTCGCCGCCGGCGGGCGGCGGCGGCGCGGCCTCGGCCTCGCGCCGCAGGAGCCGCGCCGCCGCGTCGCCGAGGTCCCGGTCGAGGACCGACGATGCCGTCGGCGGCGGCGGCGGCGCGTCGCCGCGGAGCGCCGCGGCGGCGGCGCGGAACCGCTTCGGCGGCTTGCCGCGAGGAGGTTGCGAAGCCATGGTTATTCACGAGCGTGCGGCGCGACGACGGCGTCGTTTTGAGCGGTCTCAACGGCAACACGTCTCCGTTGGGTACATGCGCCGCGGATAGAACCGGCGCGGGGTCCTCTGGGGGCGCACACGGCCGGCCCCGCGACGCTGCGGAGCGGCCCTCGACCTTTGCGTGACGATGTTGCTGACCAGATGCACTGAATGTTGAATTTATTGGCAGACGCCGGGGCTGCCCCGATGGCGGCGCCCGACGGCTACGCGCCGATCGGGCCGGCGGCCGACGCCGACGCCGCGGCGGCGCGGGCGCCGGACGGACGATCCGCGCCCGGCCACCGGAGACGACGCGGCAAGCGACGAGCCGCCGCCTTTTGCGCCGCGCTGACGCTCGCCCTCGTCGGCAGCCGCCTCGCCGCGTCGTCCGATCGACGCGCGACGACGGCGCGCCTGAGCGTGATTCTCTGGGGCACGGACTCGAGCGCCGACGGCGACAGCTTCGGCGAGAACGCGCCGAACACGGACGGCGACAGTTTCACGGCGCCGCCGTCGACGCTTCGCTTCGACGCGCCGACGACGCATCGGCCGACGCCGCTGACGCCGTCGCCGTCGGCGACCATGTTCCCCTCGCCCTTGTTGCCCGACGCGCCGACGAGCCACGAGCCCACGGTGTCGCCCGCGCCGACGTATTCGCGCGCGCCGACGACGGCGGAGCCGTCGCCGCGGCCGTCGGCCGCGCCGACGAAGCCGCCGCTGCCCGAGCCGACGCCCGTGCCCACGTCCGTGCCGACGACGGAGGCGCCGCAGCCGCGGCCGACGCCGCGGCCGACGCCCGGCGACCCGTCGCCGTCGCCGTCGTCCGCGCCGACGCCGCGGCCGACGAAGCGGCCGACGCCCAACCCGTCGCACGAACCCTCGTACAAGCCGTCCAAGGCGCCGACCTACTTCCCGACGACGTTCGCGTACGACTCGGCGCCGCCGACCTACGCGCCGACGACGCCCGCGCCGTCCCCCGCGCCGTCGCCGCGGCCCGCGCCGAGCCCCACCTTTTATTCGCCCGCGCCGACGCCTCGGCCGACGGAACCGGCGCCGACGAGCAGCGCGCCGACGATGCCGCCGCTGCCGCGGCCGACGCCGCCGCCGTCCGCCGCACCGTCCTACTCCATACGCCCCACGGACACGTGGGATCCGACGCCGATGCCGTCGCCCGAGCCCTCGTCGTTGCCGTCGTCCGTCGTCCCCACCGCGGGACCGACGTCCCTGCCCGCGCCGCGGCCGACCGCCGCGCCCACGGGCCCGCGGACGTCGCCCTCGCCGAGCTACGCGCCGACGGACGGGTCGCCGACGGCCGCGCCGACGCCGCTGATACCGGCGCCGACGGTCCCGGGCGCGCCGAGCTACGCGCCGACGGTTTCCCAGTCGGCGGCTCCGTCGTCCATGCCCGTGTCGAAGCCGACGGCGCCGCCGTCGGCCGTCGTCACGAAGCCGCCGTCCGTGCCGGCCGCCACCTACGGGCCGACGCCCGCGCCGTCGGTCCCGCCGACGCCCGCGCCGACGCCCGCGCCGACGGCGCTGCCGTCGTCGGCCGCGCCCTCGTCCTACGCGCCGTCGGTCATGCAGAGCGCCGTGCCGACGACGGCCGGCCCGACGGTCGCGCCGACGCCCGCGCCGACGGACGCGCCGATCCCGGCGCCGACGACGGCCGCGCCGACCCGGATCACGCTGCGGCCGACGGACGTGGGCATGGGCGACCAGCCGAAGCCGTCGGTCTGCCCGTCGCTGTCGACGCCGCCGTCGGCGGCGCCGACGGCGGAGACGTTCCGGCCGTCCGGGTTCTCGATGGGCGCGTCCGACTTCTCGGCGTTCCCGTCCGCGTCGCCCGCGCCGTCGTCCTACGCGCCGTCGACGACGTCGGCGCCGAAGCCGACGCTCGGGCTCGATATATCATAAAAAAAATTGAACGACGGCGCATCAGCGCGCGTGCTTCGGCGACGCGCCGCATCGGAGGCGTTGTCGGACGCCATCGACCGCATCGAGCACTCGTCTGCCGACCCGACTGCGAACTGTTCAAAACGATGAGCTCCTTCGACGCCGAGGACGACGCCTTGCGCGCGCGCGTCGAGGCCGTGAGCCGGGACCTCGAGGCGTCGGCCGCGGACACGGCGGCCGTCGTGCGCGAGATCGACGCCGTCCACGACGCCTGCGCGACCGTGACGGGCGACGCGCGGGACCACATCCGGGAGCTGTCGCGGCAGGTCGCGGAGCAGCGGCGCGCGAGCGGGAGCGGCCACGTCGAGGACGAGTACGCGGCGCTCGCCGCGGAGCTGAGCGAGCTCGAGGTCGAGCGCGACGAGCTGCTCGCGGCCGCGGGCGCGGCGCCGGCGCTCGCGGCCGACGGCGGCGCGGGCGACGACGACCCGGAGCTCGCGCGCGCGCGGCACGCCGTGAGCCTCTTCACGAACATCACGCGCATCACCTGGGCGCCGGACTGCGGCGACGGCGTCATCGCGGGCGTCGTCGCCTACGACGACGGCCACCGCGCGCGCCGGTTCTCCATCGACGCGGCCGGCAAGGACGACTTCGCCGTCGCCGCGGAGCTGTGGGCGCTCCTCGAGGAAGGCGGGGCGAGCGCGTATTAGTGTGTTTGAGTGTCGACAAGAAAAGGGGCTTACTAGTGCTTCCGCTTCGACTTGCCGCGGCGCTCGCGGCCCTTCATGGCGTTCGGGTTCTTGCGGCCGAGGCCGACGGTGAGGTCGTTGGCCTGGACGATGTTGAGCGCCTCGAGGGAGTCCGTGACGTCGGGCCCGAAGACGGATTGTTTCGTCTTGGCGGACTTGGCGCGCGCGGCCTTTTGCCGCCAGATGCCGCTGAGGAGCTGGTCCTCGCGGAGGAGGAGCTCGCCCTCGTAGCGGCCCGCCTGGCCCGGCTTCGGCAGGGCGAACTTCGTGCCGCGGAGGTCGTGGCGCGGCGTCTTCCGGAGGAAGACCTTGCGCTTGCCCGTCGCCGCGTCGACGCCGACGGCGACGCGGTTCAGCGGTGTGGAGCCGCAGCGGCCGCAGAACAACTTCGCCTGGTCGTCCTCGACGTGGAAGCACGCGCCGCAGCGCAGCGCCCAGCGCGTCGTGCGGCTCACGACCATGCCGTCCAAACTCACGAGGCGCAGGCCCATCTGGAGGAGCACGTTTTGCATCGCGTAGTCGACCGTCGCGCACGCGCAGCCGCAGCTCGGCTTGTAGCCGCCGTCGCTCGCCGCGGGCGCGGACCCGTCGAAGGGCAGCTCGCCCGTCGCGACGGCCGTCGCGACGTGGCTCGCGTCGAGCCAGCCGACGCCGTCGTCGTCCGCCGCGTCCATCGCGGAGCTCTGGCCGGAGGCCGTCGCGGAGCCGAGGATGCGCGACGGCGCGCTCTTCGACGACGACGGGAGCGGCTGCTGCGGCGCCTCGTCTTCTTCTTGCTCTTCTTCGTCCGCCTCGGGGAGCGGCGCCGCGGCGGCGGGCGCGGCGGCGGGCGCGGCCGCGGGCGCGGCCGGCGCGGCCGGCGGCGGCGGCGGCGCCTTGAGCGCCGCGGCCCAGGACGTCGGCTTCGCGCGCGGCGCGGCCGGCGCGGCCGGGGCCGGCGCGGGCGGCGGCGGCGGCGCGACGACGGGCGCGGGCGCGGGCTTCGCAGCGGGCTTCGCCGCGGGGGCGCGGGCCTCGCGGCCGTCGGGCGCCCGCCGCAGGTGCGCGTCGTCGCCGACGGCCTCGAGCTCGAGCGTCAGCGCGAGCGCGAGCACCTTGGCGTCGACGGCCGAGAGGCTCCGGAGGTCGCCCGTGAGCTTGGCGAACTCCAGGACGCGCGCCGTCGCCTCCGCGGACGGCCGCCGGACCTCGAGCTCAAAGGGCAGGCGCAGGAGCTGCTCGCGCGACTTGTCGTCGCGGACCTCGGCCAGCACCTCCTCGATGGTCCAGAAGCGCTCGGCGTAGCCCGCGAGCGACGCCGCGCGGCCGCGGATCAACGCGTTCGCGTCGAGCACGAGGTGCTTGGCCTCGTGCGTGTCGCTGCCGCCCAGGTTCGCCGCGCGCACGGCGCCGTTCGCCGCGTCGTACTCGAGGAGCGGCGACGTCGCCGCGGCGCGCGCGAGCACGTCGTCGCCGGGTGCGCGCGCGAGCAGCGCCGCGAGCTTGGGGAAGTCCTCGAGGTCCGCGAGGGCGACGAAGCCCCGGCCGTCGGCGAGGCCCCGCAGGTAGGCGTCGCGGCTGTAGTTCGCGTAGCTGAAGTAGTACTCGAGCTGCTGGCGCGCCTCGCACTCGACCTGATTGTGGTCGCCCGCCATGTTGCGAGCCGAGCTTGTCAGATTAGGCGTGATTCTATCGCCACTCCCGAGTCTTCGGCAAAGAGCTTGCTCTACTATTGTACATAGTAGCTCATCGGCCATTGTTTTATTTTTGATCACACTCGCGGCATGGCTGCCCGCTTTACGATCTCTGTCTTGCTCATTGCTAGCGCGCGTGCTAGTGATCCGGACCCCTCGCAATGCACGACGGTAGATCAGGCGTGTCTGGACACATCCTATGCGAACATCACGACCTACCATCGCATCGGTGATCCGGATGCATGCTGCACGCTCTGCAATGCGACTCAAGGCTGCGCGGCATGGACGCTGATCACGGCAGGCGGAACATCAAACTGTACCTTGCTTCGCGAATACACGGCACAAGCGAGTTGCGGACCACCGGAGAGGGGGCCTTACTCCGCCACTTCCGGGTACTTGGCCGGAGCGAAGACGCACTACGGGAATCCGTACGTCGGAGGCTGCCTCACGAACGAATTCAACTACAGCAACCCTCTCATCGAGGGTGGTGTATGTGCCCCGCCTGGCCCCGCTAACGTTGCTGGACCGCCCACGTACGGCTGCCCGAAAGACGTACCGTTCGGCTCGAACTCGTCCGCGTACCCCGTCTTCATGGACTCCATCGGCGTTTATAGTGCCAATCAACACTGCGCCCTCGTATGTCGCAACGCACCGAACCAGAAAGAACCATCGAAGAACGACACTAAGTGCGGCGACGGCGCGTACTGCGCGAAACCGTACGGAGATAGCGGGATCGGCGTCTGCGTCTACAAACCGCCCGCGATCCCTCCGGATTACTAAGCTTCGCAAAGATAGAGCGCCGTCCGAAGTATATCTCCCACGTGGTTACAACTCGAACACCCTAGCCGCTCCCGAGCTTGCGGCCGACCTTGGCGGTTTTCGCCTTCGGCGCCGCGGACTCGGCGTCCGCGGTGAGCCTCGGCCAGACGACGGCGAAGAAGTGGTGGAAGTGGGCGCAGAGGATGCCGAGGACGTGGGGGAAGACGGCGGCGACGGACTGCTGCTGGAGCATCTCCACGACCATCAGGCCGAAGGGCAGCATCCAGTACTTCAGCGTGATGCCGAACTGGAACTGGACGTTCCCAAAGGGCTCGAGGCGGCTGCAGGCGTAGATCACCGCCGTGATGAGCGCGTTGGCCGTGAAGGGCACGCCCGTCGCGCCGCCCGCGAACGCGAGGAGCGCCGTCTGCAACACGAGGAACTTCGCGAACGGTTCGCTTCCCACGGCGGCCTCGAGCTCCTTGCCGTACTTGACGAGCAGGTAGAGGCTCGTCGCCGAGCCCATGGACGGCTCGCCGAGGAAGCAGGCCGACGTCAGCGGGCGCCACAATTGGAGCCGCGCGACGGTGCCGTACGTGTCGAGGCTGAACGCCGCGTTCGGATCGAGCACGCCCGTCAAGGCGACGGCCGTCACGGCGACGACGGAGACGACGTGCACGCGCAGCGTCGGCGGCAGCGACGCCAGCAGCGACGCGACGGCGCCGGGCTCGTCGTCCTCGTCGTACTCGATGTCCTCCGTGTCGCCGCCGCGGACCGCGAGCGCCCGTGCGCTCGCGCCGCCGCGCGCGGGTCGTCGCGGCCGCGGCGCGACGCCGCGCGGCGCCGACGGCCGCGCGCCCGCGGCGAGCAACAGGCACGCGCCGAGCAGCGCGGCGAGGCTCGCCAGGCGAGGCGCCATAAGACTGCAAGGTCCGAGCGTCAAGCGCGGATTGCGCGCGGGTGCCTGCGGGGGTCGAGTGCCGCTGGGCGTCGTGTCGATTTGGGCCTTCCAGGGCAACACGGACAAGCCGACGTTCTACCTCTTCCTGCTCATGTTCTTGTTTCCAGCGCTGCGGGCCAGAGCCGCTGCATCATCATGGACAACCTCAGCGCCCACTTCGGCGCGGACATCGACGACTATTTCGATCCCACCGGCACGACGTCCGCCGCGCCGTCCGGCGTGATGGTGAGGATCATCGACGGCGCGATGTTCTTCTCCACAAGCACCACGCTCATCCACTTCTCGGAGTTCGCGATGGTGTGCTGCAGGTATGGGAACTCGCCGAACCAGAGCATGCCAGTGCCGCCGGCGCACCCTGGCCGTGGTGCTGCTTCTGCGACAAGCGCGGCCAGTGCGTGGTCTTCTCGCGCGTGAAACAGTGGCAGACTGCCGACTTCGCCATCAGATCCATCCTCTACACTGTCGAGGACTCTCTCAAGGTAATGCGTATCCGTATGGCGGCCCAGACGCCGTGCTGCGTGTTGCGCCGCGCAGCTAACGGCGGCCCGGCCGCCCGTCGGCCGGCGCGGCCCGTCGCCGTGGCCGCCGCCAGTCGACCGCAGCCCCTCGTAAGCGCCACCGCGCCCGAGGAGAGGGCTGCGGAACGCGCGCGGCGCCGCTGCACTCGGCCGATATTGAGGCCTCACCTATAGCCGCCGGAGTAATTTGGCGGTATATTACCGGTAATGGTAATTACCGGTAATTACCGGTAATTACCCGGTGCCATAATTCGATACCGGGTAATCCGCGTACAGGCCGCGGTCCGCTAGTACACGTGGCTGACGATCCGAGCGTCGCGGCCCGTCGCGGTCGTGTTTCGCATCGCGGTCGACGCGCGGCGCGAAACCGCGACCGAGCGGCTGCTCGTCGCGACGTCGCGACGGGCGCGCCGGGCGACGCCCCCCACGCCGTAGCGCGCCGCCGGCGTTGTCGCGTGGAAGCCACCTAAAAGAGAATTCGGTCGACACGCGGGTTCGCGGTGGTCCTTTCGAGCCGCCATACCGCCTCTAGCCGTCCGCGGACGCCCTGATTACCGGGTAATTACCCTTCTGCGGTAATTACCCGGTAATTACCGGTAATTACCGAGGCCTCCCGGGCATTACCCGGTAATCCGGCCCCCATAGCCTCACCGTCCTCACCTGTGTCAGCAAGGATTTTGTGCAAAATGATGGAGGACTGGTTTCCGCAGGCAGACGCGTGCTAAGCGCATCGCTGCACAAACACAGCAGCGCGCGACGCGCTCGAGCTGCGCCGGCAGCGCGCGGCCCATGTACTACCCGAAGACGGTGCCGCAGGGCCTGGTCTGGCTCCTCCTGGGCCTCTGCGGCGGCGGCACCTGGCCGGCGCTGCGCCAGGCCATCAAGTCCGTGGACTTCGAGGTCTTTAACCTCGGCTTCATCGTGTCCATGTCCGGCACGGGCATCGCGCTGCTGTCGCTGCTCAGCCTGCCGCCGACGCGGGACCCGCCGCCGCCGCCGTTCGGGCCGGGCGACTGGGACGGGCTCTGGGAGGCGCTGGCCTGGGAGGCGGCGGACTCGGGCGCTAGCCTCTGGCTCGCGACCTGCGCCGGCGCCTGCGTGTCGACGTCGAACGTGCTCCTCGTCGCGGCCATGCCGCTCGCGGGGCTGACGCGCGCGCTTCCCGTCTTCAACGGGTGCGCGATCGTCGTCGGCGTGGGCATGAACTACGCGCTCGAGGGCAACAAGCGGCCGGCGACGCTCGTGGCCGGCGTCGGACTGATCCTCGTCGCCATTTTGTTGACGTTCCAGAGCCGCCACGACGCCGCGCGGATGCCCGCGAAGACGGCGCGGGGGCTCCTCAGCGCGTCGAACCTGCAAGACCTCGTCCACTCCAAGGCGCCGTCGCGCGACTCGTTGGACTCGCTGCTCGAGCTCGCCGTGAAGCGCGGCGAGGCCCGCGAGGACGAGCCCATCCTGCTCGTCGACGAGCCGCCGCCCGCGGAGACGGTCGCGCGGGGCCTCGCCTTGTGCGCGGCGGCGGGCGCGATCGACGGCTGCTGGTCGAGCCTGACCTGCGCGGCGAAGCTCCGCGGCATCGACAACTACGTCACCGCGACCTTCTTCTGCGTCGGGCTGCTCGTGCCCCTGCTGCTCGTGGAGGCCGGGATCCTCCTCCGGGACGCGCGGGGCCACGCGCGGAAGCTGCGGCGTTTCACGCCGAACCAGCTCCTCGTGAGCCTCGCGTGCGGCGCGCTGAACATCTGGGGCATCGTCACCTACTTCATGGCCACGGTCCAGCTCTCGGCCGCCGTCGCCTTCGCCATCTTCCTCTCGACGCCCCTCGTGTCCATCTCCATCGGCGTCGGCCTCTTCCGGGAGCTCGACGGCAAGTCCGCGCGGGAGAAGTCCCTCGTCGCCACGATCCTCCTCCTCTACGTCGCCGCCATCGCCATCCTCGCGAGCAACGCGCTCCTCCAGTAAATTCGCCGACCGGTCCTCGGGGGCGAAGGGACTCTCTCGAGAGGGGCGGCCGATCGCGACGCGGTCGCCGGCGCGGTCGCCGGCCTAGGCCTGCAATGACAACATCAACAACCGACGAGGATTCTCGGCATTTGGCCGATGGCCGAGACGATGGACTTTCTTGGTGGTCCACCATGGCTACGCTCCTCGTCGCCCTCGCGATTCCGGCCGCGGAGGCCTTCTACGGCCCCCAGTGCCGCCTGCGGTCGGAGAGCGGCTGCTCCGGGTCGCAGCGCTACTTCGACCCACGGCGTCGGCCGTGACCTTCTGGCCCGCCGCCTGGACCGGCGGCGCCTCGGACGCGCCCAACGCCGCCATCACCGCCGGCGACCTCGTCGGCGGCGACGGCCTCGCGGACGTCTTGGTCGGCGGCTACGACGGCGGCGTCGTCCTCTTCGTCAACGCCGGGTCGGGCGACGCGCCGGTGTTTGTGGAGACGCCGTGGGACTACGGCGCCGTCAACGCGTCGAGCAGCGCGTCGCCCTGGCTCGCGGACATCTTCGACGACGACGGGCTCCTCGACCTCGTCGTGGGGGAGCGGCTCTCGGGCACCGTCCGCCTCTACCGAAACGGCGGCACCGCATCGAGGCCGGACTTCTCGGGCGGCCCGACGCTCACCGTCGAGGCGTCCAAGAGCTGCTGCTACCTGCAGCCCACGACGGGCGACCTCGACCACGACGGAGACCTCGACCTGCTCGTCGGCACCTCCGGCGGCGAGCTGGTGTACCTCGAGAACGTCGGCGACGCGTCGGCGCCGGACTTTTTCGAGGGCGACAACCCCTTCGCGGATATTACGCTCGCGCAGCCGAGGCTCGTGGACCTCGACGGCGATGCCACGCTCGACCTCGTCGGCCAGGCGTCCTCCTCGGACAACGTGCCGTCGGTCTATACGAACGTCGGCTCGGTCTACGCGGCGCGCTTCGCGCTCGACGACGCGCTCCTCGGCGGCTTCGACGGGTCGGGCTTCGGCGCCCTCCAGGCGCTCTTCGTCGACGTCTTCGCGGACGACGGCTTCGACGATCTCATCGTCTTCGATACCGATCTGCGGGAGTTCGTGGCCCTCGAGTCGCTGCCGACGGGCGGCGACCCCGCCTACGCCTACCGGTCGGGCGCCGCGAGCGTCCTGGCGGCCTACGAGACGTCGCGGACCGCCGCGGCGGCCGCCGTCGACGTCGACGGCGACGGCGACGCGGACCTCGTCGTCGCGAGCCCGTCCGGCCGCTGCGGCCTCGCGCTCTACGACTCCCGGGGCCCCGGCGTCTTCGAAGCGGCGGAGACGCTCGGGTCGCCGCTCGAAGTCGTGGACGCGGCGCTCCAGGCCTTCGCGAGCTCCGCGAGCGACGTCGCCGTCGTCGCCTTCACGTCGAACCTCGTCGACGGCTTCGACCACGCGCTGGCCTACTGCGACGGCTGGCACTGGTTCTCGCGCGCCTCCGGCGCCGAGCCGCGCGGCGTCTACGCGGCCGACGACGAAGTCGGCGCTTCCTGGGCCGCCGCGCTCGACGCCGCGGGGCACGGCCCGGTCTACGGCGTCTCCTTCGGCGACGTGGACGGCGACGGCGACGACGACGTCGTCTTCGGGGACTGGTACTCCCAGGCGCTGTTCCGCGTCGCGAACACCGAGGCGAGCTTCGCCGTCGACACGGACCTCGTGCTCGACACGGGCGGCTCGCCCTGCGTGACCTACGCGTGCTCGCCGCAACTCGGCGACGTCGACGGCGACGGCGACCTGGACCTCGTCGTCGGCTGCAACTCGGTCCTCTACCACTACGAGAACGTCGGCGACGCGACGACGATGAGCCTCGCGGCCGCGACGTCCGGCGCCTTGGACCTCGTGAGCGTGTCGACGGCGTCGCGGCCGCGGCCGCTCCTCGCGGACCTCGACGGCGACGCGGACCTGGACCTGCTCCTCGCGACGACCGACGGCTCCGTCGCGTACTACGAGGCGGGCTACTGCGTCCCCAGCGGGCCCTGTGGGTCCCAGGGCTTGTGCGACGAGGACGCGCCGAGCCCCCAGTGCGACTGCCTCATCGGCTTCGCGGGGCCCCAGTGCTTCGAGTGCCAGGAGGGCTACTTCTCCACGACCTGCGAGCTCTGCCCGGAGGGCGGCGACGAGGACCGCTCGAAGCCGCGCATCACGGACACCTGCGGCGTCAAGAACAGCGGCCGGAGCCGCGGGTCGTGCGACGACGGCGTCGAAGGGACGGGCGCGTGCGCGTGCTTCGAGAGCTTCTCCGGCGAGAGCTGCGCGGAGGGCACGTGCCCGGACGGCTCCGTCGAGGTCGGCCTGGTCGCGGGCAGCTTCAACAACGCGCTGTGCTCGGGCTGCGCCGCGGGCCGGGCCGCGGCCGCGGGCGACGTCGAGTGCGGGGCCTGCGCCGCCGGGCGCTACTCCGAGGACGCGGCCGCCGCCTGCGGCGAGTGCGACGCGGGCTCCTTCTCGCTGACGAGCGCGACGGAGTGCGTCGCGTGCGCCGCGGGCTACATCTCCGACGCGGGCGCCGAAAGCTGCGCCCAGTGCGACGCGGGCCGCTACGCGAACGGCGGCGCGTCGTGCGACGCCTGCCCGGCGGGGTCGTTCTCCCAGGGCGGCGCGACGGCGTGCGTCGACTGCCCCGACGGCTCCATCTCGGCGGAGGGATCCGGCGCGTGTTCTCAGTGCGACGTCGGGACCTACGCCGACGCGGCGACGCAGAGCTGCCTCGACTGCCCGGCGGGGACCTACTCGCTCACGGGCGCGGCGAGCTGCGTCGCCTGCGGCGCCGGCCTCGTGTCTTTCGCCGGGGCGCCCGTGTGCACGCAGTGCGGGTCGGGTCGCTACGTCTTCGACGCGGGCTCCTGCGCCGACTGCCCCGCGGGATCGTTCTCCCTGAACGGCGCGACGGAGTGCGTCGACTGCCCCGAGGGGTCCGTTTCGGCCGCCGCGTCCGGCGCTTGTACGCAGTGCGACGCCGGGACCTACGCCGACGCGGCGACGCAGAGCTGCCTCGACTGCCCGTCGGGGACCTACTCGCTCACGGGCGCGGCGAGCTGCGTCGCCTGCGGCGCCGGCTCCGTGTCTTCCGCCGCGGCGCCCGTGTGCACGCAGTGCGAAGCGGGCCGCTACGCGACCGCCGACGCGTCCGCCTGCGCCGACTGCGCCGCGGGGTCGTTCTCCCAGGGCGGCGCGGCGGCGTGCGCGCCCTGCGCGGCCGGCCGCGTGTCGGCCGCGGCCGCGGAGAGCTGCGACGCCTGCCCGGCGGGCTCCTTCGCCGGGGCCGCCGGCGCCGCGGCCTGCGCGGCCTGCGGCGCCGGCACCTACGCCTCCGAGGCTTCCGCGGCCTGCGACGCGTGTCCCGCGGGCTTCGTCTCCGGGCCGGCCGCGGCCGCGTGCGCGCAGTGCCCGGCCGGCCGGGCGACGACGAACGGCACGGTCTGCGAAGCGTGCGCCGCGGGGACCTTCTCCCCGAGCGGCGCGACGCGGTGCCTCGCCTGCGACGGGGGCAAGTACGCGGGCCGCGGCGCGGAATTCTGCTCCGACTGCGCCGCGGGCACGCGGTCGAACGCGTCGGCGGCGGCGTGCGAATACTGCCCCGCGGGGACCTACTCACCCGCGTCGTCGTCCTTCTGCGTCGCGTGCCCCGAGAACTCCGCCTCGGCGCCGGGCTCCGCGACGTGCGCGTCCTGCGACGTCGGCGAGGTCCCGACCGCGGGCAACGGCACGTGCGTCGCGTGCCCGCCGGGCGCCTACGCCCAGCTCGGCGACGCGGTCTGCGCGCCCTGCGCCGCGGGCCGCTTCGGCGCGTCGCCGGGCCTCGGCGCCTGCAGCTTCTGCGCCGCGGGGTCCTACGCGGCCGCGGGCGCGACGGCCTGCGGCACGTGCGACGCGGGCTCCGCCTCGGGGCCGAACGCGGAGCGCTGCGAGGCCTGCGGCGCCGGCGAGGTGTCCGACGCCGGCGCCGCGTCCTGCCGCCTCTGCGCGAGCGGCTCCGCGCCGAGCGCCGCGGACGCGTGCGCGGCCTGCCCCGCGGGCACCTTCGGCGTCCAGGGCGACGAGGCCTGCGGCGCGTGCCCGGCGGGGACCTTTTCTCTAGCCGCCTCGTCCACCTGCGACCAGTGCGCCGCCGGTCGGGCCGCGGCCGCCGGCTCGGCGGCCTGCGGCCTGTGCCCCGCGGGCGCCTTCTCGACCGCGGGCGCGGGCGCCTGCATGCCCTGCGAGGCCGACACCTTCGCGTCCAGCAACGGCAGCGGCTGGTGCGCGGCGTGCGACCCGAACGACCACGCGACGTCGCGGTCCGGCGCCGCGCTCTGCGACGTCTGCCACGCGGGCTACGCCTTCGACGGCGCGCGCTGCGTCGCGTGCCCCAACGGCGCGCAGTGCGACGGCTTCGGCGTGGAGCTGGCGACGGTCGGCGTCCAGCGACGACCTTCGAGAGACTTTGATGAAACCGTTTTCGCAGGCGACGCTGCCCCTGCACCGCGGCCGCTGGCGCACGTCGCGCCGCTCCACGGTCGTCGAGCGGTGCCCGCTCCGGGGCGCGTGCCGCCCGCCCGAGGACCCGAACGCGACGACGTCCGGCGACGACCTCTGCGACCCGACGACGGAGGGCCCGCTCTGCGCTGTCTGTAGGGCGGGCTACTACGAGTCCGGTGCCGCGCGCGCCTGCGAGCGCTGCGGCGGCGGCGAGATCGTCCTCTACGTGCTGCCGACGATCTGCGTGCTCTTCTTCGTCGCGATCGTGTTTTCGTTGAAGGCGGCCAAGGTCGACACGCGCGGCGCGCCGCGTCCCGACGAGTTTCGAGGGATTTAGTCGCGCGCCGTAGGCTCGGCACGATCTCGACGGCCATCGGCGTCTTCGTCATTTGGCGGCGTCCCGTATGTTCGAGAGATTTCGGCCGGGACCGCGCCTCGCAGGTCTCCGCGGACAACGTCGGCAAGGCCATCGAGGACGTCCGGGACAAGCGGGCGCCGAAGCCCGCCGACGCGGCGCAGTCCCGCCGGTCCAAGCGCCGCCTCTCCGCCACGACCAAGGACAAGGTCGACGACGCGAAGGCGCGCGACCGCTACTGGCGCGCGCGGCTGACGACGACGCTGAAGCAGCTCTCGACGCTCTTCGCGGTGCTCACGGCGCTGCCCTGGACGCTCGAGCTCGACTTCCCCGCGAGCTTCAACGCGCTGCTCGACGCCACGGACTGGGCGAACCTGGACCTCGTGCGCCTCGTGCCTCTGGCGTGCGTCGCGGACGTGAGCTTCGTCCGCGAGCTGCTGCTCACGGGAAACTTCCCGCTCGGCGTCATATGCGCGCTGTGGCTCGGCTACTTCGCCTTCGTGCGGGGCAACAAGGCCCTGCCCCTGGAGAAGCGGCTCCGCATCCGCGCGCTCGTGACGCAGATCGCGCTCGTCGGGAGCTACCTCGTCTACCCGGCCGTGTCCTCGAAGGTGTTCCGCGCGCTCCGGCCGTGCCTCGAGCTCGACGAAAAATACGGCGGCTCGAGGACCTGGTTCCGCGACGACTTCTCGCTGCCCTGCGACTCGTCCAGGTACGAGTTCATGCGCGCCTTCGCCGTGCTCATGGTCTTCGTCTGGCCCTTCGGGGTGCCCGCGGTCTACTTCTCCGTGCTCTACCGGCATCGCGCCGCGATCAATCCGCCGGGGTTCGAGACCATGGAGGCGGCCGTGGAAGCGAGGGACGCGGACGAGCGCATCAAAATTTACGGCTTCCTCTTCGAGGTCTACGAGCCCGAGTACATGTTCTTCGAGTGCTTCGAGGCCGTGCGGCGCCTGTCGCTCACGGGGCTCATGGTCGTCGTCCAGCCGGGGACGGCCTTCCAGTGCGTCGTCGGCTGGGCCATCGCGACGCTGTCGATCAAGATCATCGCGTCGACGCGCCCCTTCGTCGACGACGCGGACGACGCGCTCACGGAGGCGGCCATGTGGTCCATCATGCTCGTCTTCTTCGGCGCGCTGCTGATCCGCGTGGACATCGAGGGCGACTCCGACGCCATGCGCGACGCCATGGGCGCGACGTTGGTCGTCGTGACGGTTTTACCGGTTGTGATTGGCCTGGTGACCGTGCTCTACAGCGCGCGCCTCGCGCACGTCGCGGAGCCCGAGGACCAGCCGAGCGACGGCCACACGATCACGGACAACCCCATGCTCTCGCAACAGGCCCGGGCGTCCTTCTTCGAGCGCGAGGGCGGCGTCGAACTGAAGCGCGCGGCGGTCTAAGGGTGATGCCTTAGCCTCGATCGGACGTCCTCGGGCGTCGTCGCGGCGTCGGCGACGGGGTACGCGAGGACGCGCGCCGCGCAGCCGTCCGCGCGGACGGCCAGCGGAAGCGCCGCCGGGAGGACGCCGCCGTCGTCGGGCACCGCGGCGACGGTCATCGCCGCGCGGCCGCGCGCGAAGAAGACCTCGTGGAAGGTCCAGTCCGTGAGGACTCGAATCTCGGTGGTGCTCTCGCGGAGCGGGATCTCCTGGACGAGGTCGCCGGCGACGGGGTTCGAGCACCGCGCGGACGCGACGCCGGAGAGGTCCGCGAGCCGCGTCAGGGTGCATGTGGTCGGGCCGAGGACGACGGCGGCGAAGAAGGGGCCGCCGCCGACGTCGAGGGTCGCGACGACGTCCGACTGGCGCAGCGTCGCCGTGACATTGCGACCGTCCGTCGCCGTCGCGTCGACGAGCGCCGCGCCGCGCCGGCCGTCGAGCTCCGCGAGCGGGTACTGGTCCACGTAGCCCGTCGCCGGGTCCCAGAAGAGCTCGCGGACGCTCAAGGCCGACGCCGGCGACACCTGCAACCAGCCGAAGAGGAAGCGCCGGTCGCCGTCGGCCGCGTCCTTGGACGCGTAGTAAAACCCCGCGTCGACGCGGCGCCACCCGGAAACCGCCGCGAACGCGCCGGCCTCGCCCGGACGCGTCGCGTCGTAAAATCCTAAACGCCACTGGTCGTAGGCGCCGTCGTTTTCCTGGCAGCTCCGCTTGAAGACGTGCGTCGGCCACGAGGCGTCCGCGGCTCCGTCCCGGGTCCGCGGGAGCGGGAACAGACTCGGGCACTCGCACGCGCGCGGCCCGAACTCGCGGCCGACGGCGTAGGACGTTTCGAGGAAGCCGTCCGTCGAGCCGTAGGTGATGCCGTCGTAGGCGACCGTGCGCCACTCGTCGGCGACGCGCCACGGCGCCGCCGGGTCGCGCGACGCGTCGGCGGCGACGACGGCGCCTTTGCGCCAGTCGACGAGGAGCTCGTCGGCGTCGTCCGCGGGCGCCGCGACGCGCCAGTGCACCGGCGCGCCGGCCGCCGCGCGGGCCGCGTAGAGCAGCCTCAGGTCGTCGCCCGGAAGCGCCGAGCCCGTCAGGACCGCGTCGCCGTCGCCGCCGTCGTTCCACAGCGCCGCGGGCAGCGCCGCCCAGGTCACGAGGTCCGCGCTCACGGCGTGGCCCCAGACGGGGCCGGCGCCGCCCGGCGCCGCGACGCGCTTCTGGTAGAAGACGTGGAACCCGCCGTGCCGCGGGTCGCGCGCGGGCGCCGCGGGATCGTTGATCGCGCAGCCCGATCGATCGACGACGTGGAACCGCGGGCCGTCGACGTCGCGGCAGCCCTCGGCGCCGGGGCCGCAGGGCGCGAGGACGCCCGCGTCCGTGCGGCACGTCGTCGCGACGCGCGGCGCCGCGGCGACGACGTCGAACGGCGCCGTCGCGGCGGCGTCGCGACACGCGACGCGGACGACGTGCGGCCCCGGCGCGGAGTCCTCGGCGAAGGAGAAGAGCTCGAGGCCGTCGTTGGGCGAGTCCGCGGCGGCGAGCAGCTCGCCGTCGCCGCGCGCGACCTCGAGGCGGATGGCAGCGCAGGACGCGCCGCCGCGCCACCGGACGACGCACTGGCCGCCGAGCTCGCAGGCGCGCACGTCGTCGATAAGCACGGCGTCGTCGTCGCAGGCGTCGTCGATGCTGCATGCGTTGTCGATTGCGACGGCGCAGGCGGCCAGCGCCGCGAGGCCTCGGAGTGTCATCGATCGATGCATCTCAGGCTCATCATCGTGGGCTGCGTTCAACGAGAGGGGAGGTGCAAACTTTGGCCACAGGCGCAGCCCGATGCGGGCCCGCTTCGCCCGCAGTTTAGCCCGCAAGACTTAGCGGTGTCGATGCGCGCGCCCAAGACGCGCGCGCGCGACGCGAGCGATGAATTAGCGCCAGGTTGCCGCCCACCGGCGCTGCGCCCGCGCACGCGACGACGAGACCCGCCACTCGGAACTGTGACGACGTTGGATGTCGGATTTGTTTGGAATTATAGTTACTATTCTCGAATCTTGAATACCTTACCAAGCGGTGGCGTTCTCTTCTTCAGCGAACAAATAGAAAGTCCGAAGCTGTATCGACTCGATCCCGATGGAAGCTTGGCAGTTCTCTTTGACGAGTCTGAGACAAACAGAGGTTGAGGATGCGGTCGTCGACCCGAAAGGGCGCGGTTATTTTGTCGCCCACGAGGGCGAGATAATCCTCGTCGGCCACGACGGCGAGGTACTGCGACGGGTGAAAGGACGTGTAAATGCCCTCGCCGCGACGTCGGATAGCTTGTACTTCCTGCAATCCACGTGCATTTTCCAAATGGACATTGATGCCATGGTCTCTGACGGCAAACCCGCTTGATCGTACGCGCCCCTTCTGCAAAGACGTCGTTTTCGGCTCTTGCCGCTGGATGTGCTTCGACGCAAACGAAAGTTCGCTAATTGTTGCTACGTACAATAAAAGTCAAATACTTCGTGTGTCGATGAGTACACAGGAGGTGTCGCTCATCGTGCAATGCCGAGAATTCTGTGACCTCGCCGTGGCATCTGACGGCATCATCTATGTCATTTGCAGCTGGTTGGTCGGCCCGAAGCAATTCGCTGAAGATCTCGACGATCTTTGCGTCCATCAAGTCGTCAAGACCGACCATGAGTACGCGATCATGCGGATGGATGTCAATCTCGAGCGCTGCGAATGCCTAGCGCTCGACGAGCACCGCGGTTTGCTCTACGTCCTCAACCATCAAGGGGTCCACACGATCGCCGTCCCCACCTACGCGGAGCGGCGCGAGCGGCTCATCTGGCCCGTCTTCCGCCTCTTCGCGCTCGCGAGCCTCGGCCACGCGCGCCTCGCCGCGCCGCTGCCGCCGCTGTACCGCACCGAGGCGGTCTACCGCCGCCTCGTGCGCCTCCCGCGCTGCCTCGTCCACCGCGTCCTCTGCTACGCCGTGTCGAACGTGAGTTTCTAAAGTTACGACGGCGGCCGCTTCTTGAAGCGGTAGAGCTCCCGGTTCGTCGTGTGCGGCAGGTCCGGGCAGGGCACGCCGTCGCCGTCGCGGTCGAGGCGCCGCCGCACGTCGGGCGTGCCGCGCTCGAAGATGGCGAGCGCGTCCTCGTAGGCGGAAAAATCCGCGCAGCTCCGCACGACCGTCGGCGCGTCGCCAAAGTCCTTCGCGGGCGCCGGCTTGAAGTCGACGTCGTCGAAGGTCGCGACGAAGGTCGGCCGCGCGACCTCTCTGTCGGCCTCGCACGTCGTCCAGATGCCCGCGCCTTCGCGCTTCGCCGCGGCCTCGGCGCGCGCGAGCGCCGACGCGAGCGCGTCGTCGTCGTTCTTCCGCAGCCGCCGCTTCGCGTAGCCCTCGCGGACGAGCGCCGCGTTGACCGACGTGCCGTCCGCCAATTGGATCTCCGCGCCGCCGCCCTCGACGAAGCTCACGCCGACCCGCGCGCCGCGCGGCAGCAGCGCGCGCGCGCGCACGAAGGGCACGCGCGCGTAGCAGTCGGGCACGCCGCGCGTCGGCGTGCGGATGCCCGCGAGCTGCACCGTGCCCAGCGCCTCGAGCTTCACCTTGTCGTCGTCGAGCACCCTTACGACGACGTCCTTCTGGAAGCTCGCGGCGTTGCCGGGCGGCGCGAAGGGCGACGTCAGCGCGAGGAGCGCTGTGATGCCTTGCGGCAGCGTGCGCCGCGTCGCGAGGCGCATCGGCACGTGGTCGACGACGGCGGCGGCGCGCGCGCCGGCGGCGGCGGCGACCTCTGAGAGCAGTGCATCATGGGCTTCACCGCCACTTCAAAATCCTCTCCCAAGTCGGCGCCAAAACCTCCGAGCTCGTCGTCGGCGCATTTGAGTCGACGACGACTGTTGCTCGTGGTCGCGAGGCCAAAGAGGGCCTAGACCGCACCCAAGCCCGCAACACGTGAAGCGCCGCGCGCGGAGGCGGCGGCAGCGATGGACTACGACGCCGGCGCGCAGGACCTGGGCCTCGGCAGCGCCCTCGACGCGCTCCTCGCGGACGCGTCGCTGAGCGTCGAGGAGGCGCACCCCGCGGGCTGGGAGGAGGCGTCGGTGCTCACGGCGGCGTCGAGCCAGCGGGCGTCCTTCCTCCGCGTGAGCCCGTCGACGGAGGGCGGCGCGCCGGCGGCCGATTCGCCCGGCCGCGGCGGCCGCGCGCCGACGCGCGTGTCGCCCGAGGACGGGCCGGCGCGCGCGCTCTTCGCCGGCGACGCCGGCGGCTTCGTCATGAGCGACGACGACAGCGGCGACGAGGCGCCGCCGCCGCCCGCGGAGCTCGGCGAGCTCCGGCGCTGGGCCGCGCGCGCGGCCGCCAAGTTGAAGGACTACGAGTTCAAGGGCCGCCAGGACGAGCTCCAGATCCTGGCGCTCAAGAACTCCCTCGACAACAACGCCGCGTCGCTCGTCGACGACCTCGAGCGCGAGGACGCGACCGTCGCGTCCGCGCTCCGCGAGAAGGAGGCCGCGTGGCTCCTCGAGAAGGCGACGCTCGAGGCCGTCGCCAAGGCCCGCGAGACGGACCACGCCGAGAAGCTCGAGGCCGTGCTCGCCCAGGCCGCGGCGGCGACGTTGGAGGCGGCGCGGGACCGCGACGCGGCCGTCGGGTCTTTAGAAGAGACCGTCGCCGCTCTAGAAGCGCGGTTGACCGACGCCGCGGAAGAAAAAGAAACTTTGCTGGGCGAGGTCGCCCGGCGCGACGCCGCCCTCGAAACCGTGCGCGACGAGCTCCAAACCTCAGAGCGCCGCGCGGAGAAGCTCGAGGCGAAGCTCGCGCAGCGCGTCCGGAGCGACCGCGGCGGCGTCCGCGGACCCGTCGGCGTCGATTTGGACGCGCCCGTCGACGACGACATCGCCGCGGCCATCCTGCCCTTCGCCGTCGCGCCGTCGCCCGAGGGGTCGCCGCGGTCGTCGTCGTCGACGGCGAGCCCGCGGCCCGCGGCGGCCGACGACGACGACGCGTCCGTCTTCGACGACTATTTGGTGCCGACGCCGGAGAAGGCGCGCGACGCGCGGCCCGCGCGGCTCGACGAGGCCAAGGACGCCATCGACGCCCACAAGGCCACGTCGAGCCGCCGCCGCGAGCAGCGCGAGCGCCTCAAGGCCGCCGAGGAGGCGCTGCGGCGCCTGTCCGAGGAGCGGAAGCGCGAGGCGTCGCTGGCCGCGTCCGAAAACGCGAGGCTCCGCGACGAGCTCGACAAGCTCGGCCGGTCCTACGCCGCGGAGAAGTCGCAGCTCGGCGCCGCCGTGGCCAAGGTCGAGCGCGAGGAGCTGGCGGGGCTGCGCCAGCTCCACGCGGAGGCGTCCTTCGAGGCGAATTCGCTCGCCGCCGCGCTCACGTCCGAGCGCGACGCGCGCGCGGAGGAGACGCGGTCCCTGCGGTCGAGGAACCACGACGTCGAGGCGGCCAACGCGACGCTGCGCGCCGAGATCGACGCGACCATGGCCGAGGCCGCGACGGCCGCCGCGGACCGCGCGGAGGCGTTGCGCTTCTCCGACGCCGCGGACGCCGTCGCCGCGCGCGCGTCCGCGGCCCTCGCCCTCGAGGTCGAGGCGCGGACGCACCTCGCGGCCCAGCTCGAGTCCACGGCCGCGTCCCACGCGGCGGAGGCCGACATGGAGCGGTCGAAGCTCGAGGAGATGGCCGCGCGGCTGACGCGGGAGCTGGGCGACGCCGAGGCCGACCGCGAGGCCTCGCGGGCCGACGCGGCGCGCGACCGCCGCGCCCTCGAGGACGCGAAGCGCTGCCGCGAGGAGGCCGAGGCGGCCCACGGCGAGGCGCTGGAAGAGGCGCGGCGGAGCCACCGCGAGGCCGCGGAAGCGCACGTCGCGGCCTTGGAACACGCGCGCGAGAGCCGCGAGGCCGCCGAGGCCGCGCACGCCGAGGCGTTGGAGGCCGCCCGGAAGGCCCGCGACGACGCCGAGGCCGCCCACGCCGAGGCGCTGGAGGCGGCCCAGAAGGCCCACTCCGAGGCCGCGTTCGCCGAGGCCTTCGAGGCGGCCCAGAAGGCCCACGAGGAGGCCGAGGCCGCGCACGCCGAGGCTTTGGCGGCGGCCCAGCGGGCCCTCGAGGACGCCGAGGCCGCCCACGCCGAGGCTTTGGAGGCCGCGCGCGAGGCCGCGGCGTCGGACCGCGCGGCGGCGGTCGACGCGCTCGAGGCGGCCACGGCCGCGGCCGTCGCCGACGCGCTCGCCGCGGCCGACGGCGACGCCGCCGAGGCCCGGACGACGCTCGCGGGCGCCGCGGCGCGCGTCGAGGAGCTCGAGGCGCTCGTCGTCGCCAAGCAGTACCGCGCCGAGGCCCGCGCGGCCGCGGGCGCCGCCGCCGCCGCCGCGGACCTCGCGGCGGCCGTCCGCTCCGGCGACGCCGCGGCGGCCGCGGGCGCCGCGGCGTTCGCCGCGCTCGGGGCGCGCCAGGGCGAGGACGCGGCGTTCAGTTCCGAGCTCGCGCGGGCCAAGGACGACACCATCGGCGAGCTCGAGGCGTCGCTCGAGGCCTGCAAGGTCGACGGCGCGCGGCTCGAGCGCGCGCTGCGCGTCGCCACGGAGGAGGCCAAGTCGGCGTCCCTGAGCCGCTCCGCGGACGTCGCCGTCAAGGACGAGGCCCTCGCGTTCCAGCAGGCGGCCCTCGAGGCCGCGTCGTCCAAGCAGGCCGCGCTCGAGGCGGCTTTAGGCGCGCGGGAGACGGCGCTGGCCCAGAGCCGCGCCGCCCAGGTCGACCTCCGGTCGCAACTCGCGGAGGCGGCGCGCGCGCGCGACGACGCCCGACGCAAGTGCGAGTCCATGCGATCCGTCGAGGCCGTCGAGGGCCTCGTGTCGCAGCTCGAGGCGGAGAAGGCCGCCGCCGTCGACGCGGCCGTCGCGCGCGCGACGTCCGACGCCGAGGTCGACGCCAGGGTCGCGCTCGACGCGCAGGACGGCAGGCTCGCGGCGGCGACGGCCCAGGCCGTCGTCGACGCCGTTTCCAAGGCCAACGAGGCGACGACGGCGCGCTTCGAGGCGCGCGAGGCCGAGCGCGCGGACCTCGCGGCTTTGGAGCTCGACCGCGAGCTCTCGCGGTGCCGCGCGGCGGCCGCCGCGGACACGGCGCGCGTCGTCACCGATTTACGATCCGAGCTCGATTTGATCAAGTGGGCCGAGGTCGAGCAGGCCGTCGCCAAGGTCCGCAAAGCGCACGCCGAGGAGCTCGAGGCGTCCAAGGACGACAAGCACGAGGTCCTCCGCGAGCTCACGGTCGCCAACGAGGCCATCGCCGCCGCCGTCGAGGCCGCGCGCGACGACGAGCGGGCCAAGGCCGCGCGCTGCAAGGAGGAGCTCGAGACCTGCCGCGCCGCCATCGAGTCCGCGGGTTTGGAGTTCGAGCGGGGCCTCGACGCGCGCGTCGCCGGCGCCGTCGCCGCCGCGGCCGTGCGCGTCGCCGCGGAGCGCGGCCGCGTCGCCGCCGCGCTCGCGGAGGCGCGCGAGGACAAGGCCGTCGCGCTCGCGCACCTCCGCGAGGACCACGACCGCGTCCTGCATCGCGCGAAGGCCAAGGCCGACGACGCGGAGCGCGCCAAGTCGTCGCTCCACGCGTCGCACGAGGCGCGCGTCGGCGAGCTCGAGGCGTCGCACGCGGCGCACGTCGAGACGCTCAAGCGGGAGCACGCCGCGGCCGTGTCGCTCATGGACGAGAAGCTCGAGGCCCACGCGTCGTCGCTCGACTCGCTCAAGGGCAACTACGAGACGGAGGTCGAGGCGCTCAAGGTCGACCACGGCGACGCGCTGCAGGCCGCGCGCCGCGAGGTGGGCCTCGTGACGCAGCGCTTCGAGGCGAAGTTGAAGGCCGCGGAGTCGGAGGTCGCGGCCCGCGTCGACGTCGCGCGCGCCGAGGGCGTCGCCGAGGCGCGCCTCGAGGCCGCGCGGGCCGGCGCGGGGTCGCCGACGCTGCCGGAGGTCCTCGAGCGGACCTGCGGCGAGTTGGAGAAGACCTACGCGGCGCGCGTCGACCGCGAGGCCGCTTCTTGGCGGCTCCGCTGCGAGGCGCTCGCGGAGGACGTACGGACCAAGGAGCAGGAGTGCGCGGCGACGCTGGAGCTCCACCGCCAGGCCTACGAGGACATCCAGGCCCAGGCCGTCGCGGAGGCCGTCGAGTGGACGCGCCGCGAGTGCGAGGGCGAGAAGTCGGAGGCGTTGACCGAGGTCGCGCGCGCCGTCGAATTGACGCGCGCGGAGTGCGACAAGGAGAAGGCGGCGGCCGTGCGGGACGCGGAAAGGGCCGTCGCGCTGCGCTTGCAGGCGAACCACGACACGTCGCTGGCCGCGTGCCTCGCGGAGAAGGACGCGGAGCTCGCGACCAAGTTGTCGCTGTCGGCGACGTCGCTCGGCGACGCCATCGACAAGGCCGTGAAGCGCGCCCTGGCCCGGTCCGACAAGGCCCACGGCGCCGCGGTCGCGTCGCTCGAGAAGTCGCACGCCGTCGCCGTCGCCGCGCTCGGCGTCCAGCACGCTGCGGCGTTAGACGCCGCGCGGTCGAAGGCCAAGGGCGAGCTGGAGGCGACGCTCCGGCGGGAGCGCGACGCCGCGAAGCGCGAGCAGCGCGAGGCCGGCACGCGGTCTTTGGAACGGGAGCTCGAGCGCGTCCGCGACGCCAAGGCCGAGGAGCTGGAGCACGTGTCGCGCGACTACGAGGCGCAGCTGAGCGTCGTCGAGGAGCGCTGGTCCGCGACCGTGACGGCGCTCGAGCAGCGCACGCGCCGCGCCGAGGCCAACGCCGCGGCCTGCTGCGCGTCCGCGGCCGCGGCCTGCGAGGACGCGAGCTCCAAGGCCGCCGCGGCGACGCTCAAGACCGCCGAGGCCGAGTCCTGCGTCAGCCACGCGCAGACCGACTTCAAGAGCCGCGTCTTCGCGGTGTGGGAGGCCGCGGCCCTCGACGTCGACGCGCCCCGGGACCCGTCGTCGCGCGTCGCGCTGGCGACGGGCGCGGCGCCGCCCGAGGCCTACGTGGGCCAGCTCGGGGCCATGGTCCGCGAAGCGGCGCAGAGCGCCAAGGCCGCGCGCGCGGACCTCGAGGCCGAGCGCGAGAGGCGGCGCCGGGCCGAGGCCGCGCGCGCCGTCGAGAGCGCGGCGGCCCTCGCCGCCGCGGACTCGCGCGCGCGGTGCGTCCTCGCGGCGCTCGACGGCGGCGACGACCTCGGCGGCGACCCCTTGGCGCTCGACGTCGCGCGCCGCCGCGACGCGGCGACGCGGCGCGTCTTCGCGGACGCGGCGCGGTCCGCCGACGACGCGCGGCGCGCGGCGGCCGACGCCGTCGCGGGCGCCGCGGACGCCGTCGACGCCGTCGCGTCCACCGTGGCGCTCCACAGCGCCGACGACCGCGACGTCCTCGCCAAGTCCGCCGTCGGCCTCCGCGTGACGCGCGACGAGCTCCTCGCCCAGGCGCCGGCGCGCGTCGTCAGCCCGCGGACGCCGCCGCCGCCCTACGTCGGCGGGCCGACGCTCGGGTCGACGCCCGAGGGCCTCGCGGCCGCGGGGCCGCCCGGCGCGTACCCGGCCTACCCGCCGTCCGCGGGCGCGTCCTACGCGTCCTACGCCGCGTCGCCCTACGCGCGCGGCGCGTCGCCGGCGCCGTCCTACGGCGCGGCGCCGGGCGCGCCGCCGTCGACGCCGCCGCCGGCGGCCCCGGCGCGCGAGCTCGACTACTGGCGCACTCAGTCGCTCGAGCTCCGCGACGCGTTCGAGGACGAGCGCCGGCGCTGCGAGCAGCACCGCCGCGCGCGCGCCGACGGCGAGCGCGACTGCGCGGCGAAGCTGCGGGACCACGACGCGCGGATCCGCTCCGTGATGCGCGACGTCGAGCAGGCGAAGCGCGACGCGGCCAAGGAACTGGCGGACCGCGACGCGACGCACGCGGCGACGCTCCTCAAGCTGCGCGAGCGCTGCGCCGCCTGGCTCCGCAAGGTCAAGGCCGAGTGGTCCAAGAACGCGAAGCGCGCGCTCGCGAAGCAGAAGCTCAAGTTGGACGCGCGCCACGAGGCCACGAACGCCAAAACCGCCAAGCGCTGGCAGCGCGCGCTCGACGCGGCGCTGTCGGGGGGGCGCGTCGCCGCGGCCGCGGCGCGGCCGGCGTCGTCGGCCTACCCGCGCCACGCGCGCAAGCCCGAGTGCGCGGCCGCCGCGGCGCCGGACTCGGACGACGACGCGACGCTCGGCGACGAGCCCTTCCCGGACGACGACCCCTTCGACGACGGCCTCCGGGCGACCATGGCGGCGACCTTCAAGCTCTACCCGGATCCCATCCCCGTGTAAGGTCAACGATGAGTTCCGTGTTTTTTTTAGAGGCGGTGGTAGCGGGTCCGGGAGTTGGCCTCCCAACCTCTCCCAGGCGGCTTACGCTCGGCTTGGCGAGCATCCACAAGGAGACCGATCGACCCGGCCCGCCCACAATTCGCCGCCGCAATTCGCCACCGCCCCGTCGACGATCGTTCGAGATGAAGCAAGAGTACGTCGAGAAACAGAAGGAGTACGAGGCCAAGAAGGCCCGGGCGAAAGCACTGCAGCTTCGACTGACCTGCACGATCTGCGGAGTGAAGCCGAAGACCTTGCTGAATTGCCCGTGCGGCACGACGCAGTAGCGCCCGGCGCCGACGCGCGCGATGGGGCCGGGGGTGGCCCGACGCGTCCCGTCACAGGTACTGCTCGACGGACTGTCAAAGAATCGACTGGCGCGATCGCGGGCACCGCAAGGCGTGCAAGAAGATTCGAGCCGAGCGCGCGGCGGAGGCGGCGCGGGCGGAAGCGCCGCCGTCCCCGCCGTCGCCCCCGGTCTACGGCCCCGCGCCGCGGTCGCACGCCGACGAGGTTCGCGCGCGCATCGCCGCGGAGCACGAGGCGGCTCGCGCGCGGCGCGAGGCGAACCCGGAGCCGGAGCCGACGTCGGCGCGTTTCGGGTCGCGGTGCCCGATCTGCCTCGAGGAGTGGGACGTGAATGATCCTTTCGTGCTTCGTATTTGTTGCTGTCGGAGAGTCTGCAAGCCGTGCATGGAAAAGATGGGCGTTGAGCCCTGTCCTCTCTGTCGGGCGCCACCTTACAGGACCAATGCGGCATACTTAGTGCACATCCGCCGCCACGTACAGAATGAAGTGCCGGAAGCTATCTATCATATGGGAAAGATGTATATGGATGGCGCGTTGGGCTGTGAGAGATCTGCAAGGAAGGCTGTGAAATTTTTCAAACGATCCGTCGAGCTCGGTTGCGTGGAGGCGATGGTCGCTCTTGGGCTCCGGTACCAGCAAGGAGAAGGTGTCAAGAAGATGGACTGGTCAAAAGCGCTGCAGCTGTATCTCATGGCCGCCGATCAGGGCTCTCATTGGGGGCAGCAGAACTACGCGAATATGCTGCGCGTGGAGATTGAGGAGTCACCGAACCATGCCGAGGCTCTCCAGAAAGCTGCGGAAGCTTTCCGCTACTACAAACTCGCCGCCGAACAGGGTCTCACGGAAGCCGAGCTCAATGTGGGACTCTGCTATGCGAAGGGCGATGGAGTCCCCGAGGACGTTAACGAAGCCAAACGCTGGTTCGTGCGTGCGGCCGCCAAGGGCCAGGAGGATGCCATTGATGTCCTTCGAGAATGGCAAGAGATAGACCGTGGTCAGCGCGACCACCTGCCTAGTCCTAGTTAGGACCTCCTAAGTAGTTCCGCGACCGCGAGCCCCGCCACGAGCGCCGACGTCGCCGCGCCCCACGCCGCCCGCGCGGGCTCGCCCTGGGTCGCGTGCGCCGCGCACGCGAGCGCGACGGCGCCGTCGCGCTGGCCCGCGAGCGCCACGCGGCAGAGGCCGAGCGCCGCGGTTGAGATTCCAGTAGGTAGCCGGACAATGTAACAACCGCGTCTACACTCCTAGTACAGCTCCTACAGCTGTATCGCTGCCGACCACTCGGGATGAACGGATTGGGCCGGCCTTGGCGATTCTTGTTGCTCGGGTAATTTCAAAATCTCGAGGCGTGCACCGAGCGCGTTGACATCCGCCGCCGCCCCGTATGGCGCCCCGCACCCGTGGTGCGAAGGCTTCGGCGTTCTTGGACTTCGTCGAGGCGCACGCCGAGGTTCTTTGCGAGCATTTCGACTGCGAGACCCTGGCTCGCTTCGCCTTGGCATCGGAGCGGACGTATGCCATGAATGTAGAGGGGCCGCTGCGCGCACGTTGGCTGGCTGCGGCGGACGCGCTCGACGTCGCATTTCCGCTCCTTTCGGTGGGCAACTTGGAGTACGATCCCGAGAAGGACGCGGAACAGTACTACAAGGGGACCGGCTACGACCCGCGCTACGACTACATGATCGAGAACTACCACGCGACGTACATCCCCATGACGGAGGAAATGATCGCCGAGAAGCTGCGCAAGTGTCCTTGGCAAACTCGCGAGGGCTGCCTGAAAAACATCTGGGTGAGCGAGGCGATGTGGGAGGCCGGCGTCGCCGCCTGGCGCGAAGTTGCTCCAATCCAGCGCGTCTCCGAGATGGTCACCTGGCAATCTGACGTCTGCCGCGAAGTTCGCGCGTGCCCGCAGTCGTTCGGCAAAGGGTACACTTTGAGGAACCGCGACGTGAGATTCAGCGGGTATTATGATTTCGAGGGCTTTCCAGAGAATGAACACATGTGGTATTGGGGAGCGATGAATGACACGCACCGCTGCTCGCCCGCCATGCTTCTAGTGCTGCGCCTGTGTTACATCAAGTGCTGCGAAGCATCGCGCTGCGAGTCATACTCTCAAGCGAATGAGGTCTTCGGGGGCGGTTGGGAGCACTCGGACTGGTTCTCGAGCAGCCGCCGCGACATGTTCTGGTTCACGCTCTGCGATGAAGACGACGAGGAAAGCCCCGTGATCACCATGGATGCCGTGAAAAACTTCACCTATGCTGATGACAAGGGCGTCCGCGCGCTCGCGCCGTTCCTGGGCTCTCGCGTCACGCGCGCGCTCCAGATCTGCCGCGGCGCCGAGGACATCCCGGAGGGCTGCGAGGCGCTCTTCAACGCCCCGTTCCCCTACTAGAGCGTCCCAAATCAGGACCTCATAAGTTCCGCCACCGCGAGCCCCGCCACGAGCGCCGACGTCGCTGTGCCAGTGGCGACTGTGGCGCTCGTGGCGGGACGACTGAGCTGGCGACCGATGGTTCGGACTTAAAGGAGTCTTGCGTCTTAGGACGTCCTAGTAGGGCCGGCAGTTCTTGGACCAGGGGTTCTGCACGGCGTCGGGCTGCCACGGGTTCCAGGGCACGAAGGCCGGCTGCGCGTTCGGCACGAACGCCGGAACCGCGCCGCCGGCCGGCACTTCCCGGATGCCGCCGTTGGGCGCGCCCGGGAAGTGGCGGTTCTCGATGAGCTCGTGGACGGGCGCCTCGTTCTCCAGGCCGTCGTTGGACAGCTCCGCGTCCATGGAGTCGCCGTCGTCGTAGCGCCGCCGCTTCTCCGGCAGGAGGTCGCCCTCGTCGCGGCGCCGCCGCCGCGACGCGGCGTTCGTGACGTTCGGGAGCGGCGGCTGCGCGGCGGCCCAGCGGTCGAAGGGGACCATGGCGGAGGACGTGGGCCAGCCGAGCTGCTCGCCCATGGTCAGCCGCGGGAGGCCCGCGCCCGCGGGTCCGCCGAGCTGCTCCCGGAGCGCGAGGCCCGGGTGCCGGCGCAGGGCGAGGTCGTGGTCCATCATCTCGTCGGACTCCTGCGTGTTGCAGGGCGTCGTGTTGTGCAGGTGCCGGTGCTCGGCCGCGGCCGCGGCCAGCCGGTGCGGCGCACCGACGGACGAGAGGACGATCTCCGTGTCGTGGGGGTGGAACCCGTGCGCCGGCGGGTAGTTGTGCAACGGCCGGTTCGTCGGCGACGCCGAAGGCATGGTCTGAAGGCTCGAGCTCCAGTTCATCGCTTTCCGATCGTGTTTTTGCGTTCGGCTCTTGTTTGTGGATTTCCAAAGCAGGGGGGCGATGCGATTTGTGTTTTTTTGGGGGAGTCTGGTTTGAAGGCGATGGGAGGGGGTCGTGCGCGGAAGCAGAGCCGCAGTTACGGGTCGCACGCCCAGATCGAGTCACAAACGGCCGCGCAGATGGCGAGGTTGTCGCCGCTTAAATCTCCACAAACGATCTCGTCGATTCTCGACTGGGGCGGGCGCCAAACCCGCTGAGAAAAGCACCCGGCAAGAGACGACAAGATGGACCGCTCCGGCGTCGAGAACCTCGTGGGCACCGCCTCGACGCCCTACGGGAAAGCCACCTACTGGAGCGACCGCTACACCAAAGACACGGACCAGTTCGATT